GTAGCTAACTTAATCTCTAAGTCTCTATTTATATAAGAAGCTTAATATAGACCTTCTAGAAGCTAATAGCTTATAGTTAATATAGCTATATAGAGAAGCTATTAAGGGAACACTAGCTTTATATAGTAACTAACTAGTAAAAGCCTAAGGATACCTATAGATATTAGTATAATAAATAAGCCTAGGAATAATAAGTAATTAGCTATCCTCTTCTTAGATAATATCCCTTAGGAGGTAAGAAATAAAACCTTAATAGTAGTAACTTATAAGGTAAATAGTATAATATAAGTAAGCCTAAAGGGTACTAGTATATTTAGTATTATAACTAGAATAATAGTAAGGATAACTTTAATATACTCTAAAATAATAAGCTATTTCTACTACCCTTCTTTATTTATTATAATTATAAATATATAAATAATTATAATAATCTATAATTATCTTATTAAAATAAATTTTAAGCTTATTAGAGACTATAATAAACCTAAAGTATAGTAACTCCCTATAGGGAGATAATTACTAATATAATATATATAGAATTTAAGAGAATTTATAGTAGCCTAACTTTATAGCTATACTTAAGAGAGAAGAGGATTAGAGCTATTAGCTCTAATATAATCTATCCCCTAATTAAATATATAAACTATATCTCCTGTGACTATAGGTAATAAAACTTAAGGGAAATAAAGAGATAGATATAAATTAAGGAGAGGCTAGTAAATAAATAACTATTAGTAGTCTAATCTTAAGAAATATAGTCTATAATTTTAAAGAATATTATAAGGGGTAAGTATATAAAGGTTAAAAGTATATATAAAGATAGGTTAGAGTTAGTATAGAAATATAATAAAAAGGGAACTCACTCCTACTTATACTTATGACTTACACCTAGACTTAACTCTACTATATTAAATAGCGCGTAATTAATAAGCTAAGTGAACTAATATAATAATAGCTATATGCCTCCACTCTATTATACTTACTAATCTCAGGGGTTTAGGAGTAGTATAGGTAATTATAATAAACTGTTATAGTTTCCCGGGGGCTAGAGTCATATATGCTTAAGCCTACTTAGATATTAAGAGGACCTAGGAGGTCTTAAGAGATAAACCTATAGCTAATCTTAAGGGAAAATAAGTATAATATTAACTAGCTTGATAATATACTAAATATAGTAGGGACTAATAGCTCTAATATTATCTTATCTTAATAGTATTTAAATATAGTAAGGACTAGTAAAGTACTTCCTTAGTTCTATCTTATCGCCTTAGCCTAAGGCTGCCTAATGCCCTTTCCTATTACTTATTTCTTAACTTTCTTTTCCTTATAAAGATTATCCACCTATTAGCTATAGTGTTTTACTATATTAGTAGAGGAATACTAGTATTACTAGAGGTACACTATAACTTCAGCCAGACTGAAGATAAATTCTAGTACCTTTTCTATAAATATCTTTACTAATTCCTATATCTTTTCATCCTGCTTTCCCTATTAACTAATACCTTTATAATTATATTTAGGCTATCTAAATATAAATTAAAAGATCTTATTAGCTATACTTCTATTAGTAAGCTAGAATATAATCTTTAAATCTACTTAACTAGGCTAAGTTAGGGTATTATTAAGTTTTTTAGGATAATTAGTTATTATAATTAGAATTTAGTTATCCTAAGAGGAAACCCTATTAAGGATATTTAAAAGGCCTAAAAGGGTCACCCCCTTTTCTAGTGACCTTATATCTATATTACTATCTAAATCTTTAGTGTTAGAGCCTCTAGATAATATAGCTCCTGTAGTATTAATATCCTCTAATAAGATAATATATTTATCTAGAAGTATAGTAAATAGGTTATTTAGCTTTTTATTATTTATACTAGGGATACTAATAATATAGATATTTATATCTAATATACTAGTAATAGATAGGCTAAAGCTTGTCTTTCTAGTTCTAGGAGGTCTATATAGAAGATATCCTTATTTATAGGGGATTAAGTAATTAAAATATTGTTTTTTTATATCTAGATTAAGGAATTTATTAATATTATTAATAAGTTAACCCTTTTACTCTTTATTAAGTATAATAATTATAAGAGGTTAAGTATCTACTACCTTTTCTTTTTTCTAGTGATTTTTATAATATATATAGATAGTTATTTTATTCTTTAATCTATTAAGATATTTATATTAGTAGTCTTCTATAAGATATTTTAGGATTTATAAAGATTATCTAATATAAGTAATAGAGATTTATTCCTCCTTGTGAAGGCTGATATCTACCTATATAGTTTTATATAAAAGTAAATACCTCCTATACTAAAAGTAGAAAGCCCCTTCCTATAGGGTATACTAAAGTAGCTTTTTAGTATAGGCCTTATAAGTTCTTTATTTCTTTAACTTTAGTATAAATAGAATAAGTGGTATCCTCTAATCCCTAGGCTAAGACTTACTCTTAGATTATATTATATATTTTATTATAGCGTTTGATCTAGAGAGTTAATACTTATAGAGGTAAGCCTAAGTCCTATAATTCTATTTCTTATAATATACTAAAGTAATTAGTGAACTAATCTAGGAATTGAAATATAGATAATTTTAACTATATAGCTAGTGTAAAGAGGTATATTAGCTAGGTGTAGCTAGATATATTGCTATTTAGGACCTAGCTGGTAGTATTGGTGATATTTAAGAAACCAGGAAGGAAGAGGTCTAAAATAGATATTAGCTAGGATAGTATCTCTTAGATAAGAGGGGGGCTAATATTACTAAGAAGTATTATAATAGTATAATAGAGGCTATACTAATAAGAGGAAGGAGATAATAGTAATATAGATTAAGTATAAAGGAACTAAAGTAGATCTTATAAAGCTTTAGCTTATGACTTGAATTCTTAGAAGGGTAGACCTATATTAGAATGAATATAATCTCCTCTTGTGGGAATCCCGCCTTCTTATGGTTCTCTCACTTATAAATCATATCCCTATCTCCGATTTAACCTTCCATCATCGGATTTAGTCTGACGAGGTATTACCACTAATTACCTACTACTTATAAGTATTATTAGATATTGATCAACTAGGATGTATATTAGTGCTTAGTTCACTAGTGCTATTATGCAGGTTACATCTAATGCGGCCAGACTTCGCGCAGCTAATGCAAGCATCTGTCTCAGGAAATAAACTATTAGACCTCACTGCGTTCATCTATAGCAACTATCGAATGTAACTACGCCAGAGTAAACCACCTGGTCTAGGCAGGAGGGAGCCTACACAGGGATAAGAAGCTGGTTACTAATCCAGGTCCCCGTAAACAACGTACTTTATACAGCTCAATTCAGCTATATTACGGGTTACGCAAAACCCAGAAGCCCTTATACGCGCACCACACTGTGGAGCTGTCAAGAGATATCGATCAAGGCATTGTGTGATAATTATCGCTTTTTCTATACCCCTATCACGCTCTAAGTTTCTCTTTTCTGTATTAACTAACCGGCAATATAATATGGAATCACAAACACGGGCGACAATAACCTGTCTAGGAATATTCCTTGGTGAACCAGCTATTATCGTTCACCAAAGGTAAGTTATTCAATTAGCTAGAACTCTACAAGCCGTAGAGGAACTTTCTTCTCTCTTCCAATTAGATAAGCATATCTCTATTAGAGAGTAAAGGGTAGAGAGCATTCATCCCTACTAAGCGTCTAGAGGGCAGAGAGTGTTTATCCCTATTAAAAGAGTAGAGGGTAGAGAGAATTTATCCCTACTAGCAGAGTAGAGGGTAGAGGATATTTATCCCTATCAAAGAGTACGTAGGACAGTTCAAGCATACCAAAACGGTTGCAGCTAGTTATAAAAACAGCAAATCCGTTTAAAACGACAATAAACAGGAAAAAGGTTCTTCCAGTAGCGCAAAATTTTCTTATTTCTAAGCAGGCGAGCCTCTCAGGCGGGAAAAGTTTCCATTCATTAGCATCATCATCAACCTTCACTTCTTTACCTATCGCAGTCTCAGTTTCACATAGCATCAAGCAAGGCTAGGTTAGAAACTGCCCAGCAGTCCCTACATAAGAATAGCTTTTTTAAGCTACCAGACTACGAAGTTGGAGATCACATTGCCGTTTTCCAGTCTAAGGGCTTTCCTCATAGGACCATATTTACCTTAGAACTCCTCATTAAGACTATAATCTTTAATCCAGTGAGTGGTCTTAAGTAAATGCCCTAATAACTATCTAATTACCTCAGAGGATTCGTGACATACTTCATGCATACTCCAACGACTTTATCCTCAGTCATCATTTAAGGTATACAGCGAAACCTGGACGATTCTTTCGCTTCTAGGCCAGAGGCCCAAACACTCATCAGCTTTTTATAGTTCATCAATAGGCAAAAGGGTCACAAGTAGACTACTAGATTAAGTCACACAAAGTTACACTGCCAGTTCTACAGCCGCAAGGTGAAAATATAGAGCCTTTACATGAAAATAATAGAGAATCGCTCGTTAAGGCAGGCTACAAGCCTCAACAGTTTTATTTCCCAGAGGGTGGTTTATAAGTTACTTCCCTACATAGTTAGAAAGCTCTAACATAACATAGAATAATTACTAATACACGAATTTCCTTCAATCGCAAGGCAGGCTACGAACTTGCCAACATGTTCTTTCCTCGTAATATTCTCCCCAAACTTCCAATACAGCTCCCTTATTCACCTGAGATAGAGAAGAAGGTCAAAAATATAAGGGAGAAGAGCGGGACACTTAGTGTAAATTTCGAAATTAGATACCCAACCCAGACATAAAGTAGTTCATAGCATCATATATAGCAGGAGCATCTTACATATAAAGCAGATATAAGTCCATTCCACCAGATCTAACAGAAACCTCCAGCTCATTCGTAGACATACTCTCTTACCAAGGTTCCACAATCATATTCAGCCGAAGTACATAGACATATTCTAGGTGTCGGCATTATTCATAGTTAGACACACATTTAAAGAGGGTCTTACTACCTACTGCCGCAATATCTCGCCTTTTTCATAAGCAGCCTCCTCAGTGTGGTTATTCACAGCATTCATCAACTTTAGCTTCTGCAATATAGATTAGTCCACACTTATTCCCGCCGCTTCTTATGTTCATTTCAGGGCTCTTTCGCTTCATAAGGATTTAGGACACAGATATACTAAGAGGAGCTCCTTATTAATACCTCTAAATAGCTCCTCACACTTGTCTCATATAAATCTCACATCGATTTCGCTCTCGGTTTCATAACAACAAACGTGGCAGATCCATTCAATCAAGGTTCCCGATATCCATAATAGTACGTAGATCGGGCATAGACGCTTGAGCTTAATATCTGCACTAAGTTAGTAGTCTTCATATAATAAGGGATAACAGCTTACGCATTCTATAGTATGCCCGGAATCCCATAAGCTTCTCAGCTAGCTTCATAAAACAGTCGTCTCTAGGGCAGTAATAACCATCTCGATCTTTATACTTTACGAGCGATTCATACTAGCTCAGAGGCTCTAGCACACAGAGGACATCGTTTTCCTCAGCCTTTAAGTGAGATAGGGACTGTTAGAGGTGCTGCTGGAGGTCGAATACTAGTTGTCATTACTGCAATTATTTAGTTTGCTCCTCTTTAAAATGCCCATCACATTCTTTAAAGCACGTGAAAGTAGCTAAGCAGGTACATCGAAAACCGGATAATAACATAATCATAAGAGGCAAGCAAGGAGTAGATAAAGGACACATAGACTACCCGCTTTCAACTAGGTAGTAGGGTTATTTTAATCTAGGTATATATATTAAACCATTTCTATCTTAGACATAAAGAGTAGGGAAGTTAGGCCTCCTTTATTCTAAATATCAAGCGCCTTTAAGCATTATGATTAATTCTATCTTCTTTCCTACATTATCACGTCAAATTATTATTTCATATTCTACAACCAAAACCAGGAAAGATATACGACCAATACAATAGTTCAGGCTATATCAGCCCAAATAAAAACATTAAATGTCCCTCATGTAACACTACCTGTCACCTTAAGGCAAGTGACCTGAGCAATCTGTTGGCGACATATTAACCGCTCTTATAGCTAATGTATCCAGATGATAAGGAGCAAGGGTTACTTTATCACTATACGACACCAGAATTCTCTCCATAGCCTAGGTAGTTTACGATGACCGGATTTAGGAGCGGGAACATGGAAGATAGGGGAACAGTTTGCGGTATCTATTAGCGAAATATAGGCGGACTAAAGTATCTATAGGGTTTATCGGTCGTCAGTTATTATATCATAGACATCTGGTTACACGTATAGTCAGTCACTATTTTAGAGGAGTCAAGCCATGCCATTCTCTTAATTAGACCAGCCCAGATAATATACCGTAGTGAAGAAGGCCGAACATTACAGTATTATAGGTCCATCTTGTAACAGTGGACTTGGTGTCCAATCAGCTCTAACCATTGCCTTAATTTATTAAAGAACTTACCATGTTGGCCCATAATTAACGGGGATCTAGTCAGCAAGATTCCAAATCCAGTAGCATAGCCCCATCATTGTCCGACTGCCTTGCACCTTCAAATCACTCGCCAAGCTCGTATAGACTAGGTTGCACCTCTTCATTCCTCGTCACACATGCAAACATACTCCAAAAAAGGCAGGTTTATCAGTAGATAGTAGAGACACGATAGTATCCACTATAACCAACGGACCAAATAAGTGGAAAATATGACAACTAATATATGGTAGTTATTGATACATGTCTTCACATCGCTAAGGTACCGGGTACACTAATCTATTGCTAATATCATACTATAAGCAAGTACTAGTAACTACACGCTAGTGCTTAGGGACCAGCTCGCCCAACACAGACAATACCTACAATCTAAATCTAGCCCTTCAAGCATTCTATAGCTAACCCCACTTATTAAGCAACAACATATTAGCTTTTTTCAATATCTCTACCTTGAATCTTTTAGACAACGATCCTTTCGCGCCCATGGCTCTATCCATCACCCTCTCGCTAAACGGGAATGACTTAGATGTTTTTAGACAACCTAAATATCTAGATCAGGCATACAGTGCTACCAATGAATTATTAGACAAGATTAAGGTTTCACGCTACTTATAGCAGGGATTAAATAAACCCCAACCTACAAGAATAAGAACAAACTTCATACGCTTTCTCTTCAAGAGATCTCGCCTCGATTCTCCTCAGCAGCATCACATAATAAAGCTTCGAAGTATAAACAGCATATCTATCTTACTCTATACGGCATCTTTCACTAAAAACAAAATTTTAAATATACCAGACGCACAATTCAATATACTTGTTTCTCATGGCGACCACTTTCTAGGCTCACCTGAAGCTATTACATCTAGGCTCCCCCTAGCCATCATTAAATTAGCTCTCTCAAGTTCCATCATCATAGAGGATAAGCCATATCAACAGTTTCACAGTAGTAAGCTTCTGCCAGTCCATGCCATCACTTTTACAGCTCACTAGTAATACCCGAAGGTCTAGAGAGTATCTACATACATCAAACCGCGGCTTATCCCCAGAGCTCTATTAGCATTTCGCAGATTCACACGCCCATTCGCAGAAAATCCCTCAATTAGCCACAAGAAGAGGTAGAGTCTTTACTATATATACACCTCACTCCCAATACCGCACATACTAACTGGACAGTTCTGGATCACAACGGGAACAGTTTTTAATCTTTATCTAGCAAATCATACATCTCTTTAAGAAACCAGGATAGCAGACTCTACTCTCTAACCAGATAGTAGAAACACTCCTTATAGCCTCGAAATATAGGACTGTTACCGAAAAGTCGAACATGATTGATGCTGCTGCGGAGATCCTCACACACTCGGCACTAATATCACTACGGGCAAGAGTCGTGCATCGATGAAGTTTAATGTTTCGCCTTTGAGGAGATGCTTCGACCTCCGAGCGAGAGATCCGTACATTTCTTTGCAGTTCATTAGACCTCCCAGATCATCTCAGCAACCAGCTTCACTTATCTCTTGCGAACAGCCATATATACCGGTTTAATTTCTCAGATACACAACAAGAGGCCAGAAATATTCATCTAGATGGCGATCTTAGTGAGGACCAGTTTTAGCTACTGTGGGATCATATCTACTGTGTTAGCCGTATCATGAAAGGAGAAGGCCAACTCTCGAGCGCAAAGGTCTGCTTTAACAAATGCTACGCAATAGCGAGCATTCGATTGAAGCAGGTAATCATATAGTCTTCTCTGGCGGATCTTTATTACGAGCTAGACTATGCTGAGAGGTCCGAAAACGCCCAGCGTCACCATCTATGTCGAGCTAGGGCGCTTCTAGAGTCTGCCTTCAAATTAGTCCCAGAGCGAAATTCGAAGGGCTATCGGCGCCTTCTCCTAGCTTTTTGCGAGGTAAACATCAGACAGGATCACCAATCTGAGGCAAGAGAACTACTAAGAAACCTATTGGCATTCTATGAACAGTTGCAAGATCTTGACGTGGTCAATCAGCTTGGATATATGCGTTCATATATAGCCTTAGCCCGCACGTGTGCCCCTGAGCGAGCGGAATAGTGTTGGAGAGAGGCCCTACGTCTAAATGCGACTTACAACCCGGGGGAAGAGGAGGTGTTCACTTACGCTGTTATATACCTACACCTCAGCTGGTACCACTATCTTTCTAGGGATGTAGAGGAGGGCAAAAAGCTACATACCCACGCCTACAGAATCCTTACCAAGAAGAGGACGCAGTTCCTAATGCCCAGAGTAAGCACCTATATCTTTAATAACATTCAAGCGAGATTGCTAGATATTAGAGTAGCCATATTACCCACTAGTATGTTATACTGAAGCTAGTATTAACATAATTGGGACCTTTACTAGACCACACGCTATAAGGATCGTGATCTTCTCCGCTGTGCCACGTTAAACATAAGTAGAAACTCATGCCTATCAGGTAAGTCGCCTAGTGGCCATTCCCCCAGCTCCTTAAACCACGCCAGAGCATCCAGGGGTTCAGTATAGTCAACGAAAAAGTTCAAATCCACCCCACACTTAAGTCCACTTATATCCCCCAAGTTAAAGAGGTTTCCGCAAAGCCTAGCATTCTTAACATAGTTGACTGGAGATCCAGCCATAACGCCCGCGGCATACTGCCTAGCAAAGTCCAACAGGACTTAAGGAAATGCGAAACCTAGTCTAGTTAGAACAGGTTTAACCAGCCAGCAAATCCAAACTCACTTCCAAAAGCTTTTACAAGAGCTTTACAGGCAGCTAGATAAGAGCTCATAATGCCAAATATATCGTCATCATTATCGAGGAGGGCCAGAAGTAAGGTGGTCGCCAGACATCATTCCCAATAGTTGCGATGAACAACGAGCTAGGTGATCCAGCATACCTGACGATCCCCATATTGCCAACAGCAAGCAAAGGCATTACCTGCCAAGGTCCCGTTAATAGTGACTCTTACATAGGAGCTTCATAACCCTTCGGGAAGACATTAGGCCCTTAGGCGGGATTCGCTCATTTTCACGCAACTGCCTGTTCTTGCTCATAAGCTAAGTACTAAAACATCAAAGTAATCACTCACCTAGCTTACCGAAGGAGCATCCACCAGGAGGCAACTGGCCCCAGATTCCATAATTCTCACTAAAGAGCCAGGAGGCATCCTTAAGCATATCCTCTATAACCTATTCACATTCAAAAAGTTCCATAAATTAGTTCAACATCCTCACATTATGAGTATTACTTCTTCTCTACGGATATTAGGGCTCGAAAGTTTTTTCATCGACATCTTTAGAGAACTTAACGTTTCAGGTGGTGCAGTAAGCCATCATTACGTGATTACAGGTTGCGGGGTCATAGGCATGGGTCTAGGGATTAATTAGCCGTTATTTAATTATAAGAGGAACAAATACTTCAAGGGGGATTCGGCATTAATAATTAGTATATACTCTAATTATAGGGCTAGAGTAAAATATAGGTCTTAAGTCAAAGAATTTCGATTTAGCGCCTCACTGACCCACTTTTATCACTATCACAAATATTAGACAAAAGTGGGGTATATAGATAACCCACCACACACTAAAGATCCACCTTACCACTCTCTACTCCTAATACAGAGGAACATCCAAACATTTCAAAGGCACATCAAATTACAGGTGTTAGTAGCTTAACAAAGGGACATGTGCCATAAGCTTAATAGGGCTATTCCCTCTTAGCCAAGTGTAAAGTGGAAAAAGCCTAGGTATAAAGAGAAGCTGTACCTACGGGGATATTGCCAACAGCTGTTTTACCAAGAACATCACCATGATGCAACGCCCACACTAGCTCGTATAGTATCAGGCCCCCAAGGCCCTCTATAAAGCTATTACCCTAGATCCACCCAAGATACAACTTCTAGGATGTTAGTATATATCAGTTACCTTCTCTTCAAAATACGAACTAGCGAAGGGCCACATCAGAGTACTTAAAAGGACACAGAGTAGCAATGACCTAGTAAACATCACCATCCTCATCACCCTCATCATTATCTCTCGCTCTAAACTTCAATAAGCCCACAATCAATATAGCCATTATCAGCGATTACGAATTCATGAACGCTTAGAACTGCTCCTCCTATAATTATAATAATCAAACCTATATCAGCACTTACAGCAGCTATAGTAAAGACAAATAAACCAGGTTGGTCACTTATACAGTTATCTTAAACGATTTATAGTTCTAACCACACTTCCAGTGCCCTATCCCCTTACTCAGCGGAAGCTAGGGAAAGCATATAATTAAGTCTACATAGTGGGGAAATATTCATTAGGAGATCGAAGTAGGACTAGTTAGGTAGAGAGAAATTAATCCCAACTACCAAGACACAATACTCTCCAAATCAGGTGAATTCGATTTCTACGCCAGTAATTAGCGCAAGCTAGCAAGACATAAAGGATAATAAAGAGCCAGTTACAAGCGTAATATAGCAGAAACAGCGAAACAATACTTGAATATACCTTAGGACAAATACTCAGCGAAGTCAATATACCTTCTTCACCACTCCTCTTGCTCTAAGGCTTACTGAGCTCACTACATCACATAAATCCCGCCAACCTGTTTCATATGCAGAGAGCTTACTTCAATCGATTCTTCCTTCCATTAACCCATCGCGTATATGCTTCAAGCACCTCAGGAAATTCATAATTCTCCAACTACTTTACAAGTCGCTCACGCCATTCCCTCATCAATAGGTCATCCAGATCAACCCCTCTCCAACAAAAGTCCATAGCACCACAGCCAGCTAGCTTAATCCTTACCCAGGCAGATAGCACATAGCCAGCCATTTCCCAGTCGATAATAGCAATATCACAGCCGTTTTCTAGATCAACCATAACATTAGTCAGCCCAAGGTCGTTATAATTAAAGATAAAGGTTAACACATCCATTTACAAGTGCTCGCAATTTCAGAGGAGATTTTCCAGGCTAATATCCATATAATTAGCGAACATATCGAGCCACAGCTCAAAGACCCAGGCTCCATCAACACCCATAATAGAATCTAAGGTCCACGCCGACAGTTCTTAGCAAATTTCAGCAACACAGGAAACACACTACTGCTTTTGCTCGCTATCCATTTCCCTCCATACCTCGTCAATACTCTTACCTCAGACACAAGAAACAATAAAGTAGATCCAATCATTGTCCTCAGTATAATGCAAGGCTTTAGGTACAGGGAAGCTGAGATTGCGGTCGGCCAACCAGCGAAGCGTGACAGGCTCCGGGGTAATATCTTTAAACTCATGCCGCTTCTTCACCTTAAGGAACGCATCACCCAGATCAAAAACGACTAAGGCATCTCCAACATCATACACAAGTTTCAGAGGGCTATCTAGCGAGAGCGGTTTAGTTTCTAGAAGCCAAGACAGCGCGTCTAAAACAGTGAAGTGCCAGCCATTACTATCCTTCCACAGGTAATCTTGGGCGGATGCTAGGCGTTAGAGAAGAAGCCTGTCATCAATAAGCCACGAGTTCTCATCTATCTCCTTAAGGGAGTCTCAAACATAGCCAGGCATCTCAAAGGGGGATTCAGGGTAGGTAAAAAGTATACACCACAATATAATAAGGTAGAGGAGGTATACATAATAGAGGGGATAGAGGGAGAAATATATAAGCAGTAAGAGGGTGATATTTAAAATACACATCAGCTTACCTACTCCTTAACGCACATTACTACCTTAAATAGCGCCTTAGGCATATATACTATGCCTAGAGAGGGCCACATCAATTACTCTAGGTGGCAATCATAATTAGCTGGCGGATGAGCAATTAGAGTCACGCGGATACAACATTAGCAGGTTATTTAATTTAGAGCGAGGTTCAGCTGCCAGTCAACCCCACTAACCAGGCACAGCTAGTGCCACTTTTACGCCCAAAAATAGACCCAAGCCATCGTCTTATACCTTGTCGCTTTTACAACAAACAACATCCATCTCCCTTTCCCAGTTCACATCTCCCACATATCCAACCATACTATCACCTACTTACGCTAATACAATCGCTACCTCCGTCAAGTTCCAGGCCCTTAAGGAACAGCGCCTTCATACTATATCGACCTATTACAGGTATCAAGGAAATAGAACTTTATTTAGGACTACTATTTTAGTGAAATATTATAAATTACTAACTTCTAGCGCCTAAAAATAGGATCTAAGCTATCTTCTAGTACCTTAGTTACTAGTGTCACTATTATAATTATTCTTTATTCCTACTTCTTACTAAAATTCTATTAGTACTTCTAAACCTTATAACTAATATATAATTTGCCCTCTATTAGCTATAAGTTATAAAGATACTACTATATAGAGGTTACTATATACTTATTAGTGATCTTTATCTCCCTTTTTAGCTTATTTTATTAAAGACTTTAATTCTAGACTAGCTTAAAGAACTAGATCTTAATTACTACCTAGATATTATTATAGTAATAAAGCTAAAGAATTAATTACTAATTTTAATACTAATAAGGAGTATTAAAAGTAACTTACTCTAGAAGTAAGGCTTAAGAAGGATAAGTAAGTACTTTTATTAACTCTTAAGATAAGACCTAATACTCTTCTAACCTTATAATACACTCTATAGGTATTATATTAAAGAGCCTAATACTATATATAGGAGTATCTCTATAGTCCCTCTAATAGTATTTATACTACTAAAATTTATAATAAATACTATATTATACTTAAATAAAATAGTTAACCCCCCCCTAAATATTACTATATTTAATATATAGAATATATAATACCCTTAGTAACCTTAGCTTACTTTTAGTTTAAACTTAAGGGAGAGTATATATAGAATCTTATAGTAAGTAAATAGATAGAATACTATAGTTATATAAATATTAAAAAGATTATAATATATATAGATAGAGTAATTATATTTTCTTAATAATATAAATAGATAATTAATAAAGTCTCTAGGATTAGCTTATACTACTAGACCTCTTATATATTAGATCTATCTCTCTATAGCTATTTAGAATTTCTTAAGGGCTTAAAGATACTAGTACTAAAGGATTATATTATTAATAAAAGCTATAAATTATAGGATATAATCTATTACCTATATAAGTATAAAGAGTAATTATTTTATAATAATAGTCTACTATAGAGGTTTAACTCCCTTAAGGATCTAGAGACTAATATTAAGAAGAATTTAAATATTAGAGTTATTATTTTAAAATAATATCTACTTACTATTTAGTAAATACTAAATTACTTTATTAACCTAACTAAAGTATTAAGTATACTTAATTAGTCTAAATTTATAAATAAATTAATCTACTTCCTAATACCTTACTATATATACTATATAGTATATAATAAAAATCCTCTAAAATAATAAAGCTTTTAAGGAAAAAAAAGATAGATTAATTAATTAATTAATCTTATATATATATAAAATATATTACTCTTCTAGATTATTTCTAGATAATGTATACTATAAGTAAATAAAAGAGGGAGAGATAGATAACTAATTATTTAAGAATTCCATATAGGTATAGTTATTTATATAACTATATAAATAGCCGATATTCGCAAATGCATTAAGCTTCTTGGTGGTCACGCGCCGCTTGTATTAATTAGCCAGTGGGGCATGCATTAGTATATAGTCGCTATCTATAGAGAGTCACAAAGCCACCATTATATAGAGGCAGCAGAGTGCTCGGTAGCTATACTTATCTCCCTTTTTAGCTTATTTTATTAAAGACTATACTTCTAGATTAGTCTAGAGAACTAGATCTTAGTTATATAGTAACTATTATAGGTAAGCTCTAATAAAGATAAAAAACTTATTTATTAAAAAAACCTACCTAAAACTCTAAATCCTCCTCTAATATATTAAATAGGGTAAGCTTTAGACTTCTTAATCTTCCTTAAGAAACTTATATATAAATAGCCTCTATCTATATAAGACTAGTTCTTATAATTATTAAAGTAATAATCTTTCTTTCTTCTAGCTCTCTTAATATCTTCTTATTAATATATATATTAAACTTATTAAAGGCTTACTATATATAATTATTAATAAAGGATAAAAACTAAGTATTACTTAATATTAATTATAGGTATATATCCTCTATAATAGTAATAAACTTTAATATAATAATATTAGTACTAAGTCTTTTTAGTTTCTTTTATATTAAGGGTATAAGGTTATTAAGCTTATACTTAAGAGCTATAGTATAATATTCTAAATAAATTATAAATTCTAAATATTATTACTCTTAAGGATCTAAGCTATTAAATAGTAGATATTTATAAGACCTTATATATATAAAATATATAATAATATATATAGTCTTATTAGATATATTAAGCTATATTAATAGTATTATATAAGTAGCTTAGATTATTAATAGGAGTTTAAGATATAGTTCTAATATAGAATAGTAAGTACTTAAAGTTAAGTTATAAGATAATATCTATATAATAGAACTTATATATAGCTTAAAATATATAAATTAATATAATTATATTATAAGATATTTTAAATAGAGCGATTACTTATAAGACTTAGCTATTTACTACTATAGACTACTTTTTTAGATCTATAATTAATAAAGTAATTTTAAATTTAAGGTATTATACTACTAATTTTCCTTTATTAAAGAAGATAATAATAATAAATAGATAAAAATTAGATTACTAGTGTATATTACCTAGTATAAGGAGCTCTTATAATTATAGGAAAGGATATTAATATAAATAATATAGTACTTACTACTCTTTATAATTACTAAAGCTAAGTATATACTAGATTAAAGAAAATAAAAGGTAGATTATATATAAATAGAAAGTAGATAGTATATAAAAATAGAAGGTAGATAATATTCTAGTATAATATACTATCTTAAAATTAACTAACTAAGCCTTAAAACTCTACTTTTATACTTCTTTTAATCTAAGATAACTTAATTAAACCTTACTAATAAATTATATTTTTAGTATTTTATAATAACTAATATAGTGCCTACTTTATATATTAGTAGGTTACTTTAATATAAGGAGTTTAAGTAGTCTATTAATTATATAATAGCTTTTATAGCTTATAATAATACTAATATAACCTTAAAGCCTATTTAATAGGGAAAATTAAAGCCTATTTAATATAAAATATTTAGTGAATTAATTTAACTATATAGAATTTAAGTAGGGAAAAGAGGGTCTTATACCTTTAAGGGTATACTAGTACTAGATATAGTAATAATTTAGATTTTAAATTCCTATAGGTTAAAAAGAATAGAAAATAAGGTACTATTTTAGTATACTCTTTTTAAATAAACCTATATTATACTTATACTAATTATAGCTAAATCCTATTTACCTAGTAATAATAATAGTTATAAGTAGCTATTTAGTTCTATATCTATAGCTATTATATATAACTATAAGGGAACTAGTATATATTAACTCTAGGAATAATTAGGTAATTTAATAACTTTTACTATATCTATAATATTATATTAGCTATAAAGCTAAAGCTTAGCTAGTATAGGATTATCTAATAGGTATACTATACCTTACTAAAGTATAAGTATATAGTATAGTATAAAAGGTAAGTAGTATATTATACTAAATCTCCTACTATAATAATCTTTAATAGATAAGTTAAAAGCTAAGAGGGAACTTAAGTTAAAATATTAAATTTAGTAATAAATAACCTTTATTTTATCTAGTACCTTATACCTCTTAAACTTTATAGTAGAGTAGGAGATAAAATTTATAGTAGAATATAGGTATTTAACCTTTTACTAAGGTATTATATTAATCTTAATAATAGTACCTACTATATTATATAGTATTTATAGTATACTAAATAGTAAATAGTAGTAAGGAGTAGTTCTTTTAAGCTATAATATTATCTTTCCCTAGATAATATAGGGCTATAGAGTGAAAGCCTATTAAATATTATAACTTAGCTAATTTAAAGTTACTATATTAAGCCTATATTAAAGTTTACCTTATAAGTTAAGCCTATTAAAATTACTATCTAAGTAATATAATATTATTTATATTTAATATCTCTAGAATACTTAGCTTAAAGATATTAATCTAGCCTTTAAATTAAATAGTTATATAAACACTATAGCTATATCTAAACTCCTATTAAAAGATAAGGAGTTATTTATAATAAATACTTAATTAGTAAGCTTAGGAGAGTAATAGTATAATTACTTAAGAGTATTTAGCTATATTAATATAGGTTTTAAAATATAAAGTCCCCTAATATATTATTAAATATTACTTATAATATTTCTCTAAGAATTTTCTATCCCTATTATAATATAAGGCTAATAAGTTATAGAGAGAATTATCTAATATAAGTTTTATAATCCTAAACTACTAAAGGAAGCTCTTATAGTAGTAGGGGCTAATATTAAGCCCCTAAAGAATAATAAGAAGTAATAAGGAAATAAAAGACTTACTTTAATTAATAATACTATCCTAAGGCTTACTCTTATTAATAATAGGATCTTACTAAGGAAAACTACTAGTAAGCTATATTATTTCTACTTATCTAACTAAAAGTAATCTTCTAGCTAAGGTAGTATTAAAGTATCTATTTAGCTAAAGCCTTAAATACTACTCTATTTTAAATTAAAGAGTAATATTACCTTATACTATTTATTTAGATATCTCTAGTATAAAAGGGTTATATATTTCTAATTATAGGTGCTACTACTATTAAGGTGCTTATTAGTATAGTCTAGCTTAACTATAGTTAAAACTATACTTATATATATAAGATTATCTATAGTCTTAGTATTAGTAAAAGTCTCTTAAATAATTATAATTATACCTATAGGCCCTAGGTACTATATAAGGAATAGAGCTATATTAAGGTAGGATCTTATATATTAACCTAGCTATTTTTTAGGATTACTTCCTACTAGAGTTAAGTTATATAATAAATAGTATACTATACCTTATCTAGTGTCCTTTAAATTTATTCCTAATATATATCTAATTAGTATATATATAAAATTCATAAAGTAATATTACCTTAATTAAAATATTAAGAATCTAGAAGATATAGCTCTTCCTTAATTAGTAAGTTAGCCTTTCTTTAAAAGTAAATATAAAATATAGACTAATAGTACTCTCTAACTTAAAACTACTTATTTTATTCTCTATAATATTAAGAAATAATATACCTATAACTATAAATATACTTTTATAAGGAAATAGCTTACCTCTATTATCTAGATTAAAGGTTTATTAGCTTTACTAGCTAATTTAAGAGTTAGATATATAAGGCTTATAGAAGAGTAGTAAAAAAAAGTAAAAGACTATCTAAATACTAAGATAAGAAGAAGAGTAATAGAGTTCTATATACTATAGCTAATTAATATTTTAGGGTAAAAAATAAAATAGGTGCTATAAATAAGAGATATAGGAAATATCTATTTAAGAGTACTATAGAAAAACTCTAAGCTTATACTACTTACTAGATGCTTATACTTAGCTAAACTTCTTATATTTACTAGAAGAGATTTGTTTAAGCCTTTAAGCATACTATTAAGTTCCACGTGATATTATGTACGAAGATTATAGATTACTGATCTAGCACTCTCTCTCCGATGTAAATTACAAAGATATTACTTTGCTCGCCTAGCTAACGAGGGATACATAATATTGATAAACTTATGCTCTTAATATAAACACTTTGCCCGAAGTTCTTCCCAAGGGGGCTAGCATTCTAGTAGACCAGTCCCAAAGTGTGCGAGGTTAGACTAGTGGCTAGCGTATAAAGCCTTCTTACAAGGGCGGTCGCTACTTAAGTCACTTAAGTTATCTCACTAAGAGGGGTGACTTACTGAATTTAATCTTAAAATAGAACCCAGTTAGCTTCAATAACGCGCGTATATTATGTAAAGTCATACTATTAGCGACACTGATCACCGCATTCCGTCGTACAATTCACGAGGCTTATTAAATAATATCAAGGCTCTTTAAAGGCAACTTATAGGGATATTTATCGATAACACCCTCTCTTTAGAAACGCGCTCGGGAATAGACTCCTGCTTCAAAATACAATATACCTTCGGAGCAGAACACCTACATAGTCATTTTTTTGCTTTTAGTTCTCACCGAAATGCCATTAGTGCTCTTAAACATTATAGCCAATATAGAATTTACCCTCCACTAGTCATAAATCACGAGGACACTGTTTTACAAAGGTAGTAGCGCGCTCGCTAACGATCTTTCTCTCCCTTTTCAGCTAGTTTTATCAAAGGCTATATTCAGATTAGCGTAGAGAACTATCTTAGCTACTAGACAAGCTCCATCGTAATGATCAAGCAAAGGCATTAATTACTAATTTCGACGCCGACATGGAATATTAAAAGCAGCTAATTCCTAAAGAGAGGCCTAAGGAACATAGATAAGCACTTTCTCCGCCCTAAAGTCTAACTAGACTAGTAAACAGGAAGCGCCAAATTGCATAAGTTTTAAGCACTAGGTACTATATATCTCAGTATCCCCATCTCTCCTCGGTTAAACCAGCTCAAATCTAAAACTCAAGGCAGGCTCCTACTCAACCTCAGAGGCCTTAGCACTAGTACCTAAAGCCATCTCTTCCTCACGAATTTCTAGCTTAGCCTTCCTCTTATCCTCCTTACTCTTCTTCTCCTTCTTTTTCTCCTTCTTCTTCTCCTTCTTTAAAATACCTTTCCTTTCTTCTAAAGTAAGTAGTTCTAGCGTACCCTTCTATCTGCCTATTCCTACTATAGGGATTACTTTAGCCTCCATATATAATACATCTATAGTTCTAAGAGAGCTCTTGATTTACCCCCTTTCAGCTTTACTACTAAAGCTAGAGCCCTAAGCCTTATCTAGTTTTTACCTTATAATTAATTAGGTAAATCTTATTTCTAGTTTTAGATTAAGATAAGGCTTATCTAACTCTAGATACTCCCTAAGATCTTTAATTTAAGTCCACTTTAAAGGATTATATCTAAAGTTTTAAAGTAGAAGTATATAAATATCTAGATGGTTTTAGAGAAGTATATCCCAGTCTCCTATAGTACTGGATAGTTTTCTTAGATTTTTAAAGTATTATATAATAAAGTCTATATAGAACTATCTTAACTTTATAGCTAGTATAGTATTATCCTAAGCGTACTATATATTATTATAGGGTATAGCCCTACTGAAAGATATAGCTATATACTAGCTGTAAAGATAGCTTAGCGTATAGTTTTTAAACTCACTATATAGAAGCTTATCACCAAGAACCTAACACTTTACATTAATGCTAGGATATAGTAGTAGTAATAAAGATTTATAGCTTCTATAATACATCCATTCCATAAATAGGCTAAACAATTCAGGATTATCTTCTAGAAGCTTAATTCTTTTATTATAGGTTTCCTAAAAATCCTATAAACAGGCTATTTAAAAGAAGGAGGAGTAATATAAAATTAAGTTCTTAGGAAGAGACTATATATTTAATAAGCTTATCTAAGTATCCTTATTTAATAAGTTTAATATACTAATATAAATCTCTATTATATTACCACATAATCTGTCCAGATTAGCTACATTCTATAGAGTTCAGTAGAAAACATACAGGTCTAGTTTCCTTCTATCATTTCTTAGGCTTTTATTTAATAAGCTTATAAAAGGCATAGTAAAGACTTATTTATTCATGTTTATAGGTGAGCTAGCCTAGCCTTGCCTATAATCTATAAGCCTATATTCCTTAAGGCTAAAAGCCCTATACTCTTCTTAAGAAGTTATAATCTAATATATTTAAGGATAACCTTTAGAGCGGTCTTAGAATAGAATTACTCACTTATTTCCTATACCAGGCGTTGTATAACTAGTATCTTTTATTTTTAATTAGTAATAAATACCTAAGGACATAGCTATAGTTAGGAGTTATACTAAACATATTCAACGAGGATTATTTAAATAAGAGCTCATACTATAAAGAGAACCTAACTATAGAAAATTTAATTAAGGTCTAAATAAACAGTTTAATAGCTTAGGAAGCAGGGTAGCAACCTCCCCCCACTTTAATCTAAGATACTCTAGGTAGAAACCTCTTATAATACTAACTCCATACTTTATATAGGAATAAAGTAAGTATTCAGGCTATAGCTCTTACTATAATTCTACAAAAGGTTATAGCTAGGATAAGTTTAGCGAGCCGCTCATAAATAAACACATCCTTAGGCAGAAAACTTAAAGTGCCTGTTCACTAGTGGTTCACCCCTACCTCCATTTGCGAGCTCTTAAATTCAGGTTTAGCAGCTACATTAGCCAAAGCTTTTGCCCCATCTCTTTATAATCAAGGCCCACCAACCTACAAAGACCAATCAAACTCTAGGTACAGACTACCACAAGCAGGAACAATATCATCCGGTCCACCTGGGACATAACGCCGCAAGCGGCGTTCAACTAGTCAATAATCGAGAACTAATTGCCGTACGGGTTGGAAGTAGCGTACATCATAACCCACTACCTGCCATTATTATTTCTGCCAATGATCAATCAATTAGAAACTTAAGGCCCCTCTACCACCTAGTAAGCTAAGTTATTATCCTTTATCTAGAGATAGATAGTATAAGACCTGAATATTATCTAGAACCTTATTAAGCTATATATATTATTTTATTCCACTTAGATTATTAAACTTTTTCTACTATTATATATAAACTTAAATTAACTAATACTAATTTCCTATATTAGAGATAATTAAATATACTTTATTTATCTTATTCTCTACTATATAAAGGGTTATATACTCTATATCTTACTATTACTACTAAGTATTAATAAATCCTATATTATATCTTTAAAAGACCTTTAGAAGTTATCTAAGTTTAGTAATTATATAGTTTCCTATAAAGGGCAAACTTATAATATATATAAGTATATTATATATATATAGTCTCTAGTTATAAAGGTAGCTTTCTTTAGTAACTTTAAGGTAGGGTTTTCTTTCTAGAGATATAGTAATTCTTAAGAAAAGCTCTACTAATATAGAAATAAAGGAAGCTATATATATATACCTTTATATAGATAAGTATAAGCCTATAGTAATTAAAGCTATATTAAAGTATCTCTATACTAATATTTATACCTATTTAGACTCTATTACTAGCTAGGCTATTCTCTATATTAATATTAATATAGCTACTAATTACTATTAAATTAATAATCTCTTAAAGCTATCTAAAAATAATCTTAGTAAATTCTTAAGTAGATTAATATAGGTAGAATAGCTTCCTACTATTATTAAAGCTACTATAAAAAAGTAAGTTAATTAAAAGTTATAGTTATTAGTTATATTAGCCTTAGTAAGATTTATAGAAACACTTACTAAAAATCTAGATTTTATATTACTAGATCTTCCTAAGGACTTTAGAAACCTTATTTTTTAAGCGTGTATATCCTAGATTATATATATAAAATCAGTAATAATTAAAGGTAGAGCTAAGCTTAACGCGAGCCTTAAGCCTTATAATTAGACACTTAAAAAAGACTAACCTAAGGAGGGTAAGAGATGGCAGATTAGGCGTGAATCTAGAATATATAGGCTCTATATAGTATCCACTAGATTAGTAAAGCGATAGATATATATTAAATATTCCTACCTACTATTATTATATAAGCTAATTTCCAATATCATTTCCCTATAAATATATCCTAAGTTATTAGCTCTTATAGTATAATAACTAAGTAATTAAATTATAGAGCTTATTATACTATCTACTATAATATAAACATTATTAAAGAATAGTAGCTAGCTTACTATTAGTCTAGCTAATATTAATAGGAGGGGAACTTTATTTAAACTATAGAACTAGAATTATATAGTAGGATTAAAACTATATTAGATATAGTAACCCTATCTAATAAGTATTAAGATAACTTAGGGGAGAAAGAAAAGTTAATAATATATTATTATCTTTACTAGGGTAACTATTATTTTATAGAGGGAAGGTTATATAAGATATTCCTTAGTAGTAAGTAGTAGGTATATCTTACCTATTTAGAAGTAACTATTAAGAGTTATAAATATACTATATTAGAGAAATAAATATAAAAGAAGTTAATTTAATATATACTAGCTTCCTAATAGTTATAATTAATTAAAATAAAGATACTATATCTTATATAGGTAGCTATAGAGCCTTTTTATAGAGTCCTTATTATTATTACTTATCTTTCCTTATCTATAACTCTTTATAGCTTTTTTAGGAACTCTAGCTTCTTATATAAGCTAAGTAGTTTAGCTCCTAGTCCTCTTACCTCCTTTTTATTAATATATCTTTAACTTCTTCTACTCCTTAATTAACTCCTTTATACTTATATAATTCTCCTCTAGCTTATAAGTTAGCTTTTAGTCTACTCTATAGTATTACTTACTATTAATTATCTTTTTACTTATAATCTTAATAGCTTCCTACTTACTATTAAATATCTTATTTACTACTAAAGGAGGGGTAGGAGGCTTATCTATAGCTAGACTTATACTAATACTCTTATTCTATATCTCTATATTACTACTCTTAAGACTAGCCCTCTTAATATTTATTTTAGTAGTAAGAGCTAGGTATAATGCTTTAATAGAGGGGTATATTAAGAAACTAGTAGTTTTACTATATATAAAAGCAGAATCTAACTTAGCCTATATATATAATAACTCTTTAGTAGTAGAGAGCTAATTATTATCTTTATTATATTTTATAATAATATTAACTAGCTTATTAATATTATAATTAGTATATACTAAGGCCTTATCCTAAGACTATAGAGATTTACTATTATTAATACTATAATCTAAATTTATATCTTTATTAATAATAATAGTATAATCTATAGTCTTTTATTAACTTTATCCTTTTTAAGGTCTAGAATAGAATTAGTATATACTCTAAATCTTACTACTACTTTTAGTATTACTATCTATCTAGATATAAGAGGTTAAATTAGTATTATTATTTAGCTATATAGCTTTTAATAGCTCTTTAATTAATAAGAGCTTATTAAGTAAGCTAGGAGTCTTATCTATTTTTACTTTAGTTAGTATATAGCTTACTTATATACTAACCCTATTTCTTATACTAGTGATCCTATCTAAAGTCTCCTAAGTATACTAGGGAGGCTATATATTATTAAGATTCTTAGCTATATTTAAGGTCTAGGTATAGTTTTAAGGTAAAGAAACTATATATTATTTCCTCTTTAACTTTTATAGCTTAAACTATAGAGGTTTATATTACTTAAATTTAAAAACTATCTTAAGAATAGGTTATAGGTAAGTTTAAGCTAAAAGTTAAGATATTTTAGATTAAAGTAGTATAATATACTTAGGCTAATATAGAAGTTAATAGTAGATATAATATTAATATATTATATAAGGAAGGAGGGCTTTATTTTATAAATAGAGCCTCTTTATAATCCTCTCCCCTTTATCCCCCTCTTCTATCCCTTTTAATACTTAAAGATATAGAGCTTAAGCTATTTAACTAAAAATAAATTATAGTAAAAGTAGGCTCCTTAGATTCTATACCCTAACTTTCCTAATTTAATTATTACTACTAAATATAATAAAATAAGCTTTATATAGTTAGTAAGATTAAGGGGCTTAACTAACTATATATTAAGGCTAATTACTCTTAAGACTACCTAAGTACTAAGTAGACTAATATAAGTATATAACTAAATATAGTAAATAGTTTAATTAGTAGGTTTATTTATTCTATAATAGTAAAATAGTAAATATCTTAATCTTACTCTTACTTTATCTATATATAGCTAAGTTATATATAAGATTATTCTTTAATTAGCTTTCTTACTCCTCTTACTATATATTTATATACCTTTAATATAATAATAGGTAAATAGCTTTAAAAACTCTTAGAGTTAGAATAGTTCTTCCTAGGCCTAATATTTTAGCTAGTAGATAAAGAATAATATTATAGGAATATATATATCTTATTCTTATCTTATACTAACTAATACTAAGGTACCTTATTAGCCCTATTAGGCTATAGTATTAATATAAGTAATTATATTATCCTTTAGTATTTTAAAGATATAATTAGAAAGAGTAGTATTATTATAAGCTAGATCTAATATAATTAAGTTAGAGCTTAGTATATAGTATCTTAGCTACTATAAGTAATATACTATTATACTCTACTTAAGTATCTAGCTATACTTAGTACTACTATATAATTATACTTAAGGTAGATTTAATATTATTAGTAATCTAAAGGAATTTATAGTATATAAAAATTTAATAGCTTATATAAGCTAATAATAGTATACTCTTTACTTAGTAATAATAATAATAGTAATCTACCTCTATAAAACTTATATTACTTTATCCTTACTTTAGTATTATCTTCCTAATATATATACCTTTTAACTTAAGTAAAGGAGTTAAGATAATAGAGAATTATTAATAATATAGTTACCCCCTAATTAAAGATACTAAATATAAGATAGAGGCTAATATAGACTATTAGCTAAGTCTAAATAAACTAAAAGCACCTTATTCCCTTATAGCTAATTTAATCCCTATTTAAGCTCTCCTAGCTTATATTAAGAGCTAATAGCTCTCCTACTTATAAATCCACTTAAGAGGTAACTTATTAACTCTAGTAGTATAGAGATAAGATAGTAAATATACTATACTACCTAATTACTTAATATATAATCTTAGCTAATATTAGCTACTTAAAGATTATTATACTATCTTTAGTAATTATTTTTAAGATACTAACCTAGCTATATAGTAAGATAATATTAATACTTAGTAGAGTTATTACCTTATAATAAAGGAGTAGGAAAAATAAGACCTTTAGTATAATATTAAAAATACTAAATAAATAATAATTATAAAGGATATAGATAGTTTATAGATTAAATAGCTAATAAATATAAATATATTATTTAGGTTATAGTTAGGCTAAGAGTAGTAGGTATATAATAGTAAAGCTAGAAAATAGGAGGAAAAAGGAGACTATAGAGGTATATAGTAGGGGTAGTAGGGGACTAACTACTTTATAGTTAATATAAAAGTAGTAAGTAATAATAGAGTTAAAGATTTCCTAATATAGTATTTACTTAAATTAGTAAGTTAGACCTACTATTTTTAAAGGTAGGTAAGCTATATTATCTTTTACTAAATATAATATATATTTACTTAGTTTTTTATATTTTATTACTTAAAAAAGTACTAGAAAATATATTAAATTAAAATTACTTAATTAAAGTTTATAAAGAAAAATTTAAATTAGAGAAAATCTTAAAGAAAGAAGTTAGGAATAAATAAATATTTTATTTAATAAATAGAAAAGCTATAATAAAAATAATAATATATAGGAACTTATTAAATATTTAAAGAATTATTAGTATTTAATATATTAGTTCTACTAGGAAAAGAAGAAATAATAACCTTATACTAAGTAGTAATATTAGAAGAATTAGCTTATATAGTATTCTAATTAATAACTCTAATAGTGCTCTATAATTAAGCTTTAGTAACTACTTTAGACTTTTAGTATTCTAACTCTTTTAGCTTATTTAATAAACCCTTTTCTTTATAAAGTATTTCTAAACCCTACTTATAAATCTATTACTTTTAATAATATAATTATATTAGTTTATTTAAGGCTTTATTTATTTTAACTTATACCTTTAGAAGATACTTCTTAGTAATACCTTCTTTCTACTTTAAGTAATAATATTTATTTATAATATAATATATTAAATTAATAAGTAAGAGGAAACTAAAAAGAGAAATATATAACTTTTTACTAAATAATATTATAATACCTAAATAGTTATAAGAGTAACTATAATAAGTATATTTAAAATAGTACTCCTTTATATTAAGTATAGCTTAATAATAAAAACTATTCTTTAAGTAAAAAGTATAAAGTATAATATTTATACTAAATTCCTTAATTAATAAAGCTTTAGCTTTATAATAATTAGTAAAGGAAACTTTCTTTTTAGCTATAGTAATTAGTAAGGGATAGATATATAATAAATAAAGGAAGAAGTTCTACTTAGGCTATAGAATATAGTCTTAAGGATAAAACTAATAGAGAGGGAGTAATATATTATACTTTAGTTATAAGCTACTTTATATTTATATTATATAATATACTTAAATACTAAGAATAATACTTAAGACTAAGTATTAGTACTTATTATTAAGTATATTATACTTAGTACTAATTAAAATATATAAATACTAAGTACTATAGTATATATATATATTTATTTCTTAAATAGAAGCTCTCTCTTAGATAGTTATTAATACTATTACTACTACTTTTATTAAAACTAGCTCCTTAATACTTATATATTAGTAATAACTTATATAGTACCTAAATAACTTAATTATACTACTTAGAATAATACTCTAATTAGTTTAATCTTAACTTACCCTAGACCCCTATTTAGTATAAGTTGCTTAACTATTATACTTTTATAGTAACTTTATTATCCTTTTTATATATAATAATAATATTATCTATATAAAAGAATAAGAGAATTCCTAACTTAGTATAATAATATAACTTATAGAGAATTAATATAAAGTTTAAGCTTTATAAAGTTAATTTAAGCTCTATTTACTATAAAAGAGGTATAATTTATAGCTTATATAATACTTTCTTAAGTAATAAGATATATGACTCTTTATTATATTTCCTATAATTAAGTAATATTTATATAAATATATTATTAAGTAAATTAGTATTTATAAATATATTTACTATATTAAATTATAGTATTTTAAGATAAATCTTATAGTAATTACTAAGAGTATTTTAAATAACTTACTTATTAATATAGCTATATAGGTTTCTTTAATAATAGCCTTCTACTATTAGTCTCCTTAAATAATAAGTCTAGCTTTATACTTTTAAAGATAATTATACTTATTAAACTTATAAGTATATCTCTATATATAATTTAATATTTATAAATCTTAAATATATAGATTAAACCTTAAAATCTTAATTTAAGTTTTTATTTACTTATAATTATCTAAATAATTAAGTTTACCCTACTTAAACTCTCTCTTAAATTTATACCTCTTTAAATCTCTTAATATATTAAAGGTAGCTAATAGCTATCTTTTATAATATACTTTACCTTTAGGTATAAAAAGCTTTTTACTATTTTAAGCTTTAATTATTAATTTTAACTTACTATATTTATATTTATTATATATAGCTTAATTAAAACCTTATTTTAATTTTTTATTAAGAGTATAACTAAAGTCTTATATAAAAGGCTTAATTAAGTTTAATTAGTAATTCCTAAAGAGTCTTTAGCTTTATAACTAGCTTTCTATTTAATTAAATTTATTAAGAGGCTTATAATTAAGCTCTTAAGTAATATTAAAAAGGAGTAAAATAATATATTAGGTATTTATTACCTTCTATAAGGTCTTTCTCTTTAATACTTTATTATTAATCTCTAAGTTATTAATTAGTTATTTAAGGTTTATTTCCTTTATCTTAATTTTATCTTACTCTTAAGTTAGCTCTATTACTTAATTAACTTAGTTAGATTAAAGTATTAATTAAAGCCTCTCTTAAATTTCCTTTAGGGTTTAATCCTTAATAGTTTTATATATTTAAACTTTATCTAGATTAAATAAGTCTTTTTTATTAAAAATAATATCCTTAATAATATAAATATATTAATAACTAGATTTTAAACTTAAAAGATATTTTAGGAATTATATTTAACTAAATAGTTTATTTAAGCTTTAAAGTCTAATTATAATTTAAGATATTAAGTCTTTAATTATATTATTTTATTTAGTATAAATACTTTAGATCTAATAATCTTAAGGTAGGAAATCCTTAATTAAGCTTTAGCTTTAAGGTCTATAGTTAGTATTATTAAAAAGAAGTTTTAATATAAGGTTTTCTAATTAAGCTTTACCTTTAAAGTTCTATTTAATAAATATATAGCTATTCTAATTAATTTAAGCTATAGCTCCTTAAGTAAATTACTATTAATTACTAATAGCTTTACTTTCTCTTTTATTACCCTTTAAATATTTACTAAAGCTATTTTACTATTATATATAAAAAGTATACTTTTCTACTTTAATTACTTATTATAAAGGAAAATATAAATAAAAGAGCTCTTTTAAAGCTTATTATTTATTTTAATATATTTAATAATTATTCTATATTTAGTTTTAAGTATTTAAATAAAGTATATTAATATTTAAGGATATTTACTCCTTTTAATCTTTAAAGTAATAATCTTAATAAAATTAGAATTTCTATTTATTATAATTATATATAAATTATAATCTCTAAATTTAATTAGAAGTTATAGAAGTTAATTAATAATTACTCTTTAGATTTAAGCTTAATTCTCTTAGTTTATATCTCTCTTAGTATTTTATCTTTATTAAGCTATATATATTATATTTAATAATTATAGGCTTAATATTTATACTTTATTTATTAAGGTTACTAAGTATTTAAGTAATTTAGCTTTAAGTAGTAAGGTATTAATATTAATAAATTAAATTACCTTTATTTAGTCCTTCCTTTAAGTTATAAATCTAAGTTAGAATTAGGTAAATATAGCTTATATTAGTATTTTAGTATTATATTTAATAATATATTAATTATAGTATATTTCTAGCTTATATAATACTATACTATTATTATATTTAATTAAATCTTTATTATTTCTTTAATCCTATTAATAGCTTTATTACCTTAATTTAATAAGTAATACTAAGTTAATACTTATTATTAAGTAATAAGCTACTTATTCTAAAGTAAATAATATAGTTTATTTTATTTATTTTATATTATATAATTACTTTACTATAACTTAATATTAAAAAGCTTATAGAACTTATAAAGACCTTTTTATTATTTATAATTTATTTATAATTCTTAAATCTCCTCTTATTATTAAATAAATATAATATAGTTCTAGAATTAATAAAGATTAAATACTTTAATAAATAGCTATTACTCTTAGTAAGAAATATAATTATAAAGCTTAATATTTAATTTTAATTTACTAATTATTAATTTTAGTCTTCTTTCTCTTTAATAAGCTTATAATAAAGCTTTTAAACCTTAGGAGATTTATTTAAGTACTTCTTCTATATATTAAAGATTAATCTTCTCCTTTTAAATTTAATTAGTATATTTTCTAAAAAGAGTAGCTAATATACCTTTATATTAATACCCTTATATTACTTTCTATATAAGATATACTTAGGGTATTTAAATTTATTAATCTTAAGCTTTTTTTACTATTTCTCTTTATATTATTTAGTTTCCTCTTTTATTTATTACTTTTACTTCTCTTTTAAAGCTTCTTCTCCTTAAAATATTAGATTAAAGTTACCTTTAGCTATTTAAGGTTTAAAGTCCTTAATTAACCCTCCTTTTATAGATTATAATTTTAACTATATTTCCTCTCTAAATATAGAGGTAAATATAATTATCTAAAAGGTATTATTATTAATCTCTTTCTTATTTTTACTTTTTATAATTTAAAGTAGTATTTTAAACTTTAAATTTAAGTATTATTTAAGATTATTAAGCTACTTAAGTAGAGAGATAGTTATTAAAACCTTCTTAAGTTATATAACCTTTATTACTTCTTCTAATTATTAATTTAAGCTAATTAGTTTATTTTAAGGCTTTTAGCCTACTTTAAAGAAGCTAAATATACTTCTTAAGCTTATATAATTCTTTAAGGATTATCTACTTTATATATAGCTTTTAAGTTCTTAAAGAAAAAGTAAATATTATTATTCTCTCCTTTTTCTACTTTAGCTAAGGAGTAAATTTATATATAAAAAGAGCTAATATATTTAATTATTTAGTTAAATATATTATATAGTTTATTAACCTCTTTATTAAAAATAGTAATTAAAGTATAATAAGAGACTTATTTAATCTTAAAGGCTTCCTTATCTTTATTAAGAAGCTTAAGATATAACTTTATAGGTTATTCTCTATAAATAAACCTTAATATTTTACTTTTATTTAGGTCTAAGACTTTTACTTTATATTATAAATATATTAAAATTATAGGCTCCTTATACCTTAAGTCTTTATATTTATTTTTATTATTTAATTATATTAAATATAGGACCCTCTTATAGAAGGCCTTTATTATTAAAGCTTATTTAAAGAAATCTTAATTATTTAATTCTTTTAAGCTTATAGATATCTTAAAAGGTTTTATTTTAGCTAATTAATATTTAATTAAGCTAGATATATTTTATATTATTAGTTTAATACTTATTTTTATAGTTATAATTACCTTAAAGAAGTATAACTCTAAGACTCTTAATTATTAGATTTTATATATAGAAGTAGATATAAATTATAATTATATTAATTTAAGTTATATATCTCTAGTACTTTTAGAGGGGATAATTATATAAATTACTATATACTTCTCCTTTAGGCCTAAGGCTCTTTTAATCTAGGAAAGGAGATATATTTATATTAAATTAACCTTATTTTAGCTAATTATATTAAGTTATATAATGCCTTAGTTCTAATAAAAGTTATTATATTTAAAGTTTATAATATTTATAAGAAAAGTTAGATTTAAAAGGTAGATTAATTAATTATATTTATAAATATAATATAGTATTTACTATAATAAAATATTTATTATTTTTATTAATATATAGCCTTTTAATTCTTAATATCTAGTAACTTATATAATTATATATTTATAGTAAGAAGCTTAAGGATTAATTAATTATATAGCTATTTATCTTTAATAATAAGTATTAATATCTTTAATAGCTTATATTTTAATATCTTAATATATTCTTTAATTTAAATATTTATATATTATACTTATAGTTAATTAAGGTTAGAGTAGATTAAATAAGAGCTTAATAGTATTATACTATAAATAGAGGCTATATAGAGCCCTCTATAAAATAGCTAGAAATAGCTAGTAGATAGAAGTAATTTAAGCCTTAAGAATTATATTACTTTATATATAAGTGAAGGTATTATAAAACTAGGTTTTAACTATAAGCTATCTAACTATAGCTATTCTATAGCTAACTTTATAACCTATCTATAGCGCTAGCCTAGTTATAGCTAGACTTAAGCGTAATAAGTAGGATGTTTAAGACTTAAGTATATATAGTAATATATAAGACTTAATAAAGTTAACTAATAGTAAAAGTAGTAATATATTGCTTTAATAAGTAGTTAAATTATTTATAGTGATTATAGAATAAATATATTATTAATATAGACTTAAGCTATATAGTTCTATTAAGCTAGAGATAGTAGCTTTTAAATAAATAGAAAGTAGTATTTTAAGGTTTATAAAAGGAGTTATATTAATAAAAGACTTATATTTAAGGTATATTATTATTAATATTAAACCTTATATATAGCTTAATATAAGCTTTATAGCTAGATAAAAAAGCTAAAGTTTAATATATTATAATATTAAATATAATATTAAGTTATTTAATTTTTAGTATTTAAGAATTTCCCTTTTTTTTTAGTAATTACTATATAACTATATAGCTCTCTTACTTATTAATATTAAGTTATTTAATTTTTAATATTTAGGAATTTCCTTTTTCTTTTTTAATAATTATTATATAGTAATAAGTAAAAGAGCTATATAATTATATAATAAGTATTAAAAAAAAAGAGGAAATTCCTAAATATTAAGAATTAAATAACTTAATATTATATTTAGTATTATAATATATTAAACTTTAGCTTTTTTATTTAATTATAAGACTTATACCTAGCTATATATATATTGAGAATTACCCTATAGACTATAGGGTAGATTAGGTTACCCTATATTAGTTGATTAAATGATCTTAGATCGGTATAGGGTAAGGAGGATTGAAATAACTAAAGCTGGAAGCCCTCTGAAGCCACCGGCCTAACCCGCTGTGGCTGCCCGTCAGGGCAATTACGTTAGCGGTCATAACTGCTGTAACGGTTGCTGTGGCGTCTGTATTAGCGATCTTGTATTACGCTGTGGCAGCTGTATTAGCGGTCCTTGTGTCCGCTATAGTAGCTGTATTAGTGGTCCTTGTGTCTGCTGTAGCGCTTGTATTAGCGGACCTTGTGTCCACTGTATGAGAACCTTAGCACTTAGTTAGTGAACCTCGTAACTACTGTAATAGCTGTATTAGTGGACCTCGTGTCTGCTATAGCACCTGTATTAGCGGTCTTGTATCCCTCTATATGAGAACCTTATAGTGGTTATAGGCCTGTATTATAGAAGGCAATGTGTTATCTTTAGGGCTCTTAGAGCCCTGAAACACCTATAAGTATAGGGCTTCCTCCCTGCTAGATAGAGATTCTTTAAGCTAATAATTCACTCTTTTATCTACCCTATAGTCTATCTTCTTAGCTACCCTATAGCTAATAAAGCCTTTCTTTCTTACTTAGAGCCTGCTTCTTCTACTATGCCTTGTGAAATAATCTCTTTAGTATTCCCTAGCCTACCCTATAGGCTAAACTTACCCTAGACCTAGCTTACCCTACAGCTAGTCTACCTTACACTAGAGACCTTAACTTAATAAAAATATAAAGTTTAATATTAATAATAATATACCTTAAATATAAATCTTTTATTAATATAACTCCTTTTATTACTATATAATATATAATTATATAAATTACTAAGTATTAGGAATTAATAAGCTTATATTACTAATAATAAAAATTCTACTATAGTAAATACTATACTATACTCTTAAATATAATAAACTAATTAATATTTTTATATTCTTAAATATTTTAATAAATAAACTTTTCTTAATATAAACTCTCTAATATCTTAATTTAATCCTAACTAGGAATATAGAACTAAAACTTAGCTTAATATCCTTAATCTTTAAGAGCTACCTCTACCTAAATAAGTTTAATATAGTATATAATATACTAAAACTAGAGGTTATATTTTAGGTTATAATAAGTATAGATAAAGAGATAGCTATTATTAAGATATAGTATTCTATTTAGCTATATTTTATCCTCTTTAAGTACTTATAGTAATACTTAACTATAGGCTATATAATAAAGAGATAGACTTAGTAGATATAGTTACTAAATCTATATTATTATAAATAGCTTTATTACTATAAATAGGCTCTTAATTAATTAGAGGGGTATATCCTAGATTAACTTAAAATAAAGCTATCTTATATAATATCTAATAATTATTATTATATATATAAGGACTTAGTTATATAGCTTAATTAAGCTTTAATAAGTAGAGATATTTATATCTAATATTATTATTATTATAAGGTATTTAGTAGTTATAGTTAGTAGTTATAGTTAGTAGTTATAGTTAATAGTAATAAGTATCTCCTTTTAGGGCTATAGCTAACTTATATATTAATTAGCCTTTATTAAAGTTTTTAATAAGATATTAATACCTATACTTAAGCTAAATATATAAATATTTAAGTTTTTATAGTATTAAAGGTTTAGGTATAGGCTATAAATTATATTTTAAAAACTATATATAATAGTTATATATATAGACTAATCTTAGGACTAGATAACCCTTATTTATAGTAAGAAAAAACAAATAATAACTCCTTTTATAAACCTTAAAATACTACTTTTTATTTATTTAAAAGCTATTATCTCTAGCTTAATCCTAATAGAACTATATAGCTTAAGTCTATTTATAATTAATAATTTATTTATTCTATAATTACTACCTTTATTAAGATAATTTAATAATATATTAATATACTTAAGTCTTAAATATCCTATTAAGCTTTTATTTAATCTACTTTAACTTTATAATTATAAGTATATAAATATCTTACTTAAAGGATATACTAAGATACTAAAGTATAAGTTACTAAAGGTATTAATACTTATTATTAAAAATAAATAACTATATAATTAATTAATCCTTAAGCTTCTTACTATAAATATAAATAATTATAAGCTTATAAATATTATTAAAGTAATAAGGCTATTAAAGATTTAGATATCTTTATTACTTAATTTAAAGTAAATAATTAACTTATTTAACTTTAGTAGTTATATTCTTAATAAAACTAATTTCTTTAAAGAGGAGGATTTAAATAATAAGAGTAATATTACTTAAAAGTATAATTATTATTAACCTTTTTAATTTTAAAGTATATATTAATATAAAATAATAATTATAATTATTATAACCTTTAGTTAATATATCTATCTTTATATCCCTTTTAATAATTATTATATAATTATATAGTTCTTTTACTTATTATTATTTCTTAAATAAAAATACTCTTTTAAATAATTATTAATATAATTATTATTACTTTAATATAATATATTTTATTATACTACTTATACTAGCTAAAGTATATTTATTTAAATAATATCTATTTAAATAGCTTTTAATTATTACTTTTATTAAAACTAATTTCTTATATTTATATATTAATAATAATTTATATAATTAAAATAACTTAATTATTTTACTTAAAATAATTTTAATTAATTATATCTTTAATTTATTTTAAACTTTTATTTAATTTAAATTACTTAATTATTATATATTAATAAGTTTTATACTTTATTTTAATTATTATATAATAATAAAAGATAATATATTTATTATTATAATTATAAATAATACTTTAAAAGTATTTATTATATAAATTAAATATCTTAAGCTAAATTATATTAAAAATATAATAATTAAATAACTTATATTAAATAAAGGTTTAAGATAAATTAAAGTTAAACTAATTAAAGTTATTTTAAGTAATATAATTAAGCTATCTTAATGCTATATAAATTACTATTAAATATAACCATTAAGGAGCTAATTTTAATAATAGCCCAGGTCCGTCGGGTAGGGGGTTCGCTCGACCGACGTAAACTTCTTAGGCCGGCCGCCGAGCTGGATGAGCGCGGCTTTGGCACTGTCGATAGCATGCTGATTTGCTATTTTCTGGACGAACTTCATGTTTTCTGGGCTAGACTTTTGTTGCACGAGGTTCCTAAAAGCACCATCGTGACGCATCTCGTCGGCTACGACATTTTCGTCGGGGGTGGTCACAAGCATGTCAAGAGACTGCCCCTCCCTTCCGCTTGAATGCCCCCAGTCCTGCAGACTGTCCGTTTGGTCTTCTCCAGGGGAAGAGTGGCCGACGAACTTCTTCTCTTGGTCAGTGCCTACAACAGAGACGCTGTTGCAAGTTCATAGGTTGTCTGTTTTGATGCCCTTATTCCCGACAACACACCCGGCATCATCTTGCCCGACCTTCTTCATTGCATACACCGTGGTAGTTAGTGTCAACCAGAAGAGCAACAGGTTCATGTTGAAAAGCCGGATGGATGAGACGGCTTTGGCCATCCACAAGTATCAGGCTATAAGGTCTTGCGAGGAATGTTTGTCCTTTGCGTGTATAGTATGAAGTTTAAAGAAAATTATATTAAGGGGAATATTTGAAATAAGAATATATAAAAAGAAGATGAATTTGAATTTGAATCCAGAGGATAATTTCAAGCTTCACCAGCTGACCTATATATACGATTGAATTCCATCAGGCTGCTCGTCAGCTCGGGATCGTCCACCATGGACTCTGTGAACATGTTCTGGCCACACCAGAAATAGCATCTCCCGTATGGCGCTAATATTAAGAAAGAAAAAAACGCCACGCCCAAGACTAAACGAGGCGATGCTAATCTTCTCAGTGTGCAACCAGAAATCCTGTTTTGTAAATGATGGCACACGCCTCTGGAAAGGGCATTGTATCGGTTCTATGGACATCCCATCCCGATTCAGTAGCATAGCCCGTCCTTCCTACTAAGCTGCGATGGTTTCCCGTAAAAGGTGTAGCACTGGCCAGTAATTTGCTCCTAGGATAGGCAGCGAGCACTTTCTTAAATATTAGTAGATTAGCTATTGCCCCCTTCTTGCATGATATGTCCTTATTTTGCTGTCGCCTTGAGCTAGCAGGGCTTATTTTTGCCTTTCGTTTTCATTTTTCATTGTGTGAGATCCGCTGCTCGAATTCTCGCACCAATGCCCTTAGTATTCAAGAAATAGCTCATTCAAAGACTGGCTTCACTCTATCACTTCCTCTATTCCTCTTTCATGCTGTGCCAATTTATGAATACTCAGGATCCTTGAGGGCTGTATGGTTGATCCCACCGAGACCCAAAAGGACCTTTTTCAGCTGACTACTCTGACAGTCGATCAGCTCACCTCCGGCCTTTGTTTCATCACTCCATCATATGTAGGGCTCACCCCGAATTCTTTCGGTCGCTGCAAAACCGCTATGTAATCTACTGCCCCGCGCGAAATGAACCCATAATTCTTCATTTCCCACCCCGAGAACTCGCTTTGCGTCTTGCAAATCAGTTTACCAGCGCAACGGAACAGTACTAACCTCGCTTCCCGACGCTCAATCGCCAGCACTTTGCAGAGCAGCAGGAATTAGCCAAGGCCTCTTCGTTTCATTCATTCCCCCGCCTCCCGGCCGAAATCAGGCTTAGAATATGGGAGTCAGCTCTGTCAACCCGGAGGCTATTCACCGTTCACCTCAGGGAGAGCCCTGGTGCGTCAGGCGGTTACAGCCTTTCAGTCAAGCAGCCACCCCGGATCAGCCCACTCCTACGCACCTGTCATGAGTCCCGGTAGGCTGCTTGGAGATATTTCAGGCTCCCCGTTCGTCTCGATAACTCCAAGACGCTGTGGATCGCACCGGAGAGCGATCATCTCTTCCTGCCCAAGTTCGGCGTCAAGACCGGCGTCTTTGTGAACTTCATCAATGACTTGAAGGCAAACGACCCCAACCGCGTTGGCCTGCTCCATATTGCTTTCGACAGCTTGTGCGCCAAGACTCTGACATTCTTGAAGGCGTTGGCGCCAGACCACGACATCCCTCGAGATGCACAGGACACCTTCAAGGCTTGCGTCGCACGGCTACAGTCTGTGTGGTTCGTTCATCTCCTATCAAGAGATTCCCGTATCAGCCATGGCCTCCTCACAAGTACTAGGAACAGGTCCATAATGGGCTACAATCGTAGCATCCCAATCTTCCCTCACGCTGTCGAGTTTGAGCTACTCGGCTCAGATCCTCGGCCGATTGAATCCAGCCTGGAGGGGCAGACAGTCTGGCAGGATCCCAAAACCGCCGTCCAAGCATGGGTAAAGCTGGAGAGGAAGCTTGGTTTCCCCAACAAGAAACGCAAGGGCAGTAAGGGGCCCAGCCGTGAAATCTCCCACCTTCTCGCCATGGCCGCAAGAAATGGCTACACGCGTCGGGCCCCTTTCGAAGTCAATTCCGAGCAAACCATGGATGACTGTCTGCAACTCGAATTGGACACGCTGAAGAGTTATTTTATCGATGGTGTTGGTAGTTTATGGCCGCATCTATACCATCAGGAGGTCGAGGAAGGCAAGGAGTATCTTCTGTCGGCAGCAGGGTTTTGGGTTTTCCCACTTGGAACCTTTAAGACAGTAGACAAATCGCTTGAAACTGCAGTGTATAAGGATTTCAGCGGTCTTCAACCTGGAATCGGACTCTTTAAACTGTGAAGACGCCTTCGGGGGGTTGCCGCAGCACATAATGGCCAAGCCAAACGCACAGCGGCATGTGTGAACGGAGGAGAGTAGCGGAGAAAGTAGACAATGGGCACGGATTATATTTTGATATTCAGATCTTGAGTTGTTTATCCTCGACCAAAAGCGAGATCCTCACCGTGACATGCGGCAGAAGCAACTGTCCTGCACCTCAAACTAAATAATACCATGCATTCTCTAATTCCCTTGGTAGCCAGGTCTTCCATGCAACCCATTTGCGGTAATGCAAATCCACTCTTTATAGCTGGTCACGTTCGGTCCGTTTCATCCTCAGCGGCTCCAATTTGAAACCATTGGAGGACAACTATTCAAAGTTGCTATCCATTGTGTTGAGATATCGGGTCTAGCATCATTCATTGCTATTTTTAACTTTATACTTGAACTCTCTCACCCGTATTTGAAGTCGAAGATATCTCATTAACAAAAGTATTAAAATTTGCACGATTTAGTCAATCTGGTCTCAAAATATTCGCCACTGTCCTTCGGGATTTAACTCGATGCCAGACCTGCCAGCACCCTGTTTCGCAAAACTCCTTTCCCGTATTGTCATATCATCCCCCCATCCAGGGACCAATTACCGTGTTACTCTGAGAGGGTGTGCTTCCGTATTGAACATGTACTCATCCAGGCTGATCAGGCTCGGCTCGGAAAACGTCAGGTAAAAGTACTTGAGTGTTTCGCCGGTCCAGAACGACTCCATCGAGTTGGACTGGCTCGGCATCTTGTCGGGGTCGTTGATCTCCCAGACGGCCGTGTTGGCAAGCTTGGTTGCCGTCACCTTCTCGATGGCGTTGAACATGTCCCAAGCGGACTCGACGAGGTCCTGGCGACCGGTCACCCGGTACAGCACCATGACGCTCTCGATGGCCTCGGGTCGGAGAATGTATCGTGTATCGGGAATCCGGGTAAATCCCTTAGGAATGTTCCCGTCCGAGATGATGGCGTCGGCATCGGCGTCGGAGGAATCGACGCCCTTGTTGTTGGCCTTGACCACTTCCTTCTTCCAGCGCCTCTCATCCCATGGACAGTTGGTGACCGAATCGCAGGCAGCCATGAAGAAGAGCTCAGGCATGACGCCGTGGGGGAAGGCTTTGTAGGTGTATACACAACCGTCCGTCAGCTTTCCTGCAAGTTCAACATCCTTTGGCCTGCTGAAGAGTCTGCCTCCGATGGCAAGCATCCCACCCACAAAGCACACCAGATGCTGGCCCTCATGCTCATTCACGACCGATGTCTTTCCGTCCTCGCCCTGGATCGTCTTTGCAGGACCAGAGATGAGAATGTCTTCATTTGTGGGCGTCATTGGTCGGAAGAAGTTGTACTTGGCTGCGGTGTCAATTGCCTTCTCATACATGGCCTGGTAGACGGGCAGCCGGCCGCCCGTCATGGCGGCCATCTTTGGCAGATATTCATAGACCGAATCAGCCATGGCGCCCAGAGTGAAGGAGTTGCCCCGGTTGAACACCCCGTCCTTGGTATCCACGACCAAGGGCCACATGCCAGGCAACTCAGTCGAATCCTGCTGTGCTGCGAACGTGTCGGTGATGCGTTGGGCGGCATCAAACCATTTATCGTCCCCGGTGATTTGCGACAGCCGCGTGAGCTCCATGCACAGACTGCCCACCTCGGCAACGAGGGTGCCAGAGCTGGCGGCCTGCTTCTGGCCCTTGATGGCGACGTGCAGGTCCCAGCGGGTGATGGGCATGTGGTTGGGTGTGTCGAACGCCTTGTAGATCATCTCACCCACCTGGGCCGCCTTGCGGAGCAGCCGGACGTCCTCGCTCATTTCGTAGGCGGACAGGAAGCCGCCCAAGTAGCGGATCGTGGTCTCAAACACGTTGATCTCGCTGAGGTCCGTGTGGGTGAAGTCGATGTCATCAACGGCAGCGACGGCCTCGGCAAACTCGTCGCGCAAGTCCATGATCCAAAGGGTGTCAAGCGAATCGATGAGGGTGGCAGCCCAGCCGCCAAAGGGGTTCTTGCGGCCGCCCGAAACGGGCTCAAGCTCATCGGCCATCCAGGCATGCTTCTTGTACGAGTTCCAGCATCGCAGGAAGGTCGCCTTGACCGCCTGCTGACGCTCGACGCGCTTCTGTCGCTGGGCCTGCGACTCGGCAGGGAAGTTGGCCTGGATCTTGGGGAAGGGTTTGGGGGGCGTCCAGGTAGGGAACTTTTGTAATTCGCCGACGGGATAATTGATCTTCACTTTCCTCCAGAAGTAATCTGGGTCTCGCCAGATCGACTCATCGACCGGCCACTTTGTTGTTTGTTGGGGCTGCTGCTGCGTGCCGGGTTGGGCATCAGGAGAAAGGATGATCGCGTCGCGGGCGCCAGAGCTCCAGAGGTAAAAGAGCCCAGCCAGGAAGAGAGCAGATACAAGAAGCGAGCGCTTGCTCCTGAACACCATCTTGGCGAGATGGACGGGGATTGAAATTGATGGCTGAGGAGATGCAAAGTGCAGAATGAAATGATTGAAGGGAGCAGAATGATGTGAGACACTGAAAGAGGCCACTAACCTTTAGCGGAGGGAGAAAAGCCACTTCGCTATAGCAGCCATTAACAGTGACGATCAGCACCAGCCGCATGCAGGAGGCTGATTTGAAGGGAGGCCAGTGTTACATTTATGCATCAAACAACCACTCAGAATGTTCCATAGACGCCCCAAAACGCCTCCAGAAACCAACTGGCGAATGGGAACTATGCTGGCGGGTCGGACACCAGAAATTAGAAGAAAGACATGTTCAGCCAACAGGCCGTATGAAGATGTGCTATTCACACCGTAACACACCCCAGCCCGTCATGGACATGCACAGTGCGCCCCAAAGCTTACAGCCAGCCGCCCAATTTCGTTCAGCATAATCGATTGGGGGGGCATGGTATTGTATTCTTGCAGAGTGAATGGCATCTCTCTGTTTTACATCATGTGTATTGGGAAACCCTTCTCGAGCATTGATCGACCAAGTCTGGCGGCGGGCGACCACTCCCCTATCCTCTTTGTTAGTCCCGGTTGCTCGGGGTGCTTGTTACGTGAAACCATTCCACCCTAATGGCCTTGTTCATGGGCTGGCTCTTGCCTGTGACCATTCTCTCTGCTCTTTTCCCCTCAAACTCAACCGCCGCGTGTTACTACCCAGTTGAAAGCTAGCACCCAACGACACGCCCTGTCGAGATGACACTGCTAACTCTGTCTGCTGCGGTCAGGGATACGCTTGCCTTTCTAATGGAATCTGCCAGAGAATGGGCATTACGTGTTGCTCCAAGTCCACCTTTTTTTTAACTTGATACAACACAGTGTCTATGCAATGATAGTATCTTTTAGCCGAAGTAAGAAGTGTTAATTGCATTCAAGAGTAGAGATGGCAGATACGACCTAACTTTGAACACCCAGCCGCTTGTGTGTTCTCATTGGAAATTACCCCATGGATGTTACGAATGATTAAACAGCATCATGAGAACTAGATTGATGACGATTACGACATATGCTGGTTGCCATAAACTGTCGTCTGTGATATAATTAGAGGCATGCTTCAACTATCATAGTACTACTTTAGTCTTAAATTAATCAATAATTTGATAACTCGAATTAACGTTAGTTTCGATTTAAATCTAGAGGAAATTACATGTAATTGTCAAACCCTTTCAGATTTTAGGATCGTACCTTACTTCATCGTCAAGTATAAAGGCCAAGGGTCATAGCAAGTTTAAATAACTAGAATAACGGGTATAAGGACTCAAAGCTTCAGTAAATAAATCAGTGACATTTTGGGTGTTATTTTTCTCTTAACCGTAAGATCACATAACCAATTTAACCGTAGAAAGATAGCTCCTCACTAAGAAGACGTATATGTCTTCTTGGGTTGATTGGTCGGTCCTGCCCTAAAAGCTTTTCGGAGACTAGCATGCTAATCACCCTGGTTTTCCTTCTTCTTCCTATTTCCCTCTCTTCCCTTTGTGAGTAGTTTCTTGCAACGCTTAATCGTTTTGTGATCAACCCGCAAATAGCCCCGTCAAACTTAATACCAATCGCGTTGCGTCTCTGAGGCCATCAGGTTCTACACAAGCTCGAACTTGATTACAGTATTTGATACACGCCTCCTACGTTTGGAAAGTCTGACTCTTTGAGGTCTCACTAAAAAGCTACATGTTGACCAGCCACATACATCTGTGAGGCCAAGATGCTCGACAGCACGCACCATTCATGGGTGCACTACCATGATGAAGAAATTGGCGCTATTCACTCCACCACTTATCAACATGCTTGCCCGCTATATAATCCAATACTTGTTTCACTTTCCAATCATATTCAGCAAGCTGTTCTTCAAGCTCGTCATAAAGATAATCCCATGGTCGTTGTGGAAACCCCCCACCGCTCAGCGCAGTGAAATGCAGCATGCACTTCCCATTGGCGATTCGAGATCCTGCCTTGAGCCGGAGGATTTCGACTATTTTAAGCCAATCACCGTAGAATAATCGCACAGACGCGATCCGTATTTCCTTACATCTTGGGCTAAGCATGTGAAGCATCTGCTCTAATTCGGTATGGGAGATTGTGACATCTTCGATGCGAAAGCGTTTAACGGTGGGCTCGACTGTCCTGAACCAGCGCGCTGTCTGTCGCCCACGTTGACAAATGGGCCGGTTGCAGTTTGTACCAATGTGCTGGAGCTCTCCGCAGCCGATCGCCACATGTCGAAGGCTGCGGCTGGAGAGCAAGGCCGAGGTGTACATGCACCAGTAACCTAGACGGCCAACTCCAACTACCCGCAGGAATTTAAATGCGTCTCTCAGTTCCATCATTGAGCGTTCAGGAGAGGCGCCGGGTGGGAAGATGTAACAACATCTGTTTATGGGACAGCTGAGCTTTAGGCTTTGGAGCCATCCGCCCGCTTGAGATATGGCAATGGGCAGCTCCGTCAGAACGCGTGCTGGCAGTAATCCGCCTTTGATGTCGCTCAAAGGCATTGGTTGAATAAAGGCGTCTGCGAGTCCCGTGTCTCCCAGAAATAGGCGATAGTTCTTCATGTTGTATCTTTGCTGGACATCATCTGTCAAGTGCAGAGCGATGGGGTGCCGAACTCGACCTAGGGCAGCAGCTAACTGGCGAACAAAGGATCCGTTCATCAAGAGCTCGAATTGTTCATAGTGCTTCTCCTTGTAACGTTCGTGGGAGGAACGAAAGAACTCGTAGCCCGATCTGGAATTCGCTGGCCCAAGATATTGTGCAAAGTTCCTCAGTGTACTAAGCATTTTCTTTTGCCTTTCCTTGGCCACGAATTTTTCATACAGGTCAGGGTCATCTTCCCAAGACCATGGCTTACTTTCTGGCTTCAGCTCCAGCTTGAGCTCTGAATATGCATCTTCCAGTTTCGCTTCCCAGTGACTGGAGAATTCTGAGCGACTGTGAGCCAAGATTTCAGGCCGATAGGCGAGCGAGAGCTGTATCCCGCGAATACCACTGGCGATCCTGGGATTTTTGAGAAGTTCTTTCGCACGGTCTATAGACTCGTACGAGATTTCAAGATATAGGTATGGGCAGAGGAGTGGCGAGGCGAGGCTGCTGAATGTGCGGCACACTCGACGCAAGCGTTGAATGGCCCGTAGCTGCGACGGCCGGGATTCTGGCTCTCTAGAGAACCACTTGACATGGTCTGGTATATACTCGCCCAACTTTTCGAAAATCAGTGCCCAGATCTCGATTGGAAACCCGGGACGAGAGTGGCGTTGTTTCTTCCCAGGCATAGTAGGCGTGATTGTCCTCGGGTGCGAGGTCAGCGAAAATAGCATGCGATTATCTCGTTAGCAAAGTATAAAATGTTCTCTAGAACTTCTGTATTTTCCTGTTGGTTATGTTGTTATGTCTCTCTCCTCAAAAGACTGTGGTTGTGAGTCAAGACGTAATGACGAGTGACTCATACGCTTACTGCGTGAGGCTGTGCAGGGGCTTACCTCAACAGTGATATGAAACGGCTACCCTGGATGACCTAAAATCCCATACCTCCATTCCACCTATCTCACAGACCATGCTCACAGAGACACCACTCATGGCAGCCATAAAGAGGTTTCTTGTTATTGTTGTTATTGTTGTTATTGTTTAACGCCGTACGATCAAGAGGTTTCTTGAGAAGACTGAAGATTAGATCTTTTCTCTCTCGTAACTGCCCGATACAGCAGGTGGGAAGAACGTGGTTTCTGTCGAGATAGTGTGCCTTCTAAAAGTATACTACCTCGTGGTCAGAGTATACGGTTCCTTCACATTGGACGAAGGTGCGCCTATTGGAGTATCGGGGACCCTTGTTCGATGGTGTTGCTGTCATTTCTTTGGACAACATTTACCTCGATCACGGCTTCAGATTTGGATCCGCACTGGGGCAACTGTGGAGAGTGCTGCCCACAGCCCTACGGATGTTCGGCAGATTAGAGGTAGAATGGTAGGGTCCATGATTGTGTGCCGGAACTGGAGAGATGTTCTTAACCAACGGCGTCCAGGACAAGAAAAAAACACACAGCCCTATCTTTCTCACCTCGCCCCGGTTGCCCAGGGCTCGGATGCCAACACTCCTTCATAATCAGAGTTCTGGACTTCTGTTCGATTTGAACAGGGGCCCCGGACACCTAAACTCTTACTCAGGAGGCTTGGGCGGGTCGAGGTGTTGAAGCTCCTCCCTACCCGATCATAATTGCCTGGATATGGGGCTGGAGGATATGAGCATATCTGGCCCATATGTATCTCCTACACAGGAGTCTATCGTCAAATTCTCGGGAAATGACAAGCAAACCGTTGAGTTATTTCTGGCTCTCAAGAGGCAGCTGTGATTGGGATTGCCACCCGCAGATCAGTAGCCCCCTCATTGCCTCTCATATGCTGACAAACCAGTGATTGATTGTTGATTGCCCAGAACACAACCGATAACCCATTCAAAAAAAGACCCCAGGTGAGCCTGAAGCACCTGGTTGCCTGGTCCCCTGCCTAGTGCTTACTTCGGTAGCGCTGGTCTGCGCCTGGGACACGGAGTGATTGGATGTTAGGAATAGTAGCCTCCAATTTCCTTGTTTAAGCATACTGGGGCACAGTCGAGGCAAATATTTAGGCAATCGCTGCACATTTGTGCGCGCTGTCTGGGTTTCTGATATTCTGCCTGAAGCATCTACACTTGCCAGCCATGACGCAGTTCCAAACGGGAGTCTGGTATGACCACTCCCATTCTGCAGCAACTCAAGGGACCATAACACTCCCGAAGAACAATGGAAATATCTTCCTCTCGTTTCTGACCGTCATGGTCACGGTCGCTGGGGCTTGTGCATGGACCATCGTCTCCCTGCTGATCCACAGCTACCTTGTTCGCAGTCGTCCCGACACCGATCTTTTCGATCTTCAGCAACAAGTCACCCTTCGAAACGCGAAGACGCCTCTCGGCACGATCTACGATCTGTTCAAAATCCATGGCGCCTGGTCAGGCCGAAAGGTCCCGAGGCTCGGGCTCAGGACAGCCGTTGCTGTTGTCCCTGCTTTGCTCCTCTTTGGCGGGATGATGACGGCCTCAATCTTTACGTCAAAGGTTGTAACGAGCGAGGATGGAAGCGGTATTGCTCTGGCGCTCAACCAAGGCTGCGGCGTCATTCCCTATTCGAATGTGTCCGCCAGCGACCTGACCAATATCATAAGGGTCAACAAAGTGATCAACGAGACCATAGCAGCCAGAAACTACGCTATTAATTTCTACGGAAACAGAGATAACACACAGTCAATCAAGTCCAAGTTCGTTAAAGACTACCTCCCTTACAAAGTCGATGTCAACGCATCATGTATGTATCCAAGCGCGGCCCGCTGCAAAAAGGATGTGGCACCTATTCGACTAGAGTCCGAGATGCTGGACTCTCACAGCATGTTTGGGATCAATGCAAAGCCTTCCAATCGAGTCGGAGTTCGCACAGCTACAACATGTGGCCTGGCCAGTCTGCAAAATCTGTGGAAAAAGGAGTCGAACATGTTCACATTCTATATGGGAGGAATCAGGAATGAGTCAAACTATACCATTTCACACCCGGCGAGCAACGTGCGTGGATATACTGGTTATCATATTCAGTAAGTCGACAATGGTTTTTGAAAGATTCCCTGAATCAAAACCACTGACTCTCCAAAAACAGGTCTTTCACCGAAGGGAGTTTCTCAGGCTGGAACCCTATTTCGGACTTCAAGCGGGCTGATGCCGACGTCAGCGTCATCTTCTTGAACCAAAATGGGATGAAATACGCACAGAAAGTCAAAGACCCTTACTTTCTTGCAGACGACAACATGTCCGAAGAGTTTTACACGCCCAGTTGGGCAGTCAATCCTCTGCTCTGCTACGACCAGTACATGATTTGCAATCCAGGCAACGGCCGATGTTCACCTTGGGCAAAGTTCGCGAACTTTACTGAAACCGCAATCCACGACCCGACCCTTGGATTCAACGACGCGCAGCATGCCACTGCTGCTCGCATGACTCTTCATATGCAGTTGACTGCGACAGGAGTCCTCATGGCCACCTCGAACAATGCAGGTAAGCCGTGATCTACGCCTGCTACTTCAGTGGTGCCCTTTACTAACCCGTTCAACCAGCGCTATACGCTAGCAACCATATTATCGGTAATGACTACTCAACAGGTCTACCGGATAATCAGTGGCACCTTGAAACCACTGCATGGTTCCAGACCAAACTGGCAAAGATTCAAGCGAGTGTGACAGAGTATGTTCGCGCCCCGGATGAGGAACTAGGCCTTGAAATCATCTCCCCTCACAACTCGGCCCTGAGAGACATGTTCAACGTGACGGATGCGGTCATGGCCGAGCTTCAGGCGCAATGCGAAACCCAGCTGGTAATGAGCAACGGCGAGGTCTCCACCTTTAGTCTCGCTGGCATGCTTATCATCATTGTCATCACTGCCCTTCTCGCAGTGATCAGTTTCTACATGCAGGATATTCTTGACTTCGTTGGCAAGTTCTTTCCAAATGGCACACAGGCTCGCCAGGCGGATGATAAGCTGCAAATTCTTCGGCTCGCCCTTGCTTCGAACAACGGGCCGAGGCAGTGGGAGATAGGGTATGCAGATGTCCCCGTTTCATCCGATTACCACCACGTCAGGCGACCGGATAAAGAGGCGAGTTTGTCTGAGTACCCGCTCGAACAGCGTCTTATTGAGTCAACTACGACCCTTCCGATCCAGTACAGATAGATGAGATATTTGATGCCCTCAGTAGACAAATCTAAATTAGCAATTACCTCCCCGATAGTAACGCACTTGCTACCACTCACCTTTTAAGAGATTGCCCATAATCTTCCCAAGAGAGTTGCTTGGTCATATGGCCGGTATGCTACCATTGCGACTGGAAGCGCTCATCGAGGTGTCATTACATCTTCCGTTCGAAGATTCTGTGTTCTTTTATCTGACTTGCTGGCTTTTCGGGAGAATGCTTTTCATTACTCGCGGGTTAGGTAGGGGGGTTGACTAAACTAGACCCCCAACTAGCACGATGTTGACCAACACCACCATGTCTAAATCATTCTGTCCTGGATCATGACCTGATCCATGAGCAACACAAGTGATCCAAGTATAAGATTGGAATAATGAGAGAGATATTTAGTCTTTTTGTGAATTATTGTGGCAGTTAGTCACATAACAATGCTTCCTATCGTGTAATAATATATGATACTGCCTAATAATTACCCAACACTTTGAAGCACACGAATTTCGCCATTATCATCTCGTCCATTGCAATATATTCCCTATTATAGCAACACCGGGTCTGCTTAGAAAGTACCAAAGACTCGCTGCAATGGAGATTTGGCAATGCTCTTAATACAATGCTCATCGATTAATGGAGCCGATGCTATCATGACTCATGCTGTACAGCAGCTGAGAGGTCGGGATTCGACTTCATGAAATTGAAAGCGTGGTTCAGCCGGGCGACATTCGCATCATCGCCAATGTCGAGGTAGTACCTGTAGCTGTCACGGGACTGGCCATCCCAGAAACCCACAAGGTCTTCGTCCCCTTGGGAATACGTCCAGCAGCGAATGGAGGCGCCAATGATTGTGCAGGCGAACACCTTGTTAATGTCAGAATTGGCTGTCAGGAAGTCTTTACAGTAGCCCAGTGCCTGATCCTCGACAGCTTTGACAAGCGACTCGGTCTGGTTGGCGGCCCTCTTTGCTCCAGCAAAACAGAGGGTCTGCCACGCTCTATCCGGAGTTTCGGCCTCGATGACAATATCGCAGGCCTTGCGGCTCTGGACATTTGATGGGGTCTGTGAAGATACAGAAAATTTCAGGTCGCTGAAAACGAATTTGTTGAAGAGGAACTCGAAAAGGTTAACGGCCTTGTATGCCGTCCGGTCAACCAAGAGATTTCCGCGATCGTTAACGCTTTGCTTCGCCATTAGGTACTTGGTCTCAAGACCCGGATAGTTAATCAAGCCATGGGGCTTCCAAGTAGAGGCATCTATGATCAGATGTTGGAGTTGTGTAGAGCGTGTGTGGTTTGACTGCGTAACGAGATAGGGGATCCGTGTATATGACGCATAGCGCTGGGAGTTGAATACGGTTGGAGTAAGGGTGAATGGGCCCCAGTTTAAGCCTGGCAAACTTAGCTAATCTTGGAGCGTAAGACCGCTCAAGCCCCTACTTTGAACTGTTACGCCCTGGTTATAGGCTGCCCTATATCTATATTATATAATATACTTAAATACTAAGAATAATACTTAGTTCTAAGTACTAGTACTTATTACTAAGTATATTATATTTAGTACTAATTAAGATATATAAATACTAAGTACTTTAGTATATATATATATTTATTTTTTAAATAAAAATACTCTCTTAAATAGTTATTAATACTATTATTATTACTTTTATTAAAATTAGCTCCTTAATACTTATATATTAATATTAATTTATATAATACTTAAATAATTTAATTATACTATTTAGAATAATACTTTAATTAATTTAACTTTAATCTATCTTAGATCTTTATTTAATATAAGTTAATTAATTATTATATATTAATAACTCTTATTTAGTTAATTACTTTATCTTAATTACTATATAATAATAAAAAGATATTATAACTTTTATTATACTTAATAATAATACTTTAAATATACTTATTATTTAAGAAATTATATAATAATTAATAGTATAAATTAAATAATTTAAGAAAGGAAAAATAAAGAATTAAGAGGAAGTTATTTAATTAACTTTATTAAGACCTTTCTTTAAAGATATTTAAGAACTAAATAACTTTAAGATCTAACTTTAAGTATACTTTAAGTTTTTTTTAATAAAACTTATAAATAAGAAAGAATAAATTAAATTTATAGGAATATACCTTATTAAAGCTATATTTTATAATAAACTAAAGAAGGAGGTAAAAAATTAACTCTATAAGCTTAAGGAACTAAAAGACTTATTTAAGTATATAATAAATATAATATAAATTAATAATTATTTATATAAATAATAATAGTAAAAAGGGAATAAATATAATAAATAGAACTATATTAAAGTAGGAAATAAGCTAAATTAAGGAAGTAAATAAGCTCTCTTACTATTTATAAAGTCTAGGATATATTTAGATCTTATAGAGCTAAGGATTATAAAAAAGAGGAAATATTATACTTATAAAGAAATAAGATATATATTTCTTTAGTACTTAAAATCTAAAAAGTAATATAATTAAAAGCTTATTAAGAAAGATAAGAAATAATTAAGAATAATTAAGAAAATTAAGAATTAGACTTTAAGAATAATTTAATAAATAGCTTAAAAAGAAATACTTATAAGTATTATAACTCTTAAATTTTCTATAATATTTATATTTATTTTTATTAAAATACTAAAAGAATAAGAATAATAAGAAAATAATATAATAAAAGAAAATTAATAATAAATTAAAGAAATCTTTTAAGATATAAAGAAGAAATATAAAAAGAGTAATATTAATTTAAAATATAGCTTTTTAATTAAATATAAATTAATATTTTAATATTATAATAAATTTATTAAATATATATTAAAAAAAAGGAAATATTATTTATAGGTAAAAAATATAATATAAATAAAATATAAAGAAGTCTATATATATTATTAACTAAAAATTAAGTAATAAGATTTATTTATTATAATAATACTTATAATTTATAGATAAAAGATAATAAATATTATTTAATACTTAAATAGCTTTTTTAAGTTATTAAATTACTAAAAGAATACTCCTAGAACTAATTACTATATAGAATTATAAATAATATACTATAATATTTTTTATATAATTTATTAATAATAGAAAATAAGGAATAATATATTTCCTTAACTTAATAAAAAAATATCCTTTAAGTATATTAATAAATAAATACTTTACTTTATAAATAAGCTATTTAATATTAATTAATATTCTATTTTTAAGAAAGACTTAGAAAGATACTTTAAAGAATATAAATTTAAGGAATTATTAATTAAGCTATATTAAAAATAATAATATAAAATCTATAAAGAAGATAAAATTAAATTATAATATAAATAAAAAGCTTAAGAAGATTAAGTAGCTTATAATTATAAGGGATATATTAAATAATATAAAAACTAAAAATATTTAAATTATTAATATATAAAGTAATTAATACTTAACTTAATAAGAGAAAGAGATAATAATAAGAATTATATAAAGAAATCCTTTAAATAATAATAATATTAAGAAGAGAATAAATATTAATATTAAGAATAAGTAATTATAATATTATTAATTAAAAATAAAGAAATTAATAAAGAATAAGAAATTATCTTTATAAATAAAAAGGAATAAACTATAAATTACTTTTAAGGAAAAGTAATATCTTTAAAAGAATAAAATAAAATTAATTAATAATTAAGAAAGTTCTAAAAGTATATCTTAAGATATATAAATATACTTAAAATATTTAAGGAACTCTTAAAATAAGTATTTAAATATAATAATAGGTATAATAAACTTAAAGAATAAATTAATTAAATAAAAAATAATAATTATTATTTATAATAAAGTTATAAAATAATAAAATATTAAATTAAAAGATCTTAAAAGTAATAAAAATTAAAAGCTTTATTAATATTATAATTAATATTAAGATTATAAAAAGGATATTTACTATTTTAATAAATTATAGAGTATAAGAAGATTATATTTTATTAATAATAATTAATTAATTTTACTTATTATAGAGAAAAAAGGAAAAGCTTTATATAGTATTTAATATTAAAGGAATATAGTTTAAGTATAATAAAGAGATTATTAACTTAAAGATTAATTACTTTATAATAAAGATTTAAGAAAAGAAATTTAATATTATTTATAATATAGTATTATTAAGTACTTATAATATTATATTAAGATTACTTTAATTAAAAGATATAAACTTATTAATTAATTAACTTATTAATTATATAAAGTAAAAGGATATTTTTATAAATTAATATTAAGATTAATAAAAATTAAAATTTTATTAAATATTAAAAAAGTTTAATAAAACTTTAATAATTAAAAGTATTATTATAAAAAATAAAGATAATAACTTATAATAATAAGTAAATATAATAGATTTAGCTTTAATAATATTATAACTTAGTATAAAATAAAGTATATTTTAATAAGAATTATAAAAAATAATAAAAATATTAGCTTAAATATAAAAAATTAAGAAATTATTAAATATTAATTTCCTTAATTAAATATAAATAATACCTTAATAAAAAAATAAATATAATATTAAGTTTATTCTTTAAAATAAAGAAGTTAAAAGAAAGAAGAAATAAGAAAATAAACTAGAAAAATCTAAAAAAAATTAAATAGAATATATCTTTAAGGAATATTAAGTTTATAAAAAGCTATTTAAGGAAACTCTTAAGATTAAATTATTATAATATAATTAATAAGATTATAAAATCTTTATTATTAAAAAAGGAGAATTAGCTTTTTATAAACTATATAACTTTATAGAACCTTAATTATAAATACTTTATAAATATATTAATAATATAATAATAAAAAGCTATATATAATTTTTAACTTTATTTATAGGATATTTTATAATATTTATATTAAAAAAGAATAAGAAATTATAATTAATTATAAATTATTATTAATTTAATAAAATTATTTATAAAAATAAAATACCTTTATTATTAATTATAGAATTAAAGGATTAACTATAAAGTAAATAGTAATTTACTATATTAAATCTTAAAAGAGCTTATAATTTAATATAAATTAAAGAAAGAGATAAATAGAAAATAGTATTTAAAATAAAGTTTAACTTCTATAAGTATTTTATTATATTCTTTAAATTAATAAATATACTTATAATATTTTAATAAATAATTAATTAAGTATTTTAAAAGTATTTTAATATCTTTATAATTATTTACTTTAATAATATCTTAATCTTCTTAAATAACTATAAAATATACTAGAAATATATATATAAAGTTTTAAAGAAGTTAAAGAATATTAACCTTTTAATAAAATTAAAGAAAAACTAATTCTTTATTATAGAAATTAACTTTTTAAGATATACTATTTAACTTAATAAAATATAAATAAAGAAAAGAAAAATTATTATAATTACTAAATAAGAAGAATTTATAAATATTAAAAAAGTATAAGCTTTTCTTAAATTTACTAATTATTATTAATAATTTATTAAAAATTATAAAAAAATTACTTTATCTTTATATAATCTTATAAAGAAAGATAGTACTTTTAGATAAATTACTAAATAGTAAGATATATTTATTAATATTAAAAATAATATAACCTTTAAATTTATATTATAGATATTTAACCTTATAAGGGAAGTAGAACTTAAAATTAATACTTTAAATTTTATAATTAATATATAAATTAATTAAAAAGATAATAATAAAATCTTATACTTTATAGCTTTTTACTTAAAGAAACTATATAATATAAAACTTAAATACTTTATTTATAATAAGGAATTTATAGCTATTATATATATATTTAAAGAATTTAAATATTATTATTTAGGAATAATATATAAAGTTAAAATATATATAAATTATAAAAATATTTAGTATTTTATTATAATTTAATAATTAAATAGAAAATAAATATATTATATTAAATACTTATTTTAATTTAATTATAAGATTATATATTAAAAAGGATTAAAAAATAAAAGAGTTAATACTTTTAGTTAAAAAATAAAATATAAAAAAGTAATATTAAAAATTAATAAATAATTATTCTTAATAAATAATAAAGGATATTTAATATAAAAATCTTTTAAAGTTATACTTAAAGAAATAATATATATTAAAGTTTAAATAGAAATTATTCTTAACTTAAAAAAATTATAATAAGAAGTAAAGATAATACTTATTAAGGAAATTTATAAGTATTTACTCTTAAGATATTAAAAAGTTAAAAAAATATTTAATAAGATTAAATAATACTATAATTACTTAAGCTTATAAAAAGAAGTATAAACTATAGTTTTAAAATATAATACTTATATAAGAATTAAGTTTATATAATATAAGCTATATAAAGAATTTAAATTAATTTTAGTATTAAAATAACTATAATAATTAATATCCTTTAATTATATTATAAAATTACTAAAATTTAAGGAATTAATAATTAAAATAAAATATAATAATATTTTAATAGTTATTAATAAATTTATAAAGTATAAATATTTTATATTATATAAAGAAATAAATTTTATAAAAGATCTTATATATTAATTCCTATAATATATAATTAATTACTATAAACTACTTAATAAAATAATATTAAATAGAGGAATAATATTTATCTTTAAATTCTAATAATTACTTATAATATAAATAAGTATAAAATATAAGCTTTTAATAACTTATTATTTATAAAGTAATAAATAAATAGAATATTTAAATTAAATATTAGAATAATACTTATAAATATATATTAATTATAAATAAAATAATTAAATATAATTATTATTTATAATATAAATTATATATAATAATATAATATAAAAATTAACTTAATTATTATTAATATATATAAACTATAATTATAAATTAAAGTTCTTAAGTAAACTAAAATTTAATAAATTTATAATACTTATTATTATACTTATAAAAGAAATATTATATTTATTATATATAGAAATATAAGAAGAGCTAAAGTTTATATAATAAAAAATAAAAAAATATTATAATAAAATAAGATTAAAAGGATTAATTTTAAAGAAAGAAGATAAAGTTTATTTACTTTAAAAAAATATTATAATAATAAGATTAAATAATAAATTAAATTATAAAAAACTTAAATTATTTAAAATTATAAAGAAAAGATTAAATATTAATTATAAACTTTTATTATTAAATATAATATATATTTATTTAGTTTTTTATATATTATTATTTAAAAAAATATTAAAAAATATATTAAATTAAGATTATTTAATTAAAGTCTATAAAGAAGAATTTAAATTAAAAAGAATCTTAAGGAAAGAAGTTAAAAATAAATAAATATTCTATTTAATAAAGTAAAAAGGTTATAATAAAAGTAATAATATATAGAAATTAATTAAATATTTAAAGAATTATTAATATTTAATATATTAGTTTTATTAGGAAAAGAAAAAATAATAACTTTATTTTAAATAATAATATTAAAAAAATTAGTTTATATAGTATTTTAATTAATAACCTTAATAATACTTTATAATTAAGCTTTAGTAATTACTTTAAACTCTTAATACTTTAACTCTTCTAGCTTATTTAATAAACCTTTTCCTTTATAAAGTATTTTTAAGCTTTACTTATAAATTTATTACTTTTAATAATATAATTATATTAATTTATTTAAGGCTTTATTTATTTTAGTTTATACTTTTAAAAAATACTCTTTAATAATACTTTCTTCTTATTTTAAGTAATAATATTTATTTATAATATAATATATTAAGTTAATAAGTAAAAGGAACTAAAAGGGGAGATATATAACTTCTTATTAAATAATATTATAATACTTAAATAATTATAAAAGTAATTATAATAAGTATATTTAAGATAATATTTCTTTATATTAAATATAATTTAATAATAAAAACTATTCTTTAAGTAAAAAGTATAAAGTATAATATTTATACTAAATTCCTTAATTAATAAAGCTTTAGCTTTATAATAATTAATAAAGGAAACCTTTTTTCTAGCTATAGTAATTAATAAAGAATAAAATATATAATAAATAAAGGAAGGAGTTCTACTTAAGCTATAGAATATAATCTTAAAGATAAAATTAATAAAAAAAGAGTAATATATTATACTTTAATTATAAGTTACTTTATATCTATATTATATAATATATTTAAATACTAAAAATAATACTTAGTTTTAAGTACTAATACTTATTATTAAGTATATTATACTTAGTACTAATTAAGATATATAAATATTAAGTACTTTAATATATATATATATTTATTTCTTAAATAGAAATACTCTCTTAAATAATTATTAATATTATTATTATTACTTTTATTAAAATTAGCTTTTTAATACTTATATATTAATAGTAACTTATATAGTACCTAGATAACCTAATTATATTACTTAGAATAATACTCTAATTAGTTTAACCTTAACTTACCTTAGACCTTTATCTAATATAAGTTAACTAACTATTATATAAACCTAGGCTAAAGTAACCCTTATTTAAGGGAACCCCTTAGTTAGCGATAGCTATTATACCTAAAGATCTAAGCTAGCTTAGCTATAAATCCTATATTTTAATATATACTAGTGTTTAATATATCGCCTAGGTCTTATAAGATGTTTATAGTTCTTATCTCTAGTAAAATAGGTTTTTATTTCTAGCCTGCTAGGTATTATAAAGTAGGTAAGGTTTAGATAAATAATAATTATATTTTAATATATATTAGATACCCCTATTCTAGGATAGGAAATTGACTTGATTTAAAAAAAGCAAGAATGAATGGTGTATATATTAGTCAGCAGAGATATCTCCTTGTTGTCCAAAACATGAACACCGAAGAAGCGAGGGCTTGGAATAATCTACCTCATTCACAAGCCCGCAAGAAATCTATGCTGTGTGAAATCGAATTAATTCCTCGCCTTGGATTTGTCCCTTGGCACACATTTGAGGCCATCAATCCTACGCTTTGATGCGATCGAATCACTTATTTCTGTGTTTCAAGGATGGCTATTTGTCAAAATGCGAGAGCTCAAAGCCAGGGGCCCTCGGCCGGGTCAGCCCCTGAGCATTTGCTAATTGAACCATACTGTACTATGCTACAGCACGCTACTCTTCTCTCCTAGCCGTATATCGTATCACACTCGAGTCCCTGGAGGCATACAGAAGTGGAAAATTGATGTTGTTTGCTGTGAGTAGCCCTGAGCCAAACTTGAGATATGCCCACGGTCCACCAGCTAAATTCCCGCTTCTATGTCTATATAGTCTTCAACATCCCGAGCTCAAAGGACCTACCAGGCCAGCGCCAGGCACACATGTTCCGCGCCAGCTTGATGAGCTCAGACTGGTGCAAGGGAAATGAGGTGACACAGGCAGTTCTGAGCGGAGCAGAAACTGAATTGTGCTTCAAGAATTGCCCGACTTGTGACCCAGATGTCACGGCAAATCTCATTCACGCATCTTGCCTTCAGCTTCTAAAAACAAAGGCCAACCCACGTGGGATTGAAATATCTGCAGATTTCCTATGCAGAGCGGCTAGAATGCTTCGCCCGACTTTAGAATGGCGCCGGACTGTGGCCATTTTGGATGTCAAGGCTTCGCCTTCATAGTTCCCGCATCTCGACGGCCCCCATAGCACGGAATTGAGTATTCTAGTCTCGAGCATTCAAAAGAAGCTTCCTCTAGAGATACAGGGCATGATTCTAGACTGTCTCCCTTCGCATTGTCTATTTTACCCTCTTAGTAGGTGCTTGGAGGTTCTGGAGACGATGGACTTTGACCGGATATTGAAAGCCGACTTACCGTTTTCCGAATTTACAACCAAGTACCCTTTTCCAATTGACCAACCTTCTCCGGTCGAGCTTTCTGCAACAACGGTTAATATTTTTGGTGAGGAGTGTCTCGCCACTATTGGAACAAAGGCAAACACAACGCTTGGCCTTTCGGTCGGACCAGCGAAGATCCGCGGCCTTCAATATGCGATGGGCTCGTATGGAGTGGTAGTGCTACGGCTCCTCTACGATGATGGTACACGCTCAGATTGGCTGGGTCAGTCTATTAGAAAGTGGGTGGCTACGATTCAAGGAAAGGATATGGTTTCTCTGAACTTTATGACTGACGTGAGAACTCCCCCAACCACTGCAACTACACGGCGAGGGCAATCATCACTAATGAATTATAGTTCAGGGCTTCAAGATCGTTTCCTTGTCGTTTGGAGAGAATGAAGCAAACAGGACCCGCATCATACGTGACGACGAAAGCCCTCCACAGTTAGACAGCCAATCCTTTCTCATCGACGCAAAGATTGCAAGAACTGGCATGCGTGGTAATCCATTCCACCGCCTTGTGCACACTCTCCCGCTGGATCTACAACATGGCCATGCCAACAGCTTGACAGTCTTCTGCGATTTCTATACAGTGCGTGGAATACAGCTTAATGGCCAGGCGGCCAACATGCTGGGCAGTACCACTACCAGGAGCTGCCCTGTGACCTTCTACCTTCAACCTGGAGAGATTATAAGCTTCATTCACCTCATTTACCGCGGTGAAAGGGACAAACCTCCGAGTGCAGGACCATATATGGTGGTATGTGAATTTTATTTTACCCGCACACTTTTCAGTATTCTTGTCTTCTCACAGTGCACCATATAGGCAATGACTTCCAAGGGCCGTACCTTGCTCTATGCACCCAGTTCTATGGTCTACGTACGTGAGAGGCGCCTATCGAAATTTACGGACGTGAGCCCAGGTTTCGTCTCTAGCATCTTCATCGACCGGTCAGACGCAGGAAAAGTAGGAGAGTATAGCATAGGGGTCACACTGCAGCCGCAAGAACCATCAGGCGACAAAGCAATACAACGCGTGGCGAATTGTCCTGTGTTCGATCATATCGATCCCCAGTCATTCATGAAACAGCAGGCTAGCTACGTGTTTCTATCCAAAGCAAACCTCCTCCAATTGAAACTTCTCCAATTGCAAAAACTCGGCGACCGGTGCAGGGGACTTCTGATTCACCGACTGGACGATTCCATAGATATACTTGGCCAATGGGATCCTGCTTTGGCGAGCACGATTTCAACACTTTACCACACGGAGAATGGAGCTGCTCTCGAATCTATCACGTTTGTCTATGCAGATACTACGAATCCGAGAGACCTACGTTGAGGATATTCTTGTCAACAACTCCGTGGAGGCGAAACAAGGTTTCAAATGGGAGTGCTTTGATAAGGTCTGTTGGCCCCAAGTTGCACATTGGGACTCTCCTCGGTTGATGTTGACATTATCACTAGGATATTGCTTGGTGGTTCACATGGAGATTCGACTTTGTGGAATTCTGGTCGGGACGGAAGCGGCCCTAGAGCTGACGGAAGGAAATATCAGTCCGATCATAACGGAGTAGAAGTATAGATGGAGTATACAGTTGGATTATTCCTGTCTATCTCGACTTTGCGGGGCTTTTAGAAGTTCCGCGTCGTAATGAGAAAGAGCCGAACGTTTAATGAATATCTGGGAATAATTAAGGAGCCGTGTGATAAGTATTCCAGTCTTACCCACAATCAATGAACAGCTGCATGGACTTTAATCAAGAATCAACAATATTATTGGCTGGAGTAGTTTTTACCCTTCATCACATTTCTGACGTCACCACTCTTAAAAAAAAGACTCAATATTGGTGACACAAGAATTTTGATTTGAATACATCAATATCGCGTCTCAACCTAAAAAGTCTCGACATGGAGAGGGAATCAGCATCTCTGGGTGGCGAGCCTGTCTCTCTTAATCAAACCATTTTCCAGGGATTTGAATGGTACATTCCAGCTGATCATCAGCACTGGATTCGCCTTTCTCAAGCCATGCCAAGTCTTGCGTCGTTGGGCATCACCAGCATCTGGATACCTCCGGCGACGAAAGCCATGAGGTCTACAAGCGAAGGCTATGATGCATATGACTTATATGATCTCGGCGAGTTTGAGCGTCACGGGACCAAGCGGACCAAGTATGGCGATAAGCGGGAGCTTGTCCAGCTGTCAGAAATCGCGAACAGGCATGGAGTTTCCATTTTGTTCGATGCTATTCTCAACCACAAAATGGGTGCCGACAATACTGAGTCTGTCCGCGCGGTCAAGGTTGACCCAGAAGGCATGGTTCTCTTCATGGTAAATTTGTATTTGTCTAATTGTTTCGTACAGACCGCACGAAAAATATTAGCAGACCGACGAAGATCAAGGCCTGGACCAAATATGACTTCCCAGGCCGCGGGGAGAAGTATAGCTCCATGAAGTGGAATAAAGATCACTTCACGGGAGTTGATTACGACCAGAAATCCAAACGCAACGGGGTCTGGCGTTTCCAAGGCAAAGACTGGGCACACGATGTTGACGAGGAACTCACGAACTACGACTTTCTGTAGGTTCCTATTCCTCTTTCTTTGAATCATTGGTTGCTGACAGGCGTGGCTACTGCTTTAGCTTGGGCCAGGATATTGACCATAGTCATCATGAAGTTCGAGAAGATCTCTTCAACTGGGTAGAGTGGCTTTCCTCGCAGTTGAGGCTAGGGGGTCTGCGCCTGGATGCGATTAAGCATTTCTCGGCTTCATTTCTGCGCGACTTTGTCCGCCATATCGACCAGAACATTGATGCAGGAACCGACTGGTTCATTGTGGGCGAGTATTGGAGAGCCGACTCCAAGGTCCTTTCTGCCTACATCGAGTATATGAATCACAGGATGTCCCTCTTTGACGTGCCATTATTGACAAATTTCTACAACATTTCAAAGGGCATTCTTACCGATGCAAGGCGAGTGTTTGATGGTAGCCTGGCAGCTGTGAAGCCCAAAAACGCTGTCGTAAGTTGTTATTCAAGAAAAGATTGCCATGACTAATGGGTGTTGAAATCATCTATCATAGACATTTGTTGTTAATCACGATACGGTGCGTCGATCATTGTAAGAGAAGATCTAATGCTAACAACTTGAAGCAAGCGGGACAAAGCCTTGAGGTATTTCCCATATTAGTCTCCTCCCTTTTCTTTTTACGTCTCCTCCTCCCTTGCACCTCTTCCCCCGATTTTCTTTCACTTATTTCGTATACTGATTTCCGAAAGACGATAATTGAGCCATGGTTCCTCCCTTTGGCCTACTCCCTCATCCTATTGCGTGAGAACTTCGGAATCCCCTGTGTCTTCTGGGCAGACCTTTATGGAACTCTGGAGCCAACGTTACCCCAACCACCGCCTAGCAATGGTATCATAATACCTCGCCTCATTCTGGCTCGTAAACTATGGGCGTACGGAACCGAGACTCTCTATTTCGAAGACTCTCCAACATGTGCTGGGCTTACCCGGGCTGGGCACCCATCACGTTCTGCAGGCGCTGGCCTCGCTGTAGTAATGAACACTGGATGGACTTCTAGCGGCAAACATATGTGTGTAGGAAAGGTTCACGCTGGGGAGACATGGTCTGATGTCCTTGGTCAGACCTGGGGTGAGGTCATTATTGATACGGACGGAATGGGCTATTTTAGGGCCTGTCCGAGGAGTGTCAGTGTATGGGTGCATGATGCCGCGGAGGGTAGAGACGAAGCGGACTCACTCGTTTTGTAAGTTTACTCCGTTTCCTTCAAGAATAGCAGGTCCTTCCGCTATCGTCAGTATCAAAGGCAGGTTGCTAATGACGAGCCCTTCTCATGATAGTGATGATGGCGGCTACAGCGCTGTTCAAGGCGCTATGGATAAGATCAAGCTAAGAGAACCACTTAACACGATGCCTGCGTGGCTACAGTCCACGACTGAGGCCTGACAGAGTCTGTAATGAACTATTGGACCATTATAGCCTCCTACCCGCTCAGAGTTGAATTTACTGTAGTGAGAAGTCAGAGTAAATTAAGGTCGCATGCATTTATTCTACCGGCGTAGCTTCTTCTTTAGCCCACAACTCCCGTTTCTTCTCCTTTTAAAGTTGCCATGTGGAAATATACGCATTGGTGGCAAGCATAACGAAGCACTTAGGCTTGCAGGTGCTGTGAGATTCACATAGCTTAACATCATCGGTGTCAAGTGAAGAAACTCATCTCAACTATAAGATCAGGCTTAGTTGATCTTGAGAGTTACAAGCCAGAAACTTTCCGAGAAGCTCCTAGACTGAATGCGTTATAGTAAGACTCTACAGAAGAAGCCGAAAGCTCGTTTTCAACCAAATGTTGACCATGTTTGACATGTGAGTTGATGATTGTTGCCACGGAATGTGCTTCCTTGGTAGCATAAGATCAATCATTGTTTTAGCCACCTTAACGCGATAGGTTGGGTCCGTCTGCAGGACAGCTGGAAAAGGACTATTCAATAATTGCTGGAGGGAATGGAAGGCAGCGACAGGTCATGACGAAGAGCGGCTTTCACATCACAAGGGCGCTCGTTGACAATGCTAGGGGTGAGTGGAACATGTGTTATCGCCCAGACTCCAATCAGATAGACAGCGCGCGCTCTGCTACTTGATTATTTGGATCCGGGGCCAGCCCTGGCTTTGGGACGCTTAATGTCGCCATATGCGCGCACTATCAGCCAACAGGGGAGATACGGTACCATATCTCCGACACCAATAGACACCCACCCTGAAGACAAGGCGCCATAGACCCCCTCCCCTACCTTATACCCCTTGCCTGCTTGTTCCTCGGCATCATGATGTTGATCGTTGCGGGGTATTGCGACAATTAACAGGAGCACTAGGACTTTCGGTTGCAGCTGATTCCAACCGATCATCGGCCCTTTCTGCAGGATTTATGCCTCATGACTTGCTCTAACATGCGCAAACATGAAGGTTCTCATTGTTCTAAACTTCGCCACTGATAAGCCTTGGGGCCAGTTGTCCGTGGAGTCATTCACTGATAACATCCGAAGCCATGCCCCAGATGCCGAAATCAGCGTCTGTCGCCTGGCAAGTGGCGAGGACTTGACCAACTCATCTCAGTACGACTTGATAGTTCTAAGTGGAGGTACATTTAACCTCATTTCCGACGTGCCATTGCCCTGGGTAGAACAGGCCCTGGCATTGATTCGCCGGACTGCCAAGGACAGCAACGGGACCAAACTATTGGGTTTCTGCTGGGGTCACCAGGCTATCCAGTTTGCGCTTGGGGGAAAGTTGGACGTTTTGAACAAGTCGAATGTAAGCATAAGTATCCCGGGGAGCAGTAGACCATCTTTAGAAAGGGGAGATCGATGATGCAACGTACGTATTAAACTAATGAGTTTGGAATGATACAGATAGGTGTCGAGACTATAACCCTCAACGCTGAAGGCCAAAATTTCTTCGATGGACGGAGTTCTTTGGTGGGTCAGCTCCGCCCGTAAGGATTTTAGGAACTACACCAGAGTTCGGTGAAGTCATTCTGGCTCGGTTGCACAATCGGCGTCCACAACTACTACCAAGAATCGACGTCGTCAAAGACTGACGTTGAGTGGTAACTAGAAAATGCACAAATACCACAAACGTGTAGTGTCTGAAGCCGCACTAGGCTTCAAGCTACTTGGAAGCAACAATGAAATTCTGCTTAGCGAGAGCGGGAATATTATGACCTTCCAAGGGCACCCGGAGCTTACATCAGAGATATCGCGAAATTTACTCGACTCAGATGACGGCAGCTATGTAGACAATAGCACAATTTCGAGCATCACCACTCCCCACGATGGATTGTATATTTGGGGTCGGCTGATGAAATTCGTAATCAGTCCCTAGGTCTCTGGCTGACGATTTCTGTATGCTATGCCGGGTTTCTCTATTGAGAATAAGGGATAATAGCCTCGCGCCGGGGGTTCATGAAAGGCACCAGTGGATTATAGATAGACTCTAGTCATTGTGTTGAGTTGTCGGGCTCTGGCAGCTTCCATTGCTGTTGAACTTTATTCTCTTTCTCTTAGGTATAGATAGACTCTAGAATTTAGGCGCCATTCTTATTATAAGGAGATAGAATTTACCTGATTTCCTGTGGAGAGGTACTAAAGTCTCTGGACTATATATATCGCACATTTAGGTGCATGTTGCGCAATATATAGTAGCCATTTCATTCGGCTCGACTATTCAGTAGGACTTTTGCATAGCGGGCTTCTTCTCTGGAAATTCTTCCGTGAGATGTTTCGGAATCCCCGTCGATAAAGCCCCAGACATATCACTTATATATTCCCTGCGCCCAGCCTTATGTACTCGCCCATTCATGATGATAACATTTAATCGGTCGTGATCCTGTAATATAGATATATCTTTCAGAGGGTCCCCGTCGACGAGAATGCAATCTGCGTAGTAGCCCGGCTGAATCTTGCCCAATTCGTGGCCTCGCATCAAGAGGGCAGCGACACCAGCAGTGGCGGCGATGATGCTCTCGTGAGGCGAAAAGCCCAGCAACTTCACAAAGTGTTCAAGATCGCGCGCATATGTCCCGTGGGGCGTCCACGCAAAACCGTAATCCCTGGATCGAAAGTCAGTAATGTTGGACGCGGAATCGCTGGCATCACGCCTACTCACCCTCCCGGCAACACAACAATGCCACGTCGATGCATCTCCCGCAACCCTGCAACAGCAATATCAAGTTCCCGTTTATATCCAGCCTTCTCAGCTGCGTCATGGGTGTAACCAAAAGCCTCAGCCTCATAAGTCGTGGCATAAAGCCAGTTGATTGCTGGTACGACAATGTACCTGTGTTTCTCCCGTTCAAGCATGTCCATGCCTGAATCGTTAGTCGTAGCACACCAACTAGAAGGGTAAAAGTGATACGTGCCTTCGTCATCGATGTAGGAGCCGTGGTAAATGACATCTACTCCATGCTTCACGCACATCTTGACCGAGTCTCGAGCTCTCGCGTGTGCACAGACTCTCTTACCGTACTTGTGAGCCTCATCCACACAAGCAATGATATCCTCGTCTGAAAAATAGCAGTCCTGTGCCGACCGGATTTCTGTTATTTCTTCCCCGGAAATGCTTATTTTGACGTTATCCACGCCGATAGTCAGAATGTTGTGTTTGATCACTTCGCGCATCTCTGGTAGACAGGTTAGCCGAACTCCCTGAGAGAACCATCAGTGCTCACCATCCGGGCCTTCGGCAAACCGAGTAATTCCTGCTACCAGCTCCCCCTCTGGCTTTGCAATCTCTCGAGCATTGGCTAGATATCTCGGACCAGGAATGTCGCCAGCATTGATGGCGTCTCGAGCCACGACATCAAGACGATCTTTGGCTGCAGCCGCCCCAAAGCACCTAGATACGTTTAAAATGTGGAGGAAAATGAGGTAGCAGATTCATCACATACATGGTATATCCAGAGTCCAGGAAGCATTGGGCACTCTTGATCGTTAAGAGTACGTGCTCCTCGACATCAAGTTCACCCAGCCGGTTGAGATCACCTCCGTTCCATGTAAAATGGGTATGCCCATCTCCAAGGCCGGACATTAGTGTTCTCCCCCGGCCGTGGAAAACGCGGACGGATGGATCTCTCTCGAGGTCTACTTTGTTTGCTACTTCGCCGACAGCGACAATTTTCTCTCCTGATATCCAATTAGCACTGTATATCACAGATTAAAAATGCTACGTACCTTCGATTAAGACGTCTCCTGCAAACGGTTCGCGCCCGGTAGAGTCAAGAATCCTCACATCGGTAAACAGGATCCGCGATCGTTGATGGGTACCTTCTATATGGTACTCTTTCGGTTGGAGCTTCTTGTCAAGCTTCAGATTGTCGATAAACTCGACATTCCGGGGATACTTTTGAGGGAAAATAGGCTGCTGGGGCCATGAATCATGCGTACCCTGTGGCCAGGACATGTTGTCACCTTTGTCTCTCGTTTTAAGGAGTTGATTGCGATGAAGCTAGATGAATACCCCACGGGGAACCTTGATTAATGTAGAGTGTTTGACTGGCTCAGCTGATGAACACGCCCCCGCTCGTTAGCATGCCGTTCAACACATCTCCAAACCAATCTTAGCCCCTCCGCCATTATCCGTGGATGTCCGAACGCCGCGCATCACCGCGAAGCGCCGCTAGAGTCGTGAATTGATTGTCCGCCATCTCCGGACTGAACCCCGCAGCGCTGCCTCTCTTACCATTGCTTGTCTATTGTTCCAGGCTTCCTCAATTCTCTAATTCGTTTCTGTCAAGATGGGCTGGATAAACCGCGGTTCTCGCCCAGAGAACCGTGAGAACAATCTTTCTACAACAGTCAACTACTGCAAGGAAGACACTGACGCCTCCCCGACTGTCAGTTTTGTCGAAGACCCAAGCGACCCGAGGTCATATCAAAAAACGTGTAAAAACACCAAGAATGAGGATCTTCCATACATCGAGCCATCGGTCATCATAGCTGCACGCGATACAGGCCTACTATGGCTGGTCATTGACAACATTGTCTATGACTGTACCGAATTCGTTCATGACCACCCAGGAGGCTCTCAGGTTCTTGAGTCATTTCGAAGCAGCAACTGTAGTTGGCAGTTTTGGAGGTTCCACGGAATGAAGGATATGATTGAGTTTGGGCTGCCGCTGAGGATAGGGTGTACAAGTGGTATACAGAACAAATTTAAGGAGCCACCTTGGTTCGTAGGTTTGAGGAAGCTATGGGGGCCTGAATAATAAAGAGAAAGAAGAAACTAGCTCCGCAGGTGGAAGTCAACTCGAATAAATTGCCTTCTAGTTTAGATGGTGGTGTTTTTCTTGTAACTTCCCCCGTTAGTATTCCTCCGGATCTGCGAATCTTATCGCAATTTTGGATAGACTTCGCCTACAGTTAGTCAAAATATTTGCACCAATAGCTTCATGCATTCAGAAGACTCGATATATTATCATAGAAGACCTCAAAGGAAAATAGACTGGATGTATCAATGATCTATATATTTAATAGCACGTTGTTGTAGGGCTATCTTTCTATACATAATATCTCCCTTAGAAGCCATCATCAGGCCGCCAATGACAACTACAGAAAGGCCTTCACCGCCGCTGCGACACCGGCAACGTCCTCAAATACATGCCAGTGGCCAACATCTTTCAAAACGACAAGGTTACACCCTTGGATCCTGGACGTATATCCTTCGCAGAGCGATGGAGGTGACACTTTGTCCTCATCACCAGTCACAATCAAGGTCTTGGCCTTTATGGCCTCGACGTCAAGCTTTTGAGTTGCATTCGCGAGTGCCCAAACGGCCTTGGCGTATGACTCTGGATCCTGACTTAGAAGACTCATCCTCGCGGCGGCGATTGCGAGGGGGTTCGTCTTCTTCGTGTTGCTTGAAGTTCCAGCATCGACGATCGTGTCGACAACAGCGTTCATGCCCTTGCTTCTGACCAGGGCAGCGCGGGTATACGATGCCTTTGATGCAGCTTCGGGCAATGGGGAGGGGGGAGGTCCAACTAGAACAAGTTTCTCGACCAGTCCGGGGTTGTCAAGTGTGAACTTGATGGCCGCAAGGCATCCCATAGAATGGGCCACAAGTGTAGCTGGCGCTGATGCGGAGGCTCCAGCCGCCTCAAAAATCGACTTGATGTCGGCGGCAAAGGATTCGATACTCAGTTGGCTTAACGGATGAGTTGGACTGGACCCGTGACCCTCGAGGTCAAATAGATGAAGGGTATTTGTCTCGGCCAGGGAAAGTGTCGAGATCAGGGGCGTCCAGTAATCCAAGGTGCCGCCGAGGCCGTGCACAAACACGATCTGGTTTGCACCTGACCCCAAACGCTGATAATTCAGATTTTTGCCGTTCACTTGGGCCAAGCCCACGCCGGCATTGAGTGACTTGGCGCCGTTTGTAAGGCGGAAAGGTGAATCCGAATCAACTTGCTTGATGGTCAGGTTGACGGCATTAGCGGGAGCAATCTGATTGTTGAGTGTCCCCAGTCCAGTGATGGAGACGCTCATCCGGTCTCCCGATTTGAGAAATACGGGTGGTTTTCTACCAATGCCGACACCAGCAGGCTATAAACCATCGTCAGTTACGGTACATGTAGAACTGTCTGTCGTAATTTTAATATCTTACCGTTCCAGTGGCGATCACGTCGCCTGGCTGCAAGGTTTGGCCCTCAGAAATCGTCTTGACCAAATTCGGGATCGAAAAGATAAGATCTTCCGAAGTAGCGCTCTGTCTGAGCTCGCCGTTGATGTGTGTCTCAACCTTCAAGGTAGCAGGAAGATCCTCCTTGGGAACAGCGATTGGTCCCTGATATTTATCAGCTTGGATTCCCTGGTACAGGCTGGGATAACTAACCATAGGGCAGAAAGTATCTGGAGACTTGCCAATGAAGAACTGCTTATGGTCGCGCTGACGCTCTCGTGCGGTCAAGTCATTGATAATGGTATATCCCCATACATATTGCATTGCGTCTGCTTCTTCCACACGGAAGCCAGACTTGCCAATAATGACACCGATTTCTCCCTCGTAGTCGACCGTCTGGGAGAATACGGGGTGCAGGAGGACCTCGCTGCCATCCGCAACGATGGAGGTGGCCCGCTTGGTGAAGATGACCGGGTGACTGGGCCGATCCGTTTTATCAGAGCTGTCATATCCGGAGCTGTTGAACTCCTTTGCATGTTCCATATAATTCTTGCCTACAGCCAGGATATCACGACCTGAGATTGGGGGCAACAATGTAACACCCTTGACTGGGAGAACCTCGCCATTGGGGACTATATTGGATACCGCCGCTGCAATAACCTCATACAGGTTTGTCACGGGAGTTCCAGAAACAAAGCTCAGCGGCTGGATAGTTTGCTGGGAAAGGTCGTAGTGGCCGATCCGGGAAAGCCCTGTGTCAGGCTCGATGTAGGCGGCGTACTGCGTGAGAGAACTGTGAGAGCCCATCTTGATTTGCTTGGTCGGTTGCTTGACCACTCCCAGACTTGGCTGGGTAAATCAGGGCTGAAATAAGCAAGAGTCGTTCGCTGGTTGTATCAGGAGGAAATCGAATGACAGCGCGATTATCCACGGACATGGCGGCGGTCACGGAGAGCGGCGAAGGCGGAGATAGCGGGTCCTTCACCATTTCCACATAGCGTCGCCGATGGCGGCGGTATTCGAGAGACTGGTTGCCAAGAAAGTCTTATCTAGCCGGATAGGACTCCAAGCCATGATCATGGCGCAAGAAAGGGGAAGGTAATTAATTAGGAGGGTTGTTAGAGTGTACCAAGAGCTATCTAGCCAGTACGTGGCCCAAAGAACTATTAATATTGATTGGTCGTCGAGTATCTGCATCAACAGTTAGAACTGTCGAGGCATATCAAAATCTCATCACCAATCTTCGTACTTACTATAGTGAATCCACAATGCCGCAAGACGATACCAAAATCCATCCAACCTTCACGGCGGGCGGCCATGTGGAAGACCGCAGCCAGCCGTCACTCCCTGTCGTCCATCGGCGCTTCGCCAACCCGTCACCACTAGGTCTTCTCTCATTTGCTACAGGTAGGCTACCAGGCAGCTATATAGAATAGTGTCTAACAATCCCAGGCATCTTTCTTATTTCGAGCTTCGGTGTCCATGCTCGTGGAATCCAAACGCCTAATGTCATGATAGCAGTGTTGATCTTCTTTGGCGGGATATGCCAATATATTGTGGGGATCATGGAGTTTATCTCTGGTAATACATTTGGCACTGCAGTCTTCATGTCATACGGGGCTTTCAACATTTCGTACAGCATGATCTATCTTCCTGGCTCTGGTATCATAGCCGCTTACACCGATCCGGCCGGCAACCTGAGCCCAGACTTCCAGCAGTCCATCGCTCTGTACCTGTGGGCATGGTTTATTCTGACCGCCATCTACACCGTCGCGGCTATTAGAAGCTCCTGGATTCTGTTCCTGGATCTTGTGGCACTCGATGTCTGCCTGATCCTACTCGCAACCGGAAATATGATTGGAAGCCCTGCGGTTCTCAACGCCGGTTATGCCTTCGGATACTTGGTAGCTATCCTTAGTTGTAAGTTACGGGTGTCTTCCGGTAATTGATAAGCTATCGGCTAACTTCAGATAGATTGGTCAGGATGTGCAGGACTGTTCGCCGGTGGCATCACCCCTTGGGAAGTCCCAACCTTTCCGATGTATAAGGAAGCCTAGGCATTGGAAGAGGCTGTCGAGGGTTCGTGGTTGTCAAAGTGGCAAGGGTTGATTGTAGAATATCTCCCATGAATGCACCGGAGCAACACTTTAGGTACTATTTACAAGAGAGTTTGTTCCAAGAAAAGATTCCCAATCATCCCAATCCATTGTCGAGGGTGAAAGCCATTGCTGTGGCGCTAAGCTTTCAACAGAATCTCCCATGACTCTCAGCGAGTTTCCATCAAAGCCCAAGTCCTGGCCATGTTGACTCCCCAGCACTGCAAACTTGTCTACGTTTCCGGCGGGCGTGCTCATGATTTCTCTGTCTCATGTTAGATGTTAGACTAGAAACGCCGACAGGGCTGGGAGACCTACAGCAGCTTTTTCAGTACCGGTATTGCCTTCCGGCATATAGGGCTCATCCCACTCTTCGCGACCTGCTCGAATATTTCCAAACAATCCTGAACATCGCAATGTAAGGAGTACGCTGCTGTTGCATCTAAATCGAAGCTGATGCAAATGTGTGCTAGACAAACAGCCGCATGGAAAGCATGAAAGCTTCCTAAGCCCCGATTATACCATCGGTACGGTTTAAAAGCTTGGTCTTCGTGAAGCGTGCGATGAATCTCAAGTAGTGCTTTTGAGCTTTCGATACATTGGCCCCGTGACGACAATACATTTTGCTCTGAAAATCGACCTTGAGCCCGGGATTGTAGGATCGGTCGATGTAACAGGAGACTGAGTTGGTGCGAGTACCCAAAAAGTATGTTTAGCTGAGCTGCGTGATACATCGGCTGAGTCGAGTTAAACAAGTACTTGCAGTTTAGTATCTCTTGGAATGTCGAAATCTCTGAGTTGAGGTCTAAGATCTGATTGTATGATGGCGGATGGAGCGATCCAAAAGTCTCACTGCAGATACGATTGCACAACCGATAGAGATCGAATTTGAGTAGCAGGTATGACATTTGTGTCGGCCCACCTCGAGATGCATGAATCTCGATCCCAGCGACTAGCTCATCGTCATTGACGTCGAGTGGCGGTTTCACACTTGAAGCAGTTTGTGTCGAATCTAGATTTCCAAGGGTCGTATTCTGGATTGTGTAAAGCATGTTCAGACCAGCCCAGCACCTGCGTCGCTCCTCCACCCGAATCCGATCCATCTGGAAGACGGTAGGGTCAACATGGCAGCCAAGTGCTAGTGCAATGTTGCGAGCTGTTCCCAGTAGGGCCCACGACTGTCCATGTGTGTGGTTGATGCCGTATATTAACAGAACCATGGCCTGGAGAGTATAAAGATTCTGTCTCCAGAGGTAATGATCAGCATCAAGACACCTCATAGCTGCGGCTCGATATCGACTATTAATCAGAGATGTATTCTCAAGCGCCGACTTTCGATAACCAAGTTGGTGGAGAAGAGGACTGTCCTCCGGGAGTGCAGTGACAGCTATGCTCAGAATGACAAACAGCAGAGCCAGCCATGACAGCGATACTTTCTCGGGATCGGATTGGAAAAGCCGGTAGTCAGTTTCGAATGTGGGATCGTGCAAGATGTGGAAGAGCTACCATCATCAGTCGTGGAAAGCAGCTCAGGAGATGGCGACACTTACAGGCGCAAATACCGCAAAGAATGTAGTCTTTAGTTCATCGCAATATGAGGTTGGCGGCAACAGATCAAGAAGTTCGGTTATATCTGCGCGGGAGGGTGAAAAGGGGAAAGGTCCACCGTCGCCCCCCTCAATGTTCGTTTTGATTCCACCCATTTTGGGGTTGTCTTGCAGATTCGAAGCCCATCCAGATGATGAAGGCTCGAACCGTTCGTGTCCCGATTCGAATCGGACAATGACACCGGCCGGGGGGACTTTCAAAGACACCAGGTTTCCCACTGTATAAATATCATTCCGGCCAGAGAGAGAACCGCTTGAGTGAGGCAAGGTCGACTCCGGTGAAGGCAGGTTGGAATCAGGTTCTATGAGAGGCTGTCGGGCGGTGGCGGAGACACTCTGACGCAGCATTTCCTCCAGCCTTTCGATCCTTGCTACTAATTCCGCATTCCCTGGTGTTGGAATCGCGGCGGAATTCCTCCTTCGTTGCCATTGATCTCTGAGATATACACACTCGGACGACGGGATCCCTCTGCGGACGCATGTCTCGCAGGGGTCCTTGCCACGATTGTCATTCCGAGGGCATTTGATCTTTCGCTCCCGACAAGGCTCACAACTGAGCGGCATTCGACGACCGCTCATAATTTCAATTGTGCTAGGGGCTAATTGACAGCCCTCTCGAGCAAAACATGGAGAAAATGCCTTCTTCACGGGGTTGCTGAATCCATCTCTGTGGAGCCCCGACATCTCCGCATTCCCCGCGCTCGTCCATCACAACCACCGCCTTGGGCTAGCGTTGGTGTATCATCTCCGAGGTCATATGACATCGGAGATTCTTCGTCAAAGATGATAGCTACCCGCGGGTTGTCGGGGCCTCTCGGTGTGGGAACAATATGGATGGAGGGAGACAATCCAGGTCAGGAGGTACATGTACACACCGTGAAGATGAGATGGAGTAGTAAGCTTCAGTTTGCGACATTTGTGCCACTGACAGTCTGGATAGAGTGAGATAGAAACACTCCTCTTTTTCCGGCGTACCAATACAACATGCTCGGCCAGGTGAGACGGGTACGATACTGCGAGCGTAAGAGGCCGGGCGACGCGTATGCCACGACTGCATCAAAGGACGAGTTATTGCCGATACTCTACCACCGCGCGCGGGCGCGCACTGCAGACACCGCTACTCCAACAGAATTCTCTTGGCCATTCTCAGCACCCCTGTTGTCACTAATGTGGCTTCCTTGTTGAGACTGAAATTCGGTATTTTGATCTGGACCTAACAGTGTTCAACAGCGTCCGCAGATGTGCCGCCAACCTGGTTGCTCAAGCAGTTTCTCTCGCTCAACGCAGTCACCATCTTAGTCCCGGTAGAGAAAGCACACAAAGGCCATGAGCTTCACTTTAGGCGAACTACCTCGGTCATGCTCTCTTAGCTGAGCTGCTGATCCTTAGAGAAACAGCCGGATGCGTAGGTATGTATCGGGATTGTCTCTAGGGAGGGACATATGTCATCACCTAGCGGTGGCGTCGACTATGATCTACTCAAGACTGATTGTGCCAACATGGTAAGTTGTCGTGTCAGCCATCTGCGTTTGCTGCAGAGAACCTACATGTGGCTGATGAATGGTTCAGAAACTTCTTGGATTAATCTACTCATTGAAGCCAGTGTTTCGTATGAGCTTTTGTTAAATGTGTATGTCCCATCAGTCATTACCCCGGGTTTTGTGCCCACGGTGAATTCTTTCCTGCCTTATAACTGATGAGCATCCCATTACTTTTCTCCGAGAGTTCGCAGAAAATCAACGTAGCGTTTCGAAACCACTAAGAGAGATGCTAAAACAGAAGGGAATTCATGAATAGAAGGCCGTGCCCGTTCCCTGCATGCCCCTTTGTGCCTCTAAACCACGCGGGCCTTCCCTTAGCGGACAACCTAATCCTCAAACAAAGAAAGCGGTCAGCCAGGACCGTTAGTGAAAAGATTCATCGCGAACCGATGGCCAGCCCTATTGCGGGCCCTGGATCTGCCTGTCGGCACATGCCTTCCGGCCCGGACATCCCGACCATCCACCCCTAAAAGCTCTGTCCATGAATTCGCAAATCCAAGGTCGCCCTTGCTAATTTGCCATCGCCTTCTCCGGCCTGGTTCTGGTTGGTTCAAGTCCGATCGATCCAAGTCTACGCCGATCACAATACCGCGACCATTGCCAACAACACAAGCCTGCGAAACCACATACGCTTCGCTCGTCCAAAGGGGAGATCTCCGAGACCGTCTGTCCCGAACTCAAAGCTGTTCCCTCTACTGGGGTAGCGACTTATATCGCGATGCCAAGCAATAATTCACCTATAATCATGCGTGAATGCATGTACGTGAATTGGTACAGTGCGCACAACAGCTCAATCACATACTGATGCTATAGTGCTGGAGGAAGTCTCAGGCAGCGATGGCGATGTTCTGTCGGTCAGAATGGCTTCAAGTGGTTCGAGTGTCAGATTTTAGTGCAGAAAGTGGATGTGGCCGAGAGGCGTAGGGGTTTTGACAGGCGCAAGTCCGCATGATACGAGATTAAAATGAGGACCCTCTTGTAGCCTAGTCTTCCATGTTCTCGCTTCCAACGGTTTACGGAAGGTGAAGCAGGCAGAGGGTAGGTGGTGGGCTTTACCGCTTATTGGAACCCAGACAGCGCTGTTTCAAGGACTACACCAAGGAGCAGCAACCGGGTTCAGCGGCACGGTTAAGATTGGCAACTCATACTGTGCAGTCGAGGCTGTTAGAATGCAGCCTGTCTTCATACAAACGGAAAGCGATATATAGCAAGTTGTGTTTCCCACCAGACAACTACCACAGTATATCCTCACTCTCATCTACACTCCCAACCCCAATTATCTCTCTAGACTCGCAGAACACTCCAGACAAGATGCTTACCCGCACTGCCCTCGTCGCCCTCCTTCCGGCTGTTGTCCGAGCTCTCGCTGAGGTCACCGCCACATCTCTCGGCAGCGGCTGTGAGGTCTACCCAGGCTACGACGCCTCTACGGGCGTTGCAGGTCCCTGGACCATCCAGCTCTCCGGGGCTGAGAACACGGCCATCGATGGTTTTAGCGATGTATCGCGGTACTCGATCGCCATCAACAACGGCAAGCCGACGATCCGGTGGGGCTCGGTGGGTTTTCCCCCTCTGATATTCGCTTGGTTTATTCTCCGTCGACCCCGGAGAGAAGATAGATAAGTTGGTTGCTGACTCTCTTGAACAAGATCACTATCCCCACCCGCAACGACATTGCCAAGAACCCCCTGAAGTGCGCCAACAACACCCTCCTCGGCTTGGTTCCTACTGATCTGACCGCCGCCGGAGCGCCCACCTCTTACGCCTGGACACCGCTCGTCCTCAGCCCTTACCCCTACGATGCCGCCTTGATGTGGGGTATCGATGGCAAGGCCCCCCAGGTCTACTCCCACAAGGACGTCACCACGGGCGAGGACATTGCCGGTGTCTTCCTGGGTGGCGCCGACGGCGTGACCTCCTGGGGCGTCAAGCACCAGGATGCGGACCAGGGCTCGGGTGGACGAGACTATTACTACCTGCGTCTGCTGGGACCTGGCAGTGAGAACCCCAGCACCGGTGCGCCTCTGGGCGATGGAGAGACGCAGACCTACCTTAAGATCTCAGCATAAATGGGTAAAAGAGTTGGCGAGAGTTGAGAGATTAGTTACTGTAGGAGGATGGGTCATCGTTACTGGGGCTTACTCGCCCAGAAAGCTGTACCCCATCGTTCTCTTTTATGATTAGGATCTTATGCACTTATTAAAATCAAAATTGCTGGGTTGTAAATGCAATCTTCAGCCAGACGAATTGTGTCAGCCCGACTGAGATAACTCAACCTTGCGGAAGTAGTTCTGATACGTACACAATCCCTTAGACAATACCTAAATCATGGACGGGATGGCTTCAACTAGACAAAGGCCTCATACGTGTTGGTAGCCAGATTGTTCAATGTTCCGGGCGTGAAGCGAGGCACGGCATCAGCCTTGTTGTCTGCCTGGTGACCTGTCTCATCTTCAGATATTCATGCAACTCCTGAGTCGAATGCTACCCTTCTTCCCAGCCTGCGTCAATAGTTAGTCAACAAAAATAAGCGAGTGACTTGAGACATGCGACCAATATTACTACAATAAGAAAATTATACCGACACTATTAGGCGGTCTGTCTGAACGTGCCTTATTCTATGCACCGGGAGAATTCCCCTTCTCCCACCAGCGTGAGAAACTTGCAGCTCTTGCCACACCAAATTTGCATTCCGTTTCGGCTTAGGTAGGGGCGTTAATTTTACGTCTTCGCAGTCTCTCCCACACTTCATTTAGAATGGTAGCATAGGACCAAAAAGGTTCGAGCCTTGATCAACTTGTTCCCGCCGTCTAATGCTAGTAGCCGAAGGCTAAGTCAATAATGGTTCAGCCTCTCACTTCATGGATCTGTAGAGATCCCTCTCAACTTGAACTAGCCTTTTCCCAGAGTTTGCATTTTTGCAACAGACCAAAAGGTGATGTTCCCGGCAGGTGTGAGAATCATAGTGGAAACTTGATACATTAGGTGGTAAAACTATACTCGTAACCCCCCCCCCCCCATTCCAATACGTGAGAGAGAGAGTTTCTCGCTCTTCTAGACCAGCTCAGAAGCAATCAAGTTCATGGCGCATCGAGGTTGGGGCTCAATCTGTTTTACTTGGAATTGAGTGAAACACAAACTGGCAACACGAGAGGGCATATATTCTCTGACACGTCGTCTCCAAAGAGCCCCTAACGCCGAGTCTTAGGTGCCTCTCGCTCACCACTCCCACTCCATGCTTTCTAAATTTTGCAAACTTTAGGAAGAGATGCTAGTTTGTGGGTTTACGGAAACAGAAAAAAAATCCAATGTTAGCGTTAGTTCCTGACAACTCTCGCCATAGTATACCTCCGGGGTAGAAGCATGAAACATAGTTTCATAGAGCCCATTTAGTCGTCCTTGGACCTAGGTGCCAGCAGACACAGTTTCCCAGCGTTTCGCAGCCGATCCGATGGAGATGGCCAAAAAAGGTGACACCGACAAGCACAACTCACCACCGTTCTAGGCATTCTCATCGTTTCCGGGGGACCTACCTTGTTCAGTATTTTTCCGACGTTTTCAATATCAGGGCTATCAACCAGGAGGCTCTTCATGCCGCCCAAGAAGGTAATGGCAACAGTTACACCTGTAAGAATCAGCTTCATGTTCTTTGAGTGCTCGAGATCCGCTCATTGAGAACTGGGCTGTGTAGCCGGCCAGTACCGCCCATTCACAGGAGATGTCGAGTCAATTCTAACTATTCTCTTTGGCTATGCCTCATCCCAATACACTAGACGACGCAAGCAAGCCTCAAAGGTGAATATTATACTACCGATCTTGCAACCCTCAAAGGTGGCGCTGAGGTGGATGCTGAATCTTTCGAATTCCATCCAAGCATGTCTTGGACGATTATCTCAGCTACACCGTCAGTGCAAACCATCCTAAGTTCTATAAACATAATCATTTCAGCTAAGAGGGCCGATTCCGCAAAGTACTAACATGAAGCTACGCCTCAATCTTGTTAACCGTTCTGATTCAGTACAGCAACACCTGTTTCTGCACTACATGGTCATGTTCTAGAATTCGATGCGGTAAATTTTATACAGACGGGTTGCGTTACTTGACAAGACTTGGCCGCTCTTGCAATGTTTTCCATCTGTCTCCCCATCGAGAGATACTCGGCGAGCAAAACCCTTTTTGAATATCAGTCTCAATTTCAGCTGGCTTCAGGGTCATGTTCGGCGCATATTTGCTGCGTTAACAAACAAATCGCTACTTTCAAGTTAAATACAACATGTCGCATTAGGTCATGGCAACCGCTGCTGGTCAAATTTGACAAGGCGGTAAGATCCGTCACTATATAAGCGAAATGCAAGCACTATTCTACTAGTCGCCCCAGCCCAGGGGTAAGCTGACATGCTGACAGAACGCCAGCTGCTGATTGCGTATTGGGTTCCGCAGAGTGACCTGGAGCGTACCGCCAAGAGCCAATAAGGAAACTTGGATATGCGCACAGATGCTAAATTGATAGCAAATCCTTGGTCCGCTAGACGTGATGCGGTTGGCGTGTGCTGATGTCGGGGCACTTTCACGTTTCGCCATCTACTGTATAATTTCAATGCTGACACCAACAACTCGTTGAACAGATATTTTCGCGTTGCAGATGGGCAAATCATTGATGCAAAAATCAACGCCATCTACATAGCGCTTCAGAGGACACATAGTCGGTTCACGACACCTCCAGAATGGACGCTACAATGCTGCGCACCGTCGTCATTGGCGCCTCGGCAGTCGCCGTCATTGTCATCTGGCGAAAACTCTACCCAAAGCCGTACCCAGGCATCCCCTATGTTGAAGCTTCAGCACAGCGCATCAGCGGAGACATACCGCATTTGATGGAGGCGATGAAACTAAGTGACGAGGCGACCAACTCCATGTTCGCCATCTCGACCCAGAAACTCGGCACGCCCATCGCCCAGGTTTTGTTCCCAGGGTTTGCGAAGCCTCTGATCACGGTTGATGATCCCATTGAGGTTGAGGACATCGTCGTGCGCCGGCAGAAGGAGTTCGACAAGTCGCCCATGGCCGTGCAAATTTTTGAGCCCATGTTCCCTCATGGATCTCTGAGTCAGTTTACCACCCCCAAATTGAAGGAGCAGAAGCGTCTGTGGGGAGACGTGATGAAGGTCGACTTCCTCCGCAAGGCCGCCGGACCGAAAATCTACACCGCCATGCTGGAGGTACTTGAATTATGGCAGATCAAGGCATCCTCCATCTACGAGGACAAGCCGTTTAGTGTCATTGACGACTTCAAAAATGCCACCTTGGATGTTATCTGGGCCTCTCTAGTCGGAAATGAGCCGGGCATCATGAGGTTTGAGATTGAGAAGTTGAAGGAGCAAACCGCCAGCGGTAAAGGCGAAAACGAGATCAAGACGAATCCTCCGCCTAGCGCTGCTATCAAAGACGAGGTGGCCTATGTTGAGCATGCCATTGCAAAGAACGCGAGAACACCCATGCCTACGTGGGCTCAGAAACTAGAAACATACACCCCACGCTACCGGAAGTTCAGGAGAACGATCAGTTCCAAGATTAGCCAAGCGATGAAGGATTCTGTGAACCGATATGAGCGTCTGCAGGCCGGGGCGCTCGAGGATGATGCCTCCGATACCTGCATGATGGATCTCGTCCTTCGCCGTCAAATTCTTGAGGCAAAGAAAAAGGGAGAACCACCGAGTGACCCGACGAAAGATCAGTATATGCTGGACGAGATGTTCATTATGCTTGTTGGGGTACGTCTAAGCCCGTTTGGTTTCTTATAGTTTAACATCAGGAAACGACGCCATCTATATTTGCTGACACCCAGATGATTGATATAGGGCCACGACTCTACAGCCAATGCGCTCGCCTGGTTTCTTAGATTCATGGAACTCTATCCAAGTGTCCAGAAAGATCTACGTACAGAACTTGAAGCTGCATTGCCCCATTCTAAGGCCCCATCTTTAGATCAAATCCTTGATACCAATATCCCTTATCTCGATGCCGTCTGTGAAGAAAGCCTGCGCTTGGCTGGCACGTCTAAAGGGAACCTCAGACAGGCCGTCACAGACACAGAGATCTTAGGCTGTAGGATACCAAAGGGTGCAGAGGTCCTCCTAAATCTTCATATAAATCACCCACTCCTACCAGTCGATGATCTAAAGCGCAGCCCGAGCAGCAAAGCAGCGATTGATAAGCATGGATATCGCTTGTCGGACACTACCTCGTCAAGTCTCAGTCTGTTTGACCCTGCAAGGTGGCTTACGAAAGACGAAGCAACGAATGGCGGAGCATTCAACCCTTATGCAGTACCGTCGCTGGCGTTTGGGGGTGGCTTACGGGGATGTTTCGGTAAGAAACAATGCTTCCAACAATCTATTCACCTGCTCTTCTCCTTTCTATAAGTTACCGTGTTACTAACCAAATGTGGCGGCGACAGGACGCAAGCTGGCAACTATGGAATTTCGTATCGCCGTCGTGCTATTAATACTCAACTTTGAGTTCCTCGAATTGCCCCAGGAGTTGAAATCTATGCTGGCTTCTGAGGCAATATTCCGCCAGCCCCAAAAGCCATTCGCTAGGGTCAGGGTTTTGTAGTATCTATTGTCAAACTACATATGTACATATCCCGGCTATATACAGATTTGATGGAAACGCCAGCAGCGACTGTTGTCTCAAAATTAAATTAAATTTAATCCCTTCTTCTTATGACGGGTGGACTGGCAAGTTCAAGCGTTTTTGTGGCGAACAACTTGCTTCCATATACAGCCAGTGACTCCCTTCCAAAAGAAATTGCTCGCACATTAATAAGTTAAGAAAAAAAATTCATGAAAGAGCCTTTTTTCTAATTTACGATCAATCATGAAAGATATTATTATTCCCTAGCTTTGTGTCCCGACATTATTCTATTAGATGTTCCGACAGATTGACAGGCACGATATAGGGTAGGTAGGCTGCGCACACGGATTATTACATGATCCGGCGCCGTCATGCCATTTGAGCATCATTCGGGTCTTACATTTTCCGTTCCCGTCAACTGAATGAATTTGACAGTGACGTATCAAACTAGCATTCGCAATGGGCGAGTGTAGTTGGCAGCAAGCAATAATCGGAAAGCCGATTGCGGAACTCGCAATCCATACGAGTCCTCGGCTTACCACGAAAGCCCGACGCCTTGTCGTATGACGTCCGGGTCGTTGGTCCGGCTGAGTCGGACCTCCCCCGAGTGGCTCCACTGAGGGAGATTATGACCACACAGCCAACCAGACCAGTCATCGTGACAACCTCAACGCTCGGAGAGTCGCCTGCCTGCTTCCCCAATTGTAGTCTTCATCGAACAAGGAGCGGGGCCGCCCCGACAGCGGCTATTAATTTCTCGCGTGCTGGCCATGAGAGACAATGGAGGGAGCGGGGTAGACGTCAACGCCGATCTCAGAGAAAGACATCAGAGAACCGACTGGCCCCTCCGATGATTGGGTACCGAAAATGATGAGGTGCTGTTGGGGTAAATATTAACTCCTATATGCGACACCCATTCTAGGGTGCGATCAATACTCCGTCGCATAACCACACCTTGGTGAAGCGCCACACTGTTTCTTGCTTCCTCAGCATGGACACTTCGATCTCTTCAGTGTTCCCTGAGGGAAGTTGGGATTCTCACATCCATATAATTGATACGGATCGGTTTGAATCCTTGAACGGCTTAGCAGGCCCCCCAATCGCCGGCTCTGTCTGGGAGAACGCCATATTTGAGAACTCGATCAAAGTCCAGAAAGTTACTATTGTCCAACCGACAAGATATGGGAATGATAACATGGCGGCTCTCCAGGCTCTGGCTGCATATGGACCCCGGAGAGCACGGGCGGTAGTACAATTTGACCCCGAGACAGTCACCGACACCGAGCTGAAGCTGTGGCATGACCTTGGTGTCAGGGGCGTGCGAATCAACCTTGCCAACCCAAAAAACCCTTTGGCTGGGACAAAGCCTGAAGACATGCCCAAGTTGGTCCAAAAGTATGCAGAATTAGTAAAGCCTTTTGGTTGGGTACTGCAATTTTACATCAGGATGGAGGACATTGTCAAACTGGAGAACACGCTACTCGCAATACCTTTGAGGGTAGTCATCGACCACATTGGGAACCCTAAGCTGCCGGAGCCTGTAGATGGCAGTTCCGAAGCAATCGACCCTTATTTTATCAAGGGATTCAGCAGTCTGATCAACCTGCTCAAGAGCGGACACGTGTGGGTGAAGATATCGGCAGCATATCGGTTCTCAAAGCTACAGGACCCGGAATTCAAAGACGTGGATCCTTTGATCAAGGAGATTCTCAGAGTCGATAGCACCAAGGCGGTATTTGGAACTGACTGGCCCCACACGCAACACGAAGGCCTTGATATTAGGCCCTGGGTTAGACACTTGGCGGAGTTAACCAGCGCGGACAAGACAGTTCAGCGGAGGGTTTTCCGAGACAATGCTTCTGACTTATGGGATAATCTGTAACTTAATATGGAAGCTTTCTATTGTATTATGAACAGTCGACTCGCTCCTGCGCTCGGCGCCTTTCGTGGACAATCATCCAACAATACTGGTGCACTGCATGTATCGTAAAGATTCCGAATGCCATCTGCAACTCCCGGGGAGCCTCGTGGCACCACTCTGCCATGTCTGAACATAGGCAGTAGACCCGTCAGCAATGAAGTGCCCCTAATTTCAACCACTTTCAACAGCTTACTCGCCGACAACGGAGTCCGTATCGACCGGCACTAAAAGGTTCATGACTTTCATTAGTATGTCAGGGTTGAGTACAGATGTTATTGTGGATTAGGCGGAAATAGTTGGAAGCATCGATGATCAGGATGAGAGATTCATGGATGACAACCTCAGAACGGATGCTTCAGTCCAATGAATAATATCTATGACACCATGTCGAAGGAGCAAGTAACAAGAGCCAACCCGAGGATGGAGTTTAGCCAAGCTTTAGGTTAATCTTCTGTACCAATGAGTGAGCAAGACTCTCCAAAAAAAATACCCATTTCAATAATTTATTGGTGTTGGTTATTTAATGTCTATATCCGAGCAACTAGGTAATCGTTCGGGCCCCACGCCCGAGAGGCTGACGGACGACCTCCGATGGTTGCTGGGGCCATCCCTTCTTCAGCTTCAAGGGTCCAAGCACGTTGACCAATCCACCGGATTAGCGTGACTCGCGTATTGGTCCACTTGGACTTATTTCGGACCTCTCCCGTACGATGCAGGGAAAAGCATGAACCCTGACCGTCACCTGCCCTTGAACTGCACTGCAACAGTCCGGATGTTCTCCAGGATGGACGAACATGGGGAACGTGTTTGAATGCGGGGGAGACAGCCTTTAGCGTGGGTTACCAAGGATTTAGTTCAGCCCCCTCACCATCCCAATTTTCGGGGAATTCCTCGCGACTCGGTGAGAAATCGCGTGGCCAAAGTATAAAGGACGTTGACCTCCAATCTCTGTCTTCGCGATTGTGCCTCCAACCAACCCGTCCATCTTCCCCTATCACCTCTTACACTCCCAATCAGACAACGGAAGAAATGAAAGACAGCACAGTCGAGGAAACCATGCCTGCCGGGGTCGCCTCGAAGATCGATTACGAGGATGCCACCCACGTTGAGTATGAACGGATTGACCCCGAGGAGGAGAAGAAGTTGGTGCGGAAGCTCGACATGGTTATAATGCCGATGATGGCATTTGTTTACTTTTTCCAATGTATGCGAGTCCCCAGCAATCTACGATATTGAGGTTTTTGTTACTAACGATGGGTGCCATCCAGACATCGATAAACAAACCATCAACTACGCAGCCATTTTTGGCCTGAAAACCGATCTTAAACTTACTGGCGACGAGTTCTCATGGGTCGTATCCCTATTCTACCTGGGCCAGCTCTGCTCCCAGTGGCCTGCTGCGTACCTGCTGAGCCGACTGCCCATCACGGTGTTCGTTGGCGGAACCATCATTGCCTGGGGCGCCGTCGAGATGTGCCTCGCTTCCCCAAGTAACTTTGGCGGGATGGCGGCCATTCGCTTCTTCCTAGGCTTCACCGAAGGAAGCGTCTCGCCCGCCTTCATCATCATCACTTCCCTATGGTACAAGCGCAGCGAGCACAACTCTCGAGTATCCACCTGGGTGGCCATGAACGGCGTCGCCCAGATTGTTGCAGCTCTTTTGATGTACGGGATTGCCAAAAACGAGCACGCCTTGGCCCCCTGGCGTGTCCTGTTCTTGGTAACCGGCGGCATGACTATTGCTTGCGGAGTCGTCTTTGTGCTATGGATGCCGCGAAGTCCCGGCTCTGCGTGGTTTCTCAACGAGAAGGAGCGATCTCTGGCCGTCCGGCGACTTGCAGCTGACCGTGGTACCAAGGAAGGCTCTGACTTCAACTGGGCCCAGGCTAGAGAAGCGTTGACTACCCCGACCACGTGGCTGTACTTCCTCATGGCACTCGGACTTACGCTTCCTACTCCTATCATTAAGGTTAGTTTCTTACCTTACCGGATAATATCCAATTTCATCTCTCTAACACGTCCTGTTCTAGTTCTCCTCTACTGTCATCAACGGCTTCGGCTTCGACACCTACAAGACTATGCTCGTTGGTCTCCCCGCTGGCGTTTTCAGCAGTGGCTCCGTCATCCTCGCCGCTATCCTCCCGGCATACATTCGAATCAAATACATCCGAATCTATACAGGCTTGATCGTCACTGCTATTCCATTAATTGGCTCAGCACTCATGACCAGCCTGCCCCTCGACGCCAGCTGGGGAGTCGTTGTCGCCACCTGGCTTGCGGGCGGCTTCGCCGGGACCCTGAGCATCTCTGCTGGCCTCATGGCTTCCAACGTCAAGGGAAACACCAAGAAGTCGGTTGTGTCTACTGGATTCTTCGTGTGCTACTGTATCGGTTGCCTGGTGGCTCCCCAGGCGTGGCAGAGCAAGGATGCGCCGCGCTACAGCACCGGCAACTATCTCAGCATCGGCTCTCTCTGCCTGCTATTCCTCACCTTTATCGCCTACGGAGTTGATATGGAGCGTAGGAACAGGAACCGTGACCGGAAGGCTGCTCAGGGCGACAGCCGTTATCTTGTCACGGAGGCTGATGGGGTGGCTACTGGTGTTTCGCTTAGCTCGGACATGACGGATATCGAGGACAAGGTTTTCCGGTATAGATTTTAATCTACTGGCTGTGTAAAATAGGTGCTATGCTATCACTATTATAACAGCTCGGTGACATATAGCTGTATATGCTGGAACTCAGAGGAAACAAGGGGAAATTCCAGTCCTATAAGGAAAATGTGAACTAGATATCCCTGGGAACGGTCGACATGACATCTAATTTGATCAAGTAAGCTCACTTTTTTGGGGTCGTCGAGCAATTGTAGATCCACTTATAGAAATTTCCATGGATTGGAAGATAAATCCTTTTGTATTTTTCGGGTATATGCTGAACGAAAGATTGCAGCAAGTCAAGATCACAGTGTGGGCTTAAATGACAGCGCTCTTTGTTGAAATCTGTTAAATTCATATCCCATGGTATCTCTCTATGATGGAACACAACAAAACATAACAGCGGGTGCATGTTCCATTATGGGTACGGATGAGAGTTTGAGTAGCTTGACGCACACAGTAACAAACAATCCATTGCTGCTTTTTATTGTGTCAGTCAAGCTACCCAAACTCTCATCCGTACCCTTAATAGAATTTGAGCCCCCTGTAGAGCCGCCAGACAGCGCGACCTTTCATTACCACAAAGTGGTAGCAAACATAGCAAAGCCGCCCAATATAACTGATAGAGTCCGAGATGGCTGGCTAAAGCCTGATGCGTCTGAGGAGCCCTGATTGGCCCACGTCTCACACCCTCCATGGCCTTGGTTGTACTCTTTGGCGCTATTGATGGCGAAACTTTTAACAGAGTAAGGTGTCGTGCGGCACTGGCCACCAGGTTCTGTTTGGCAACTGTCCTCAAACCAAGGATTTAGGTCAGCGTCGGGTTCCTCCTTTTCTGGATCTAGCTGCTGGCAGTCTGAGAACGCATAAAAGTAAACGACCCAGCTGGCATCTTCCCCAACTTTAATGTTGCCTGGCGCGTACTGCTCGAACCATACCCGGGAATAGTTGGTCTGCGAATCGTAGCTGCCTTCGCTTTCGAGGCGCCAGAATATACCGTTGGGTTCAACGGTGTTGTACACGTGTTGGGTTGCATTGGTGAATCCAGTCGTATTTGACTGAGAAAAGATATCTGAGACGTTGAAGCAGGTATAGCTGTTTGGAATTGTTTGTGTGGTGAGCGCCAGTCGATGGGTTGTGGCGTTGATGTCGCAAGAGTCCCCTTCTTCATTGGAGAAGAATGCGACAGTGAGGTTGCCAGAGCTGAAAAAGATATGAGTGTCAACAAAACCAAAAGTCAAATAGTACATGTCAGGTGCTTACTGTCCGATGGGCACGGTGGCAGCAAAGGCATGAGCAGCCAAGTAGCTGAAGGCGACAACTGATCCGAGCATGGAGACCATCGTTCGCAAATATCGAAAATCTTTTGCTAGTAATTAAGCTTCTTTTCTCCAGGTTCTAAGCATTTAATATAAATAATCATCCACATGACGTCACGAAAACAATGCTGACACAGTGGAATCCTTTGAGCTCGAAATATAACTGATCGACATTGGTTCCATGCTAGTCCGCTGAGGCATGGTTTCTTTAAGAACTTATGTAAAATCAAGATGATCGCTATGTCAACTCCGTGTGTTAAGATACGTCACGTCGCTTTTCCAAGCAAAACGAAGTTCATCTGATCAAAGAAATGAAGTTGGCACTTGGGAGCTTTTGGTTTTCAACAACCAAAATATCGCGGTCCGTCTGGCATTGAGCAAACCAGTCGGTCTTAATTGAGACAGGCCGATGACGTTTTAGTGCACAGAGCTGGGATTAATGGCGGTAGTTGAAAGAGGAAATTGCCGAAGGAGTGGCCAATCTAGCTCCGCTGATCACAACAAATCGTCCGTCTGTCATTTTAAGGCACGGATCTCGCACGTTTGAGTCATCTTAGACATCCTTTCCTAGGCCGGTAATACCAAAGGTCGTCGTACTACCCCCGACTTAAGGGGAGAAGTTGAGAACACAGGCGAGCCCATCTTTTTGGCACATGATGACTACTGCAAGCTGGAATGCTTAAACGGGATACCGGAAGAAAGCCATGAGGCTCGGTTTTTTGGCCAGAAAATTGTGTCTGTAGTTGCTTTGCTTGTTTAGATGACGCATTGCCAGCGCTGAGTCTCCAAGATTTCTCACCTACTATACGTCACTCTATCTGCCTCTTGAGGTTGGATATTTTATCTCCTGGAAAAAGAAATTCCAACCCTCAAACTACGATTAGTTATTTCTACATCGTTTCCACATAGAAGCAGTACGAGTGGGCTGGAAAGGCAAGGTCCTCAAGGGCCCTAGGTGCGCTCCATCGAAATAATGCCGGGGTTAGTATCCCCCGCATCGATGAACAACGAACACTTGGTTCATGGCTAAAGTCGAGTCGGTGAGAAATATTCTCATGCTACCGGATTCGGCAAGATTAACCACCGCCTCCATCATCGTGGGGAGGCACGGCAATCCGGTCATCCCCGTATTTGACAGCTATTGGTCAAGATCGGCATTCGTCTCCCCACGTCGGCCTTGCGGGGAGAGTGCAAGCACGCGAGGTGCTCTTCATTGTGGAACTAATATTGCCGGTGCTCCAAGACTGCCTCTATAGCTCGAATCGGACCGAATTTCAGTGGTTGAAAGAGGCAATCCTAATCGCAACTGATGATGGAGTCATTTGGAGGGGTAACGATAGGACCGTAGTATAAAACTAGCTGTCTAGCTCTGTAGAGTGGCCGATGGTTACAGACGAGTAGCAACCACTGGCCACCATGCTCTGCCAACGTCTTCTTCTAGGTTTTGCTACTCTAATCCCCGTCTTCGGCAGTCCTGCCGGAGACCAGCAATGTTTGACTTCGCGATATGAACACAAAACCAGGCTGTTTGTTCTCACCGATATGAGCAACGAGCCTGACGATCAGATGAGCTTCGTACGTCTACTTACCTATGCCAACGAGATCGACATTCGAGGGATTGCAGCCACTACATCGACTTGGCTACGCAACAAAACCGACCCAGAGACCATCCGGGAGGTCATCGGTGGATATGGAGAGGTTCTTGGCAATCTCAACGCCAATGTTCCCAACGATGCTTCCTACCCTTCAGAAGATGAGCTCCTGTCAAAGGTTTCCGTGGGCCATGCCGTATACGGACTTGCGTCACTCAATCTTCCATTAAGCGGTGCGGCTGAGGCCCTTGTGAAGGCCGCGGATGATGCGAAAGCTGATGACCCTCTGTGGGTGTCTGTTTGGGGCGGAGCTGCCGTTCTGGCCGAAGCACTGAACCATGTTTCCAAGACCCGAGACAAAGAAGCTGTTGAATTGTTTGTCAGTAAGCTTCGGGTCTACTCTATTTCGGATCAAGACGATGCGGGGGCTTGGATACGCACCAACTACCCCAAGTTGTTCATGGTGGTCTCTCTCCACGGGTTCAGCGAGTACACGCGTGCAACCTGGAACGGTATCTCTGGAGAAGAGTACAGGCACTTTGACAAAGGCGGACCTGAAACTTCGTTGGTATCAAACGCGTGGCTTGAGAAGAACATTCGGATTGGCGCCCTTGGAGCTCACTATTTGAACTGGACGTTCATCATGGAAGGCGATACTCCAGCATTCCTGACACTTATTCAGAATGGACTGGGAGATATAGAACACCCCGACTGGGGAAGTTGGGGAGGCCGGTACACCCTGGCAGACGCGTCCGGGAACCATAACGTGTACGCGGACTGCACAGACTACGTTCAAGGTGCCAACGGGGAAGCATTCATCAGCAGCTTTGCGACCATCTGGCGCTGGCGACAGGATTATCAGCACGACTTTGCAGCTCGAATGCAGTGGACTATCAATTCTGATTATAGCAAGAACAACCACCAACCAGTTGCAGTGGTTAATGGGACATGTGGCCCCTCGGCGTTGAAATTAGACTACATCAAGGGAGGGAAAATCGTGCTCGACGCATCAAACAGTTGGGATCCTGACGGTGATGGGCTGTCGTTCGAATGGTTTCACTATCGCGAGGCGGGAACTAGAGGGCTGGAAGGATTCAACATTCCACTGATCAGCGAAGATGTGAAGATAGCAAAGTTGAATGATCAAGGAAGCATTGTGAGTCTAGACGTGGTCAAATCCTCCAAGGTAAGTCGTCTCCCGCTCAGCCTCTTGTTTCTGGTCTAATTGTGCAAAAAGCCGATACACATAATCGTTGCTATCCGTGATGATCACGATATGTCTTTAGTGACTTATAGAAGAATCATTTTGAGCGCAAAAGATCCTCAAAACTCTTCGATCAGGGCGTTTGGGGAGGAATTTCAAGATATAGAATACTATCGTGGATGAAGGAAAGCCTCACATGCGGCATATATGGGAAGCGTATTTGTTTTTTGCCGAACTCCCCATTGGTCTGTTCTAGTATTTAGATAGTGTGTATGCTGGATTCATAAGACTTCGGGACTGGCACTGCCGTCACACGCCAGATCGGCTAGCAGACACATGGAGCAGGGCATATAATAGGCCACGCCTCAATCTGGTTTATTCAAATTGGCACAGCGCCCACGGGCTTCCTCAAACAGGTGATTATGACACCAAGAGTCGCCAAGCCAGTTGCAGCGAGAAAGGTAGTTGTTGTATCGTACCAGCTGCTTTGCGATGTCCCCTGCTGAACTAAGTTAGGCATTCCGCTGTTCTGTCCATTGACTATTAATAACATGCGGCAATATCAGGCACCATGATAGATCCCCCGGTGTTGCGTCTGAAGTACGCCCGTATTGGTTGTGAGACTTGTTATGATTTGGCTGATGCTCAAGACTGAGCCTACTGACATGCCTCGGTAACTGCGAGCTTCAAGTTTAGAACATAGAGGATTGGGACTTGAGTCGAGTCCGCTTAGTAGTAGAAGCTCGCAACATGCTTCCGGGGCATTTATGACAGTGCCACCTTGAGCAGTCCATGGTGAGATGTCTCTTGAGTCAAACCCGCCGATCTGGATGATATTAGCACAAGGTTTTGCAGCAACTGAAGTAAACTGGAAGCGTTCTTCTGCCCATATCATCCAACAACACTCTAGGCAAGACCCCGATAATGCTGATCCCATGGTTTATTCCACGACCAACCACAAACTGGCTGTTTATGAATCTGTTTATGTATTTTGTGTTCTGAAGAACTATTGCCTAATACCGTCCTCTCAGTAACACTTGACCCGCTAATTGCTATGAGAGAGGGGTTAGTGAGAGTGATAAGCATGGGCTCTGCAATAAGGTCCGTCTTGATTCAGGATATTAGCTTGACACAGCTAATAGACCGATAATGTGACTAAACAAATAGAATATTGAGGCACACCGTAATCTTTGATTTATATTTCGAGTTATCACTAGCGTTATTCGGGATAGAGCGGCTTATTCGTAAGCATGCTGACCTAATGATATCCGCGTGATGCTACTTAAGGCAGGTAGGATCCCAACATGTCCTGGATCATCTGACATTCCCTTTATACGAGAAATAAATAACCTCTGGTTCCATCGTTCGTCGGAGCCACTCCACTTTAGAACGCCAGTTTTTAGGCTTCTCCTTTCCTCAATTTCATCTCCACTTCTTCTGTTGCTTGATCACGACACCGGCGATATTAACTCACAAGCTGATCGGCATGGCAACCTCTGAGGAGACTGGGCAGTCGCCAGCAAGACTACCAGAGAAAGTCATTCCTACCAAGCCGGTGTTGTTCTTGTAGGCTATTCCTGTTTAACAGCCTACTCTTAGACGTTCCCAGTTGACATTCATCAAAGTGACGTTGACAACTGCCTTTACCCTCAAGGTAAGTGCTAGAGAGCCCGGTCCTTGCTGTCAAAGATATATAGGCTCACCTGAATGACGAGTAGATAGTGGACTCGAGGAGGAGGCACGAGAAGGGATTTTCAACTATGTTATGAGCCGCACCGGGTTGAATAAGGAACAGGCCGCGGAACTTTGCGCTAAATACTCCAAAACATACGGTTTTCTGCCCGAAGGCCTGGTCCGTCATCACAGCATCGACGCGAAACATTACAACTCCACAATCGACGAAGGCCTTCCCATCGAGACCCTCCTTAAGCCCGATCCCAAGCTTAGAAAACTGCTGCAGGACATTGACAGGTCCAAGGTTCGGCTGTGGCTGTTTAGCAACGCAGACGATGTGTACGTGAAGAGGGTCGTGCGCCATCTGGAAATTGATGACTTTTTTGAGGGATTAACATACTGTGACTATGCCCGTGTCCCACTGGTCCACAAGCCAAAGAGAGAAAAGTTCCAGGAAGCGATGAAAGAAGCAGGCATCGAAAGTAGCGCGGATTGCTATTTTGTCGGTCAGTGGCCTATTTCGAAGGACAGCACGTGGCCTTCAAGTCCTTCCTACGCCCTTGTTCAGTCCGTTGACATTTAAACAGATGACTCATATTTGAATTGTCGGGGTGCGCAGGATTTTGGGTGGACAGCAATGCATTTGGTCCAGGATGGGTTTCCAGCTCCTCCATCTCAGGCCTCACAGCATCAGATCAAAAGCTTGGAGGAGCTGCGAATTCTGTTCCCTCAGTGGTTCAAGAATTGACCTAGAAAGAGCTGGAAGCTAACCGGTTCCTTTGAGTGGAGCAGTTAACCGGCCGTCACTTCGGTGATTGCGATGTAGGAAGGGGTTGATTCTTGTTTTGATTAGATCAGGCTCGGGCTGCGTGGATCGATCAGGTATGTTCACGGAGGACCAGGCGGAGGACGTTCGCTTTTAGATGGCTATGTGGTCTGGAAGAATTGGTGTTATAAAGAACAAGCCACCGAGTTTCTAGTGGAATTTGATATATAGAAATTCTAAAGGACACCATGAAACATACAATATGCTTACAAAGGGAGATGCCTTTCCATCATTCTCCGTCTTTCCCTGCCCTGGGGTGGAGATGCGGAATGACGGAATGGCTGAGCACTGACAAATGATGGAAGCAGCTCTTCATGATTATTCCTTGGCCAGAAATTTAGCGCTACTCCCAGAATGGAAAATTGATTCCCATGTTATATATCTTATTGAGTTAGACAACTTTGACCTTATCTTGGCTGCTTATTTCAATCAATTTGAATCTTAGCCCATGGCGGTCACATATACGTAGTATCCTGACATCAAAGTGCCAACAGGGTTTGTCAACTGAGCTTTAGGAGAGGACAGGTTCCGTATGTTTTGTCATCAATAGTGGCAGGAGTGTCATAATGAACCAATGGACATATATATTCATCGACCGTTTCCAAAGACGAGACTGTTTCATAGCAAAGCAGACATTTCACGCAACGAGATAACATTCAGTCTGTTCAACTACAAAACGTTGAATCATTCCGTTATTCCTCCTCTAACCTCAAGATGCTTGACTTGATCCGGGAGGCGCCTCTCGGGCAAGCAATCCGCCTCATCTCACGGAACAAGGTCCTCCAGTATCCGGAAGAAAAGCCTGGATTCGAGATCCCATCCCAATACATCCACAGCCTCAAGCAAAGCGAAAAACCATGCGAGAAGACAGCACTGGACGATAGCGACAGTACTCCCGCTGGCGATACTCATCAACATCCAGTAGAAAATGCCCCCTTCGTCCACCGAGGTGATGACGAGGAAAGTCTTCACCAAATAGAAACTGTCCGAAGCCATCGCACCGCGCCATACAGCGACGAGAGAATGCAAGCCGAGCGCGATGTTCAACTCCAGAAGACCAAATCGCTTCCGATCGAGCCTCAAAAGACAGCAGATGGCATCGTTCTTGTTGATTGGTACACCCCTGATGATCCAGCCAACCCTCAAAACTGGTCGAGCGCGAAAAAGTATTTCGTCACGTTCGTCCTCTGTATCTATACCTGGGTAGTCTATTGTGCTGGCCCTATATATGCCACCGCAGTCGAAGGTATACAAGATGAGTTCCATATCAGTGCTGTTGCCTCCACACTCGGGTTGTCTCTGTATGTTCTGGCATACGGTATAGGTGATCTCCTTTTTGCTCCTCTATCCGAGATCCCTGTTATTGGTCGCAATCCTGTCTATTACCTCACGTTCCTCGTGTTTTGGATCCTCTCATTCCCCGAGGCTGTCGTGAACAGTTTCGGCGGCCTCTTGGCATTGCGCTTTTTCCTCGGCTTCTTTGGTAGCCCTGCCCTCGCGAATGGGGGTGCGACCATAGGCGATATGTTCCCCTTGATCTATATTCCATATGGACTCTCCTGGTGGGTGTTTTCAGCGTGGGCCGGCCCTGCCTTTGGACCTATAATTGGAGGTTTCGCTGCACAGTACAAGGGGTGGAGATGGCCAATGTGGGAGATTGTTTGGATGGCTTCACCGGCTCTAGTTTTGCTACTGCTGTTCATGCCAGAGACGTCCTCAGCCACGATTCTCTTAAGACGGGCACGACGATTGCGGAAGCTGACTGGAAACGAAAGACTTCAATCCCAAAGCGAGATCGATCAGCGACACATGAAGGCTTCCGATATTGTCTTCTCGGCACTCGTCAGACCTATGGAGATCATGCTCAAGGATCCATCCATCTTCTTCGTCAACCTATACACGGGGTATTTTTATGGGGTCTTTTACACCTTCTTCGAGGTCTTTCCTCTTGTGTTCCCGGTATCCTACGGATTTAGCCTCGGACAGACTGGCCTTACTTTCTTGTCCTGCTTTATCGGCGTTATTATTGGCATCACGGCTTATTTTGCGTACCTCAAGTACTATATGATACCTGACAATATCAAAAATGGGTTCCGTGAGCAAGAGCATCGTCTTGTGCCAGCCATTGTTGGGTCTATTCTGCTACCCATCGGCCTGTTCATCTTCGCGTGGACGTCCAGATCCAGCATCCATTGGGTAGTGCCGTTGATTGGCGTCGTCATATTCGTTATTGGGCATTTCTGGGTCATGCAGTCTCTGTTCATCTACATTCCATTCTCTTACCCCAAATACACCGCCTCTCTTTTCGCAGGAAACAGTATTTGGAGATCAGGGGTTGCTGGCGGCGCCGTTGTCTTCGCCAGGCCCCTCTTTATCAATCTCGGCGTGGATAGGGGCGTGACTGTCCTTGCAGGTCTGAGCGTCGCTGGTATTTTCGGGACAGTCGCCATTTACGCCTTTGGGAAGAAACTACGCGCCAGGTCTAAGTTTGCCGAGAGCTGATTTAATGACCTGCGCCGGCATGGTATCGAGAGGAGAGTAGAGTTGTGGGTTAAAGGTATGAGGCTTGGCTCTAGTGCCATACGGGGGGTAATAATGCAGGAGATCGAAGGTTAGAGCTTAGAAGTGGCTCAATGGATAGCGGGATGGAATAAAACGATAGAGTGTTCAGTGAGAGAGTAGAAGGGAACTTGGATAGCATACGCAAGGGGTAGAATGATTCTTTTACGTCACTCCTTCGGCTCTTAAAATTGGCTTTGGATTTTAATCCTTTTTGATCGGGTGACAAGACCTTTCGTACAGAAATGCTCACGAAGCATCATCGAACTGAATCTAGGGCGAGAGCAAAACGGTCAAGTTCGCCCATCGTGCTGCTGAGTCAAGGCCTGAATCAAGGGCAAGAAATTCATCCACAAGCGTAATTGGTTTAGTGGTAAAATTCTCCGTTGCCATCCGAGCAGCGTCGGGGAGCCCTGGGTTCGATTCCCAGATTACGCATTTTTGCCATTTGCATACATTGTGATGTTCATTTTGCACGGGAGGACGAAAATGAGTGACTAGCGAAAATGGATTTCAGTCTGGAAGCTCTGGCGGAGAGGCATCACGCAAGGTTCTGCTCAACAGGCATCCTTTTGAGTCCTGAACGAGAGCTGGTTGTGGTGACAACATCATGTGTTACTTCGCCCCGTTGGAGTCGGACCACTATCAATGATATATGGATTGTGCGTAGTCTTCCATTGATTAGTTTATTTGGCCAATGAGTGCCAATGGATGGTTTATTGCTGCTGTCAAAAATCCAAACCGCTCCCATGGTGATCAGTTAACTAGACTGCTTATTTTATATGATTTCCATTGGTAGAGGCATGCGCATGCATACCCTCCCATCTCTCAAAGTTCCCAGCCTCTAGGTCAAACAAATCAAGCAATCTTCCAACCATTTGATCCAAAATATCCTCGACAGATCCTGGCTTGGTGTAAAATCCGACGACAGGCGGTGCAATGATGGCCCCTGCGCGTGTCACGTCCAGCATATTCCGCAAGTGAATCTCACTGAATGGAGTCTCCCGTACGGACAACACTAGCCTCCGGCGCTCCTTCAGGCATACGTCTGCCGCTCGTGTTATGAGGTCGTCGCAGATACCCGCGTTGATAGCAGCAAGCGTCTTGACGGAGCAGGGAGCGACGATCATCCCGTCCACTCGGTAGCTGCCACTTGCAATCGGTGCGGCTAGGTCGTTTGAGTTGTATGAATGATCTGCCAATGCTCGCAGTGTCGTGGGGGTGTAGTCAGTTTCATATTTTATTGTTTCTGCCGCCCATTTGCTGATGATGAGGTGTGTCTCAACGTTGAGCCGTCGAAGAACTTGAAGGATCTGGATTCCAATAGCAGCGCCGGTGGCCCCGGTAAGTGCTACGATGATTCTTTTCCGGCGATTGGTCATTCCCATTTTGAAATTGCGCAGCTGAAATTTTGGTAGATGTAAGAGAGGGCTGAGGAGTGTGGCCTAGATATTGGGCTAACAAATTCCCAGAGTCGCACTGTGATGATGCATCCAGTACTGCGTTTTCCGTAAAAGCGAGATTATATGTCTTACTCTTAAAATATAAAAGATCGAGCAATGAGGCGGAATTTCTGTGCCGACTTGCCTTGATGACGTTTTCTGTGTGGCCAATGCGAATATTCCGAGCTCTCCGACGCCCCCGAGCCCGCCGAGATGCGCCGCTTTGTTCGAGTAATGCCGCTTTGGCTTGCTCGGAGCACAATGGGTACGTGGTTCAGACCACTTTTATGTCAAAAAGGATTATTCAAATGCAAGTCTCGGATCTGGGATGCCGTGACTCAGATGTATAAAACCGGCTGTCTGGCATGCCTGAAGTCTGATCGTAGCAAGCATATCGACGTTGCTTGATAAACACAAACTCGAACTCCACTCCCCTTCTAATAAAACAAAATGGCACTCGCCCACATGGAATTTCGAGCATTCGTCCAAGCTCTCAAAGATGACGGAGACCTCGTTGAGATCAATGAAGAGTGTGATCCGAACCTCGAAGTCAGCGCCATCATCCGCAAGGTTGTCGAACACGACGAAAGGGCACCCCTATTCAATAATCTCAAGGGGCAGAATGAGAATGGCCTTTGGAGAATCCTGGGTGCTCCGAATTCCCTTAGGTCTGATCAGAGGCATCGATACGGAAGACTGGCTCGACACCTTAACCTTCCGCCAACATCATCAATGAAGGAGATACTTGACAAGATGGTGTCTGCCAAAACTGTGGCTCCCATTCCTCCCAAGATTGTCGAAACGGGCCCATGCAAGGAATTCTGCCTTACGCCTGACCAGTTTGATCTTAACCAGCTCCCGTCACCAACACTTCATCAAGCCGATGGAGGAAAGTATGTCCAAACTTATGGAATGTTTATTGTCAGGTCACCGGACGGAAAGTGGACTAATTGGTCGATCGCCCGAGCCATGGTCCATGACAAGAACCATCTTGTTGGGCTTGTCATGCCGCCGCAGCACATCGCTGTTATTCACCGCATGTGGAAGGAACAGGGTCGGGATATGCCATATGCATTGGCCTTCGGTGTTCCGCCAGCAGCCATCATGGCAGCCAGTATGCCACTCCCTGATGGGCTCACCGAGGCTGAGTATATCGGCTCCATGGTTCATTCACCTCTGGAACTTGTCAAGTGCGAAACCAATGACCTGTTCGTGCCATCAACATCTGAGATTGTCTTCGAAGGAACTTGCTCCGTGACCGAAACAGCAAGTGAAGGGCCCTTCGGAGAAATGCACGGGTAAGAAGATCCAGCTCGTTTCTTCTGAAAATCAAATTATGTACTTACAAGATTCCTAGATATGTATTTAGGGGCGATTCGCACTCCATGCCAGTATATACGGTGAACATGATTACTCATCGAAAAGATCCTATTATGCCAGTGTCTGCCTGTGGCCGACTCACAGATGAGACGGTGAGCCCCCTCTTGATGGAGTCAACTTCAAATCAGACTTCTAACTACTTCAGCACACAATGATTGGGCCCCTTGCTGCAGCGGAGATAGGCTACATTCTCAAATCAAACGGCCTTCCTATCAATGAAGCATTCTCCCCCTTCGAATCTCAAGTTACATGGGTCGCGCTGCAGGTCGATACCGACAAGCTACGAGCAATGAAGACGACCGCCGAGGCCTTTTGCCGACAGGTGGGAGACTTGATCTTTAGAGGGAAGCCCGGATCCACCATTCATCGGCTGCTTCTCGTCGGTGATGACATCGATGTGTATGACTTCAAGGAGGTCATTTGGGCATTCACCACTCGCTGCCGCCCCGTCATGGACGAGTATAGCTACGAAGACGTTCCTGGGTTCCCGCTAATCCCGTACATGGGGCATGGAAATGGTCCTGCGAACAAGGGAGGCAAGCTGGTGTGTGACTGCCTACTCCCAGTGGAGTATACAACTGGGAAGAATTGGGAGGCAGCCGACTTTAAGGGGTCATTTCCTCCCGAACTTCAGCAAAAGGTTCTTGATCGCTGGCAGTCTTACGGGTTTTAACCTCAGAATGCAAAACGGGTCTGGACATGTCAAGTACCACAGAAGTATTATACTTGGGGGAGAATCAAATGTCATGTTGACGAGACCGGCTAGTCATTATATAGTTCTAAAATAGAGAACCAGGCGCAAATTGGTCTGACATAATAAAATCGTATGCTTCCAGTGGCGAGTAAGAACCAAAATCCACAGAGCGGACCCATTCGTCCATATCAAACGAGCTACTCATGTCAGTATGAAACGCTAACATGTGATGCAAGATAACCTACCTCAAATCTGTAGAATCCAACAGGCTGTTTTGAAATTGAGGGTTCTCAATCGAAGGGGATGGTGCAGAAAATGTCTCAGGGGCAACTTGGCCGGGCTCCGTAGTTCTTGTCAGATTCGATTCATCCGCCAGCTTGCGCTGGGCTTTGAGGGCACACAGGGCTTTTTGATAAGCATTCGAAAGCGATCCTCCCTTTAGCTCCTGGCTCGCTTCCAAACTGGCTATAAGTTGGGTCTGGATATCCTTGGTTTCCTCCAGCCCCTTTGTTTGCTCAATGAACCCCAGCATTAGGGCAGAGCAGAGGCCATTATGAAGAAATGCCCAAGACCGAGTAGAGTAGTTGGAAATGGACCGGAGGGATACAAAAGCTGTGGCGCTTTGTTTTAGCGCGTCTAGAACACGAGAAAGAATGTCGGAGGCATCTTTTGGGGGCATCTTTTGTCTTCCTTGCCTGGAGAGAATCGGTCTGCAAAGGAATGAAATTCCAAAATTTCTGTGCAGTATGAAACTGTAGTGCTCTTGCACCTCGAGCAAAGACCGGCACTCGCTTCTTTCCCGTATATGCTTCGCACAGGATGCTCGGATTTCAGCAAATGTGCGGAAAATATCGTTGTAGACTGCCGATTCAGGCGGAGAAGCTGGTACCACGAAGTATTTCATTGACGCGTGACATATCCAATTCATCGCCTGTCTATAGGTCAGTCCAGCGGGCTCAGAGCCGTGCTGAACCATTGGCGGCAGGTCCGTTTCGTGATACATCTCATGGGAAGTTGGATTTCTACCAAATGCCATGGATAAGAGCGTGTCCTGCCAAACGATGGCCATCCTAGAGAATGATTTAGCATTGTCAACAGGAATATCAGTAAGTATACAAATAGGATAGAGTTCCCACCGTAGGTTTGCAGCATCTCCGGAAGAAAGTTGAGAGCTTTCTGGCCTCGGTCCCCTCTTGTGGACTCCAAGACAAAGTGCAGATCTAATAGTTATTCCGCTGAGGATCCAAGCCCCACGCGGGTTCACATCGTTCTGCAAGATCTGCGATATTACGATCAGGCCTTGGATTATTTCTATCGTCGGGCTCAAAATCGCTTCAAATGTTCCGAGATGATTTAAAGCGTGTCGCACTGTAGCACGTGTGAGGAAGACCAGCTACTAGCACCCATCGAGTAAATAAATACAACAGCTTACAGTGTTTGTGGAAGAGCTTTGATCTCTGTTCAACAGGCCTGTCCGAAAACTGAGCTCCTGCCGCCAATATGGCATGGAAAAGGCAGAGAAAATGTGTGGTCACTTTCGGGGCTTGACATCCTCCCCCGATAAGGGATGAAACCACAGATTCAATATAGTCAACGTCGTAGAATACCGGCTGGAAAGGGTAGAAGCGAGATTTGAAATGACTAAAAAGCTCCATAATCTCCTGATCTGGGGGGATGGAAGAAAAAGCCAGCTTGACGTCGTCATTTGAAGGAATAGGGCCGTCCTCTGTCACCTGAGACTCCATCCCAAAAAGAGGGAATATCCCAGTTTCAAACGCTTCTTGTCTACCGCTTCGTTCGCCATGTGACACCTCGTTCTGCCCGGCAAGTGTCAGGATAGAGCCGGATCCTAGGAATGACGGCCTCGCGGGTGATGCCTGTCTGTCGCTCTGCTCTTGTGACTCTTGTCTGGCTGTTGGACTGGAGGGTGAGCTCTCAATGTTGTGGATTACGTTGTCCCCGAGATTGTTTTCTTCTCGAAGTTCTCTCTGCTGGGAAGAGCACGGATAGGAACAGAGATCCGAGTGTCCACGTTTGATACAAGTCAAACATGGCTGTTGACGGTTGCAGCGCACTTTTCGCTCCCGGCATGGAAGACATGATTTGCGGCTACGGGCCTCGTATCGATCTCGGAGCGTCTTCCGCAAGCTTAGAGGAGACGTTCTGTTTTCTAGAGTCATCCTAGGGGTTCCATTGAGCCAGTGGAAAAAAACCACAACGCAAGCTGTTCTAACGTAAAATGGTTGATCAGGAAGGCTCTCGAGTCCAATATCGGATGTATCGGGAAATTCACCTCATGGTCTGATTACGGTTAGTTTACTACTTATTTAGGATCTTCATCCCGCTTTTCACATGACCAAAGAGCTCTTTTGGAGATATGATTGGCTGTATCAGAAACGTGTCTCAATCTCGCGCTCTCTTGTGAGCAGCCCGCCCTAAACAAAGCTTTACAGCGGACATTCATGAGCTTCATGCCCACTGGTAAACCCCTATCCCAGGTTCACCTGGAAAATTCTCGCCTCGTACCAAACCAATGAGTATGAAAGAACAATGTTCTAGATGGCCGATTAAAGGGGGGAAAACATATATTTCATCTGAAACTGTCGCTGGCAAAACAAAACTTTTTTATTCCGCTAGTAGCGTCCGGAGAGAGTGTCTTGGGCATGATAAAATCACAAACCGTTGGGCTCGATGGGGAGTCGGAGTTATTGGGCGCCAAGAAGCACGTTGATGACGCCTCGATGGGTTGGGTTGATTCATCATAACTCCCCGTTTAACCCGTAGTGATAGTTGCTACATAGATGCTAGGTATTTGAATACAGGTGCACACATATCTAACTCAGTATTCCCTGACCAGATCGAGCAACAGCCATCTCGTACGTTGTGTCTTGGTAGGGCAGAAAATGTCTCCAACACAGGATGGCGATCGGCAATTTCGGCACCAGAGGAAGAGCAAGGGTCCAGCCCAAAGGCGGACATGCGTACATGCAGCTTGGCTGCGGACCGTTGTGTCCCCACCTCCAGCCAGAGCTGAAAGTATGCCTTGCGGAACAGAGGTTGGTTCATTGGGGCCAAGTATTGGCCTCCGGAAGTCTAGACTCAGCTGCTCCCTCCGCGGGCCACCTGACAGCAGGAGGGAGCGCCTCGCCGCAGGCCTGAGAAGAGGGGCCGAAGCCATCTCCATTCCGAATAAAGACGAGGCGGCTGCTGTGATTTAACCTTAACATCTTCGCCTACTAAGTTAGATCCCACAGCTGAAGAACGCCACCGCCTCCTGCGTCATCGGCGACGACCCATAGAGCCTCCTTCTGGCGTGGGCGTGAGAGTACAGACGATATCCGATGCAGTCCAGGCCTCCTCTGCCACCTCGCGGGCAGCCTCCACAAGAGGAAGAGTACGCACCGCCAAGCGGCCCTCCCCCTGGCTTCCACCAGCGACAGCAGCAAAACAGATCCTCAACTGCCGGCGCTCCGCCTGGCTTCCCTGCTGTCCCCAATGAGCCTCCCCCGGCGCCATCGGCCTGGAATGAGCATTTCTTCTACTCCAACGGCCGGCCGACGCCGGTCTTCCAAGCCATGATGAAGGAGTTCTTCAAGAGGCTTGATCCCAGAGGCACGGGGTACATTGCGCCAGAAGTATTCTCAAAGTTTATGGAGATTAATCACTTTGCTCCAGACGACGATGTTTGTACGTTCATTCATTCATTCATCCGCCTATCTTCAGCCACGGCATCCCCGCTTTGCTCCAATGTGCTACAATCCCGCATCTCATACTAACTCATGGCCACTTTCAGGGAGGCGGAACCATCATGGGAACCTGATGTTCGCGGCAGACGACATGGCCGACTACGAACTAAAAGCCGCCTGGGAGGCTTGGCACTTCGACCACAAAGTAGTTGTCCGAAACGCCCGGGCCAAGCAGCTTCCGTACGGCGGAATGCCCATGCTGAGCCTGAACGGCTTCATCGACGTCATGGCCGTCGAGATCGCGGCAGAACCCGACGATCGCATCGGCGGGCTCAACAACGCCCTGCGGCACTACGGCGTCTGGACCGAGAGGGGGCCCGTACCTCGCCATGTGCTCCCTTCTGTTCGCGCGCCAGAGCTCCAGCGGCGTGTTGATGCGGCTGTGGCGCGGTCTCACCAAGCAGCAAGGGAGAGGCTGGATGCCACGGAAGCGCAGGCGAGGATTGAGGCGCGGGGCCGGCAGGCTGCTCTGGATCTGATCAGCGATTACCGGTATCGTTATTATTAGTGTACCGGAGTCGAGGGATTCTGAAAATGCGGATTGTTTAGGAGAGGGAGATGGTGGGGGAATATGGTTGCTTGCGTCAGTCTCGTTTTCGTTTCCATTACCCCAAGAGCAGTCAATTGGTTTGGATGCTTTGAGTGTTTGTTTGTCTTCGCATTTTTACACAGCGCCGCACAAGTCTCAGTTAATTTGCCTTGCAACATAATGTTTAGTTGGGATCCATGTGTGAGCTCTATCTGCTGATCGAAAGTACCAAGGGTGCCTCAGTAACGGTTCCTATACCCCGAAGTACAAAGGTGAAGACAGTCATTCCCAGAAAGCAAGTTTGACACGGACATCTAATGCAGCAGTTTCAACGAGCCCATCCGAAGATATCAATGTTAATGTTCCTCGGACCAACTCTCATGCCGTCTTAGTCTCCTTAATGTAGGCGGCAATATTGGGCCTGGCTTCGATAGCCTCCACCAAGTTGACAAGAGACTGGGGAAGGTTCGCCTGGTTCTCGCAGATTAGCAAATGGCCTACCGGAGGCTGATCGGACAATTGGTCACTTACAGGAGCTCCAACGCGCTTATCGTTGTCAATAGACTGATAAATAGCAAAGTCGACATAGGTAATCTTGTCCCCAAGCAGGTACGGGCCTTCGGTATCGGCATAGTACTGTGCGATGAGATCGACGTACTTGGGGCGACTGGCCTTGTACTCATCGGATGGCTTAGGGAGGCAGGCAACCCACTCATACTATTGATCATATTAGCTTCAGTGGATTCCCGAATAGAACAATTCTAGGAATTATGTACTTACCCTCCAATCAACGTATAAGTCGGCGACGGAATCGACAGTGAATTTCTCAACAGAGGTCGCTCCGTCGTAGCTGCCAAGCTCCCTGGCGAGGTAACGCAGAACAGGGACGTGCTAGAACGAGTCCCGTTAGCAACTATCAATGAATTTCGACATAATTCGGGATGCACTAACTTGGCTCAGCTTCAGCCCCTTGTATTCGAGAACTGGAAGCTTGCCGGTCCTGGTCAAGCCTCGCTGAACAAGCTCCTCGCTTTTCTTTGGCCAAGTATCGTCCCAAGGGTAACGGACATCCTTGACCTCAATGCCAGCATCTTTGAGGAACAAACTGTTCAGGTCGAAGACCTCGTCAGCAGGTTATCCAATACTATTTCAAAGTCGTACAGGATCGCTTACAAGAGAACTTCTCCACGGCCGAGTCGACCAAGGTCCAGGTAGTGGTAAACTGGGAGGGAGGTGCTGGAAGAAGACATCTTGATTCTTGAAAACTGGAGTCTAGGAATAAAACTGATAGAAGTGTTCGATGGCAGTGTTGGGGACTTTGATTGTGATGTTGTTTGGTCACTTTCTGTCCATCTGGCTCCGTTCGACGCCTTCTTATATCCACCTCGCAAAGGCGTTATTGACATTTGATGGCGGCAACGCTGATATCCAATCCATTACAAATCGCCCGTCTGACAAATAAGCATGCATTTCCCGAGCATAGTGTGATTTTGATGTCAGACACGATGGCCTGGACACGCCAACGAGGTGATTAGCCAAAGATGACGAACTCCAGGTTACACTAGGCCCCCAGATCTGCACTATGGCGGTCATACAGATACCCGTATTGCCTACGGATACCCGTGGTCAATTTATTCCTGTTCCCCGCCAACGCCGCAAGTCGCCGCAACCACCGCATCCAGTAATTCGGTTGACCGCTTGCCTCTAGCCCGGTGGAAGGGAGCAATTGAGGCAGGGCATGGTGTGATAGAAACACTAACCAGTCCGCTAAGAAATAGCATTTGGTAGATCATTCAGTGGTGGTAATAGGACACCGTGTCCTGCCAGTTTTTGTCCTTCCTTGATTGGACCACCTTGCACTGACATGTTGTAATTCGGTTGGTTTATGGTTGGTTCAGCCACTCAGGCGATATCCGGGGGTTGCGAGAGCCTAACATGCAGAGGTGAGAAGTTATAAATTGGCGTCCCGGAACATACGAGGAGGCCCGCGTTTCAAGCACCTCCCATGTCACAGGTGGATTGCCAAATGCGATGCTGGAAAGTTTAAGGAGATTTTCAGGCGTTGATAATTAATCCCCTGCCTCTTGCCGCATGATTGAAATCGAAGCCTGTGTTGCAGAACTGACAGTGTGTTGAACCTGCTGGCCATCCAGCAGCCCTACTTTCCTCGTATCTCACCTTCAATTTTGACATACTCTATCGTATGATTGAGAATATTATTTAATAATTTGAAGTTACGAGCTTCCCGTCTGACACCTAGGGCGTGAGCTACCGAGCTGCATCCCTGCCGGCTATGAATGACAGTCGCCTGTGCCAAATTCAGTCTTGGATGATCTAGCCAAAATTAAGCGTTAATTTAATCATGTCCCAGTGGACCAGGACGGAGATCATTCTGTTGACCAGACTATTGAGGCGGTAAAAACTAATAACAACGCGTTTCAGAGTCTCTGCTTGACACATTGACTGAAGGCCACTAATGCAGCTGCTCCCTGTGTGCCGGCGCACAGCTACGGGGACATTTCATTTCTCCGGTTCGTATATGGCTCTTTTTAAGCTTGATGAAACACATTGAAACTACACCACTTGAAACGACACCACTGATGGCGACATGATCTGCCAAAACCACGAAGCACCATGTTTAACAACGAATGATGCCCTCATCATCGATATCTACCTAATCCAACGGACAAATATGAGGATTTTACATATTTGGTCCTTACAAGCTCAGACACTGTGTTTGGCTTGAGTCAGTCGCCTTGGAGGGACTACCCCCGGCGAGGTGTTTGAAACGTCGATTACGTTACCGATATCGTATTCCAGACTCTTCGGGTCCCCAAAGTACCGAAGCTAACATGATCCAGGATACCGTCGCATGAGCCAGGGGCCTAGAAGATGCAATGCGGGGAACTTCGAAGTGAATCTCAGACAAGCAGATGCTCTCTGCGAAACGAAAGTCATAAGATAAATACGGAATGGGAAATGCAACACTAGGTCTCATTCCGCTCTCTCAACTGGTCCATGGCCACACTTATGCCACGAATCTTTGCTTCGCGTCCATGTTGTGGCTGTTTCACTGTTGCTTTACGGCGGTTGCATTCCCGTTCCGAGAAATTTTCCATCCACATATCGGTATTTCCAATGTAGCCCACCGATTTCGAAAGGTCGCATCGGACCTTTTGGCCCTGTTCGATCCCCCAGACCAAAGAATGGAGTCTTCCCAATTGGGAGACGGACTACCACACCTCCGTGTCTTTTTTCCGTTGGCCTTGCCGTTGATCTTTTCGATGTCTCTTTATATAAAGACGAGTGTCTCAAATACGTGACTTTTACAGTTGGTTATGACAGCATTGCAAATTGGAAACAATCTGACTCATTATGAAGGCCTCAATCTACCTCCTCCCTGGCATCATCGCGGGCGTCCTAGCCGCTAGCCGAACAAGTCCACCATCAGGATGCGTTCATGTTGCCAAATCCGGTGGCTCGTATAGTACATTGCAGGCTGCAGTGAACTCGCTCTCGACTACTGCCTCTGGAACCCAGTGCATCTTTGTTGATCAAGGCACCTACACCGAGCAGGTGTATATTCCATCACGTCAAGCTCAGTTGACCGTCTACGGGTACACGACAGACACGACATCGTACTCATCGAACAAGGCGATTATTACATACAACAATAATGCCGGCAGTGCAGGAAACAACGATGCAAGTGCGACGGTCCGCGTACATGCAGAGAACACTAAGCTATACAACCTCAATCTCGTGAACTCTTGTATGTGGTTTTTCCTTCTGATTTCCCCTTCTGATCCGTTGATTCTATCCACTACTTTTCTTCACATCAATCCAATTTCGTCACTAATTGATGGCGCCTTCAGACGGGAAGGGAAGCCAGGCTCTTGCGCTCAGTGCCCAGGCATCATCTGGCTACTATGGATGCCAATTCTACGGCTTCCAGGATACCGTACTGGCTAACAAGGGACTGGAAATTTTCAACCGCTGCCTCATCACCGGAGCCACAGACTTCATCTTCGGGCAGCAAGCGCAGGCATGGTTCGAGTCATGCGACATCAAGGTCCGAAATGGGGGCTACTACATCACAGGTAATCACCCGACTTCCCATATTCCTCCTCTACCGTTGAAACTTTTCTCACACAATCCCAACTAGCAAACGGACGTGACTCGAGCTCCAACCCTTCATACTACGTGATCAACGGCGGCACCGTGGCGGCAGCATCGGGCGAATCCGTCACCAGCGGCAGCTACTATCTGGGCCGACCCTGGCGCGACTATTCTCGCGTGGTTTTCCAGAACGTCAACCTGTCCAATGTCATCAACTCTGCCGGGTGGAAGATATGGAGCGATGGGCAGTCCACTTCAAACATTTACTACGCCGAGTATGGGAACTCGGGCTCCGGTGCGAGCGGCACGCGTGTGAGCTGGTCGAAGAAGCTCAGTTCGGCCGTGAGTATGTCGACTGCGCTTGGAAGCAGCTATTCAAGTGGACTGTGGTATGATGGCTCTTATCCAAACTGAGTGAGGGAATGTAGCTTCGGAGAATCACATGTTACAGTAACTCCGTGCGTAGGAGGTTAAGGTACTCATTAAATCCCGTTGTGTGGCGTAAAGCCTATGAATTTGACATGTGCCACTATATTAAATAAAATGGGCAAATACGTAGTTTAAATGAGCATAATAACAATTTGTTCTTTGCATTTCTCGTCACACAAGACGACACGTCGAGATTGTGATGGAGGGTATAGGGTAGGCAATATGGCGGAGGCGCAGGTAGCAATGTTTGTGGGGAATTGTGGCTGGTCAGTGGCTAGTGAGCAGCTCTCATTGGAGCTCTTTCCTGCCTCTGCGTAAAATGGCCCCGCGCGTCTTTCTCTTGCACTCACTTCACACGCGGATGATCCCACAACACTCATCCAGCTCCAGGCTGCTGAATGCCACCACCCTGGCTCGTATGCCTCTGCCCCTGTCAGCTCGCAGACGCCAGCCATGGACCACCTCCCACAAGAAATCTGCGACGAGATTGTGTCCATTTTGGCAGCCGAGCCGACGGCGCAGCTCGCCAGCTATGCCGCCATCTCGCGGCCATGGCAGATGGCTGTTGAGAAACACACCTGTCGCTACTTCATCCTCTCCAGTGACCAGGTAGATGAGTTCAATTCCTTCTTCGCCACGCGCCATCGCCGCCGCTTTATACGCACGCTCTACTTCAAGGTCCGACTGCCCACCTATGATTACCTGCAGCTGCGGCGTCGCTACGAGAGCGAGCACGACCGTCGCGCCCATGACCAGATATTCACCGCCGCCATTCATCATCTCTTCAAATCGCTGAGCTCCTGGGACCCGGCGGTCGATTCCTCGCTCAACCTGAAAATCACTGAATTAATGTCGCCTTCGGACAACGAGCTCCCGGAGTACTCTGGGATGGATCAGGATGATATTTCCGAATCCTTCTTCGAGAACGACTTGGGTGACCAGCGCTACCTTTATTCATATATCCAACTCCTGGAATCCGACGATCTGCCACTGGTTCCTGTTGTTGAAAGCCTCCTGGTCACCCAGTTTCGCCGGAAGGTTGCCCACTGCGTCCCCCTTCAGCTGGCTGCCAAGCTCCCTAAACTGCGAGAGGCCACCCTCCTTGTGGATGACATGGAAGACCGGTATCCTCTGCTACGTGCCGAGAATCGGGAGGCCATGACAAGTTGGGTCCAGCAGACCATCCCGAATGCGACTGAGCTTCGTGAGTTGAGCCTCTTACTTAACCGAGAGGAGGATTCCTTTGCAGCAAGGCTGCCTAACGGAATGGCCGATCACTTGTGCAGTTCAATCCGAGAATCGACTGCACAACTCCCCCACCTCAAGGCACTGGCTGTGAGTGGCACAATCGACAAGTCACTCTTTTGGCCCGACCTTGGCCGTTCCTTGGTTGCTCCCTTCTGGCAAAATCTGCAAACTCTCGCGGTCAGCTTTTGCGCCTCCAAGCCCTCGAATGGTTGGTATTTCAACGGGCTGAGAACAAGCCCTGAAGTCTTGGACGGCACTCTGGAATTAATTACCGCGTCCAGCGCGATGCCCCCTGGATATGCCGATGATGGCGAGCCCCCACCAGAAGAGGTGGAGGAGGTTGATTTCGACCGGTTTATGGAGTATGCAATGCCTCATTGCGAAGACACACCGACGCCGGATGATAATCTGGTCGAGCCATTGTTGCAGTCGTTTGGGAAGGCGTGCCTGCAGATGCCCAATCTCAGAAAGGCTCATTTGGTGACATCAATCGTCGTCAAGGATCGCCCCCCAGAGGTCTACAGCCCCTGCCAAGCAGACTGGGGCGTGTGGTATATTGCTCCTCATCAAGCGCTGGCCCAGACATCCAGAGCCGTCACCAGTCTTACGCGGGGAACGTCAGTACATCGAAGACTGATCTGGGATGTCGGTGATTGGAGGCCCAGCGAGCCTCTGAGATCTCTGTTCAACAGGATCGGCCTGGAGAAACATGGCGGCATGGTGCTTGAGAGGTTCGTTGATACCTGGAACACTATTCTCAAACCTCGATTGATTGAAGCGGCCCGCCGCGAGGCGGCCGACTATCTCGGGAGGAATTTTCTCGACGACGAGTACATGGAGTTCATGTACGACCAACACTGGGATCCTGAAAATCCATATTTTATGGACGTTCTTGACGAGGAAATGTATCTCTATGATGTTGATACAATGTCTGAATGGGATGGAGATGAATTTATGACTAATGACCCTGATGTATTCTGGGATAACCTTATGGAGGACAACGGTGAACCTTCTTCCCCTCATGAATAGGGAGCCTGGTGCAAGAGAATGATCAAAGCAAAGGAATTTCATACGGCTGCTAGGAAGCCATTTGTAAGAGTTACGATGGCCCATACGGTCTTTTTAATGCTGGTGGTGGTTTACGCACGGATATTCTTGTCATAACTTGGAATTGGTGGTGTATGTAACGCCTAAGTATGTGCACTTTCTTTTTGATTTGATTCTTTTACTCTCCAATCACGGCATCAATTCCCATCTGTCTTTGAAAGCCATCGCATCCTCGGTTTCTAGACCCGCCTCACGCTTACAATACGCCAGTGACTAGACTGCTTATGTAGACTCTTTACCGGAACATCCTCTACTTCGGCGAGCTACCTTTGGCCCTGGGTGAGCTTAGGATGCTCTCCCTGACATACCAGCCAAGCACATACGTGGCACCTGGGCCCACGGCCAATGTGACAAGTGGGAGCAGGGCTGCATAAACAAGCCAGACGGTGCCCACGAGACCCGCCAGATAGAGGTCGGCAAATGCGTAAATCAGCCACAGGAAGGTGCTGGCATATGCCGCTACCTCGTCGGCCTGGAGGGCCTTTCTGCTGTGCAGGATGAGCCCGTCCTGCGGTCCGATCTCGGGGAAGAAGAGTGTGGGTATGCTGTGAGGGGAAAATGTAACTGTGTAGATCCAGACGGTGGCGGAGACAAGGGCCAGAACCCCCAGCATAAGCTTGGATGCCGCTGATGGCGAGAATGGCACCCTGAGAAGCCTGATGGCCTGGCCCAGTACGATGTTGGCGAGGCCGATCCACAGGGGGGTGAGTTGCCATGCCCAGGTCCAGTAGTGACGTGCATCGTAGCTCTGGGCGAAGAACATGCCGAATATCTCAGCGGTGTGGAGAGCGAGGACGATTGGGATGAGAAGCAAGTTGCTCTGGCGCCAGACGGTCCGGCGCTGAGGCGGGCTGGCGGCCAGGCTCGACGCCGACGGCCCGAAGATGATGCATAGGAAGTAGAAGATGGGCGCTACGCATCCTATGCCAAGTACTTGGGCGGCGACGGAGAAGAGTGTTGGACTGTGTGAACGAAATTAGTTGACCTTTTGACCGTTTCGCCTTTCCAAGTGAGCAACGTACATGTATGCAGGCGACCATTTGTTGGCTCCTCGAGTAGATTCGAGGATCCAGATGGCATATATCGGGCCTAGATCGATGAGGAACGTAAAGACTTGCCAGGCGGCAATGCTGTCGTAGCCAAAGGAGGAGACGGAAAACGTCGCGGTGCCTCCTCGCCACAGGTCATCGAGGAAGGCAACGCCGTGGAAGTCAATGATGTTGACCTTACCCCCATCCCACTCGATGGTCCTGGCAAGGGCAGAGGGCGTCGCTGTTGTGGCTATTTTGTCGAGGTCCATGGCCTGGAAGCTCCATGCAGCTATTAGGAGGAACGGTATCGCTCCCGCGGCACGCCATATTTTGGAAAGCATGATGGTACACCGCCTGGGACTATGTTGATGGTGAGTCGAGCAAGATAGAGGCTACGGGAGGACAACAAAGGGGGTTCTCGAGTGGTTCAGACACGGACACAAAGAATTCGAGAAATATCAGGGCGCTGGCTGCTGGGCGGGTTTGATATAATCACCGTTGTGACTACGTAATTTATGTCCATCTGCCGCGTCGGGACAAAAAACAATATCCGAACTGCCCGTATTATCCACATTATCTCTAGCTGGCGGGGAAACTGGACTAGGAAACGAGTTTAGAACAAGCCCCTGTGGAGGTCTCATATCATCTCATGGGCCGTGAACAAACTCACCAACGCGTGCGGACCAAATTCACGTCTTTCTGAGCCCTCATTTTGTAAGACCTTCTGGATCAGGGTTAGAACAGGCCTGAAAACATGGCCTTAAGCAGTGCTGACTCATCTGGTGATCATCAAACCCTTCAATTCGCCAAACATACCAGTCTCCTTCGTCACTCCGCATCCCGCACGCAACGCGACAAACAGAAGAAGAAGAGGTCTCTGAATTACCATCCAAAATGCTTCGCTGGGGTGTCCTCGGCACGAGCTTCATCTCGAACACGGTGGTGTCCGCCATCAACGCCAGCTCCGACTCTCAAGTGATCGCCGTCTTTGGGCGAAACGCGGAGCGACTGGCCTCTTTTGCGGAGAAACACGCCATCAAGCATCAATTCCAGAGCATCGAGGAGCTCGTGGCGCACCCCGACGTGGATGTCATCTACGTCGGACTCCCCAGCCACCTCCATGCTGAGGCGTCCATCGCCGCAGCCAAGGCGGGCAAGCCCATCCTCTCTGAGAAGTCCCTGACCACCACCATGAAGGATGCCCACGCTCTCATCGCCGAGGTCAAGCAGCAGAATGTTTTCTTCCTCGAGGGTCTCATGTATCTGAGCCACCCGGTCATGGCCAAGTTCGCCGACATCATCCGCTCCGGCGCTCTGGGCGAGATCCGCGGCGTCTCGGGCTACTACGCCGCCAACATCTGGAAGAAGGCCAACCCTTTGGGCATGGGCACTATATACAACCTCGGGTGCTACCCTGTCTCTCTGCTTCACTGGGTCATCCAAGTCGCCTCCGGCAAGGAGGCATTCAAGCAGCGCAAGGTCACTGGTCTGGGCAATCTCGCCGAGGATGGCTCCCACGTTCGCGACGCCTCGCTGAATGTGCGTTTTGGAAACGGGGTGCTCGCCACGCTCCAGTCGTCGGACAGCTTCGGAAACGATTCTGCGTTTGCGGTGCAGGGAGACAAGGCGGTGCTTCGATTCCGCACGAACCCGTGGCTTCCACCGGCTGGGAAGAGCGTCATGGAGCTCAAACCCTACAAGGCAGAAGTCGAGGAGATTGTGGTGGAGTCGCCGTTAGATGCCTTTGGGTGGCAGGTCAAGAATGTCGAGTCCTGCATTGCGAGGGGAGACAAGCAGGCCGCAAGGCCGTCTCCTACCTGGGAGGACTCGCTTGAGATCATGGAGTTGCTTACTGAGTGGGAGGCGTCCATCTTTGCGAATGCTAGTAGCGAAAAGAAATGAGCAGGAAAGCACATGGAACACAATAAAAGTGAATTCATTCCGAGCTAATCTGCGTACAAACTACCGTGCCGTATACCCCCCGTCCAGTCTCATGTCTGCCCCGTTGATATTCTTTGACGCATCCTGGCACAAGAATGATATGATATGCGCCACCTCTTCTGGCTCCGCGAACTGCCCTGTCGGAACATTCTTTTGGTATCTGGGAAATGTTGTCAGCGCCGTCTCTGCCACGCGAGAGAATGACAGGGTTACTCACTCCGCTCGAACATTGTCGTCCGCCCATGCCTTCTTGCCCAGAGCGGTCCAGACGGGGCCTGGACTGACCGTGTTGGAGGTGATGCCGTGCTTGGCCCATTCATTTGCCTGGCATTTTGTCAAGCCCTGGAGCCCGGCCTTGGAAGCGCAGTAAGCACCGTGGTAGTCCAGCGCTACATGGGCAGCCTGGCTGCTAATGTTGACGATTCTCCCACCAGGGCCGTCTGGTTTCGCGGCCTTTGCCTTGATGTACAGCCGAGCGAATGCCTGGCCGGTCAGAGTAGGGCCATACAAGTTGATCATGTAATGGCGCATGATATCCTCCGGGGTGGTCTCCTCGAGAGGACTCAGGTTGACATAGCCGGCACTGTTGACCAGAAAGCTGGGGAAGGCGGCGTTGTCCGCAGCGATGGCGTCAAACGCTTCCTGGACAGACTGGGCGCTCGTAATGTCACAGACATACGTCTTAATATCTGGGTGGTCTTTGGAGCCATATACCTCTTCTAGAGTCTCAGCAACCTTGTCTGCCTCAAATGGAGCATAGAGAAGGGCTAGCTTTGCGCCTTGTTCGCGAAAAAGCTTGCCCACAGAGCTGCCGATGCCGCCTGTCTGGTTAGCTGGAACCTCTCGTTGGTGGTTAGGTGGAATCTGGACATACCTATGCCGCCGGCAATGATAACCAATCGGGAAGAGAAAGCCATGATTTAGATTCAATTATAGATGTTGGGCTAGATGGAAAGACCAACAAGAGGGATTTTCGTCCGGTCTGGTCTCGGTCTTCAAAGGATGCGTCCCTCACTTAAGTTGGGGGAGAGCGGGGCTGCGGGGTGATATTTTCCTTGATGCCTCATCGTGATCTGACAGTTGGCGGGATGTCCCAATTTGGAGACCCGAATCAAGAGGCCAAGATGGGGCAGTTCCACATGCGAAAACAGAGTTTCCCTGTTTCCCACAGTTTTGTGAGGCTATTTAGAAGCCTGATTCTTATGATAGAAATGTCCGGGAATGCTTAGTCTACGCTATGAACCACGTTTACTAGTTACCATTAATTTCGGATGAGTATGGTGAGTATGAATTTGAGCTAGGATACTCTTTTGTGGTTATAGACAATCTGACTTATGTATATACAGGAAAGAGAAAATATTCACTTCCAAACCGGCTCTCCGCACATGGCACTCTCTTCACTTAAAGGAAAGAGGGGTTGGCGTTCTCGAGAAGCTGCACAAAGTACGCCTGGAACCAAGTTCCAGCCTCGGGCGCAGGCTTCAACGCATCCGCATTGCCGCAGTTGTGATCGTAGCGCTCTGCGCTCGTGTCACTGGTGCCGTCAGCCTCGCCGCCAGGCTTGATCCATACAAAGGCATCGACGAGAGAATCTCCGGTGTTGGTGCTTGGTCTTTGCCCGAAGCCTGTGCCGATGGCGTTGCACCAGTGTCCCCATTCGAGCTGGCCGGTTGGCTGCTTTCCGGAGCGGCCCTGGTCGACGATGAACTTGACGCCGGACCAGCCGGCTGATTGAAGCTTAGGCCCGATGGCGTTGATGTACTTCTTCTCGTCATAGTTCTCGTTGGGGGTGGTGTACGAAGGGGCGCTGGACAGGCTCCACGCGTTGTAGTTGGAGACGTTGGTAGCGAGTCCGCGGAGAGACTTGGGAGATCCGGCGTCCTTGTAGACCTTGGCAAACAGGTCGACTGTTCCGGCCTGGTTGGCTGGCCATCCCAACCATCCTGCGTGACCGGCATCAAGATACATGGCCACATTGTCAAGGTTCAATTGTGTGACTGCGTAGTTGGTGCTTCGGAGATAGACCTCCTGGGCATTTGCGCATTTCGCGACACCCAGGTTGGTGACGAGGTTTGCCAAAGAATCAGGCTCTGGAAGATGTCAGAAATCGTTATACTTTCATTTCATTTTGTAGAGTGTGTGAGAGCTTACCGATCACGAGGATGGTGCGGATGTCCGAGTATTCGACAAAAAGCTCTCGGATCTTGTCAATGTACCCCTTGTACTTCTCCTCGCCGCCGTCGTCGATTGCATACTCGCCGTTGGACGCAGCAGCAGCACAATCACGGTCAGGAAGGTCATATACGACAAATTGTCCCGCGTAATTGCCTCCAGCCGCATTGGCCGCTCTGATGTCTGCCAGACTCTCCGCGATCGAATCGATCTTGGCGTAGGTGTCACTAAGAAAAGGAAATTGTGTCAGTAAACAACCATGGACAACAAGAAAGCAATACGGCTGGACTTACATCCACTGGAACGTTGGCACCTCCGCGACCTTGGCCGCAGCTGTAGCCAAGGCCCCGGAAAGCTGAGGCACGGCCAGGCTGTGGATTTCCGAAGCATAGTATTCATTGGCCCACAGATCGACGCCTTCAAACGGGTTGCCCTCGAACGTGGCTGTGACATCAGGGGCCGCTGTTGGTTCTGGGGCCGGGGCGCAGAGGCCAGCGGCGAAAAGGGCAGAAGCCGAGAAGATAGCGCGGAGAGACATGGTGTGCTTTGATTCTATGTGCGGATCTCTTGGTGCTGTTGTTCGAAATCCATTTCCTGGCCTGGTGATGGCAAGTTTATATATACTTTTTTGCTGCACGAGAATGAGGCCAGAAGCTCGAAAGGAGCTCGGAAGGTCGTGTAAGTCTGCCTCCAAGTCTTCGGAGAGGCCTCGAACATTCCCGGGTCGTTTGGCAATTGATCGACACGGTGACAGTGTATTCATGCAAACTGCGCTTGCCAAGGTCTCACTTGAACAGTTGATGTGGGCTTGTGTTTCGAATTTATGGAGATTGGCAGGCCTACATTTCGGAGGCTACGTTCCATGAAGGCCCTGTAGGGAAACAACTTGGTTGATCAGCGCCAGGAATTCACTGTCGTCCAGGTCGGCAGGAAGGGCCATGCGTCCGGCAGAAATCATGCTCAATTATTCGCTATGGCGTCATGCTCGAGCCTACAGTGGCGCGATCACTCACGATCTTGAGGGGAGGAGGTTGCCCGGGGCTGAATGCATCCCTTCCGCATCCGCCACCCAATGGAAGGATAAGCTTATACTGATTGTTACAGTGCCATCAAACTCCGTCCGGGCATGAGCCCCTGAGACTATTGACCCGATACATTGAATTTGTCGCCATGAAGGCAGGGCGATACTCGTAGATTTAGAGGGAATTTATTTAGTTAGTTTGAGCAGACAGCAGTTTTATGAAAGAGCATCCGTAAACGGGCGCAACTCTGCTTCGCTCGAAGACTCTATACTTAACGGCCACGCTCATATGCGTAAAGGAACTCACTCGACTTTCAATACTAGCCATGCTACACCATCAAGACCATTCATCTTCCCCTGGTCCTAGTAACTCAGGGATTCAGCACTCCACGTGTGGGGGATGCGCAACCACCATCAGCCGAAGTATCCATCGGAACGATCGGGCCGCTATATCTGGCTCTCCGAATTTCCCGTTTAGTATCAACATCAGTGAGTCCTATTGCCGTCTTTATAAGATTGGGTTCGTCGATGACGCTATTTGTGATATTTGTTCCAGCCGTGCTGCCAATTTGGTCTGGGCTTTCCTCGTCTTGGATGAAGAAGGCTAAGGCGTGATCAATCACACACACGATGAGATGTTCTCCACTTTCCGAATTCATGTCAGAGTAGCTGCCAGGTTTTGTCCCAAACTCTCGCGGGTAGGGCTCCATCAAACTTAGACAAATGGTGGGCAAATGATATAGATAATTGAAGCTGTGGAATAAGCGTTATTCGGGTAGGTAGAATAGTGACACCTGGTCTTGCTGTGGAAGTGGGCGAGCATAGCGTGTAGCAACAGAGCGCAGTGAAAATCCACTGTTTGGGGGTTTTTCTTTCGGGCGATGTATTTACAAAGCAGTAACTGGGTACCTTATTAACTGAAATTGTCCAATATCCTAACACTAAACTCCTACCTTGCTATTACTGATAGAACTCAGCGGGATATAATGGTTTGTCTTGCTGCAGTTGCTAGCCTGCCGCGTTAAGTGATTGATTGACTACAGAAAGAACTCACACTACCCTGACTAATAATTACTCCTTCTTGCTAAGAAAAGGAAACTTGTCGTCATCCAAGGCCCCAACAGTCAGCACTCTCTCTCCCACCCCCTTCCCCATGAACCACCCGAAGCGGAAGCGGGCGGATCTAAAATGGTCGTCCAGCTCTTCAAATGATCTATTGTACGGTTTATGAGGCATTGCGGATAGGGCATTAGAGCCATGGACCAATGACTCCATCATCGCAATACTATTGACCCCGCATGGTGCCAGACCCTTGAATTCCATGTCCAGTAACAGTCGCTTTCCAAAGAATTTCCGGAGTGCAGTTGAGATCAGAACCCAAAGATTTACAACGAGTGCCAACCCTATTATAATTATTAGGGCGATGGTAACAGCACGATTTTGGAATAGTCGATACAGCTGATTATCTCGCACTTTGGCGTTGACCATGGCTTGAGTTGCAGGGTCAATCGCATCTGAGCGAACCAGCTGACTTGCCAACTGGCCCCATGCTATACGATGAAGTGAGTGCAGATTGTCAAGAATTGTATCTTCTTGGTCCGGGTCGCCGAAGGCCTCCATCTTCAAGCTGCCAAAAGGTTCCAAGAATGGTCTGAACATCGAAGTGGTCGTTTTCAACGTTATGTTGCTGTCTCCTGGAAGAGGGAAGGGATCACTTAGACCAATAAGACTTATGGGAGTACTCCATGGGATTCGCTTGGAATCATCCGAAGAAGGTAGATGGTTGTAATCCAGATGCAGACTTCCGTTCGAATGAACGAAATTGACAGTGGTTGGGACTTCCCAATACGAGTAATTGCACCTCCAATAAGAGTGGTGTTCAAGTCGGCGATTTGAAACTGACACATTTGCCCAGAAATAGTCTCTCAGCTTCCAAGGCGGAAGCGGGCGCTTCGTGTACTCGCTTTTAGGATCGCAGGGCATGAGGCCGTAATGGTCATCGTCGGATGGAATACTTGTCGCAACGTATGCAAAGCCATTCTCACTGCTATTCCAGGTCAAACTTCTGGAAAGAGGAACCCTGGTCCCATTTCCGCAAATAATATCTCGAGTAAGTGTTAGATTGGTATTGGGCAGATGCCCTGACTTGGCTGTGAAATTCACATCCACCTTAAATTCCTCGTCGGGGACTCGATGACAGTCTGGGAAGATTTTCGCCGCTCCCATTTCGACACTGAGTGACATATCTTTGTTCCATTTTTGGTCCTGAATATTACTCAACTCAAGACGAGGAAATATCAAATCCTTGTAGGTGCTCTCAGGCCAGGTGAGGTTTGATTTTTCTTTCGACACAATCAAAGCACCCATACTATCCAGGATAGCTGTGTAGTTGTCCATGGCAGAAAGTTCTTGCTGGGTGTGGGTTGTAAATCTATCTCCCACCGGGATTGCTATCTCTGTCGTGGTGTTTCGAGCCAGCTCCGAGGTGAATAGGATCGTTGATAAGGCCGTCAAGAACGCACAAGATATGGCAAGGAGTTGGGGCAGGATGATTGAAATATTCCTCAGTCGAAAGGAGTGATATAGTGCTTGGATGCCAAACATGTCCAAGAAAGACATGTCGATGTCTCGAATGCTGCAGGGCTTTATCGAGAGTTGGAACAGAATACCGAGATCCCGGACCGCCATAGCAGCCGAAGCAGTATACAACGCAACTAAGAACATCGCCAATGCAGGTATTGACTTCCACCAAATAGACAAGGTGCCATTATGTACAGTAGCTATTCCATCGGAAATTTCTGAAATTCGTAGGGTGATTGCGAGGGCGATGATGAGTGCTAGGGCGTAGGCGGAAAACAAAGCACGAAGCCAGGTCTCAAGAGCAAATGGACTGTCCTCAGTACGGGCCCACTCGTCTTTGGTGCTTTGGGCGTCATCAAGTACAAGCGCTGTATTCACTTCCTTTTCTGAAAAGACGGCCATCGATCCTAATATTGTGGTAGGATTCCTGGGCCAAGCTCCAAACGTGCCCCGAGATGTTAGAATCATCCAGGCCGCAATAAGAGTCGACGTGCCGAAAAGTACTGCCATCGCGATACTGATGCTACCTGTCACTTTGAGTCGTGGCGTTTGCCGGATAATTGAACCTGTGATAGTCTGGTTTTGGTTTTGTTTGAAGTGGTAGTGCGCAACAAAAGGGCCAATCGTTTCTGTGAGGTTCGACACGGCTTCCTGGAGAATCTTGCTCTCGTAGAGTGAAGATCCTAGTTGCTGTGGCGTCGTCTTCTTGAAATTAGCTAATGCAACGATAGGTCCATAGGGAGCGGATCGGGTCATGCTGTCCCAGAGTCCCTTTGATACTGGTATAGACTGGGTTAAAAGAGACCAGAAGTGGGTATTGACGGCCGTGCCATCTTGGGTTGGTGACATTTTCAAGGCTGGACTGATACCGTCATCCGTGATGTCTACTCTTGATGACCGAAGACCTACGGAGCAAAGCACAGCGGCGACCTTGTCCAAGCTCTGTATGGGCCTGAAGTTGGAATTACGGGCTGTATTCCAAAACTCTGTAACGTAATAGAACTGTTCGTATTCAGACTCCAGTGAAGAGCATCTTTCGCGGCCTTTAGAGGAATTTGCGACTGTCCATCGGACTATTTGATAATCCACGGGCACCATCGAGACGTTCACTCGTATGTCTGTTTCTGGACAGCCTTCGAATTGCAAGCTGACAGTAGGCACAAAGCCATTCTTAGATTTTCGCTCTTCTTCCGTGATGTTGTTAAATTTGTAGCTTTGCAGTAGGCGGCATTCCGCCTCGGGAAACAGGCCGTCTACTGTGGCCGCCACAGGTGAATTTACACTTCCACGTGCTCCTCCGTTCGCTGCCTGCATGAAAGTCTGATATGCACCTTGCTCGGAAACTCCAAACGGGAAACTCATATTGAAGTCTTGAAGTGCTCGTGCGTGAAAGAATGGAGTCGTTGCAGAGATATTGGCTTGCGAAGGTGACACATCTGAATAAAGCCCTCGGGTAGAGAGTGAAATAGATCGTGACTCGGGGGTTGTTGCTAGGACATTGAATGAATCCAACGTTCTCAAATCAACAGAATGTACGCCTTCAATGTAAGCAAGCTCGAAAACACTAGCTGATAAAATAACTCCAACCTTTATCAAAATCGAGCAAAGGACAGCGAAGAAGACGAAGAAGTGCCTGTTGCTTAATGATTTGACAAGTACCTCGTGAGGTAGCATCGAGGTGTAGTCGACTGTATATTCCTCGCGAGATAAAGTTCGCCTCCTTTGGGGTTGGATAGCTACCCATGGCATAAATCGCATTGCTTGTAGTTCGACACGCGCCCACAGAGCCGCAACAACGGTGAGTACTAAAAGCAGAAAGAAACAGATCAGAAACAACACGATATTGATTGATATGCCAAGACAAGAACATACTCGCAGTTGGCCCAAACCTCCATAACTGACCGAGATCCTGACGAACGATGCCAAGTCCTTGGTTCTCGTGTGAAAAGTGAAGCATCACTGGAAGGGCGATGGCGCAGGCGAGAAAGAAAACGCAGAATGGGCCAAGGAGAGCGCGCCGTAGCCAGAAAGGGCTCCATTTTGCGGTTGTGTGCCTATGTTGTGCCGGATCTCTCCTCGAAATCGCTGGTTCTGAAAACTTTGACAATGTTTTCGCTTCCAGTGTTTGGACACCGGAACCATTGTCACTTTGTTTCGTATGCAGCGGGAGGCAATCATCAGGAGCCTGCTTCTGGGGTTCGGAGGTTGTATCGGCCGAGATGCATTTGATTGGCGTCAGCTCAACAGTCGAGTCTGACTGACCTGAGAGTCCGGGTGATTCGTTCTGGTTTCGCAACTTCTCCCCGCCTATCAACATATTGCGCGACACCATATCAGCAAGTATGATGGCGAATATTGCTCAGATACAAGGAAAAGAGATAGAGCATTGGTTCGAGCAATTCATCGATGTTACCAAAGCGTCTGTAACAAAAGCTTCGCCAGAAAAATGAACCGCAAATACTTTAAACACCAGATAATGATGTTCAAAGCCATAACGCCGTCAGATATTTGGGTAAGGAATACTTAAGAATTATCATCAGTCTCTGCTGAAAACGGAAGTATCTTGCGTACAAGGATTTGTTTCCGACCCCCCAGGTTTCAGCCGTGGTCAGTGATCCTTCGCCACCTTGGCATCCAACAAGATGGGCTGATTGAGACCCTTTTACGTTCAGTAAGGCTGTATAGAGCAGGGGTATTCACTCCCGGGCACGATAATGGATAAAGTGGCGTAATGATGTGGTAAGGGGTGATTTGTTCACTACGTTGTACTCGTTTATTAATTTTGCGTATGACTTTTTATACATGCTGCATGGTCTGATTTGATGGGTACGGGAGAGTGAACATGCTAATAATAATAATAACATGCAATAAATGCCTTTTTTTTAAAGTTAGACTTGAAATAAGCGTTTGACGACAGGTATGCCCATGAAACAGGGAGTTTTAAGTCCCGAACCATATCTATTGAAAGTCGTAACCAGTGCAAGGGACAAACATTCTTAAAATTTCTGGTTTCATTCATAAAAGGTAACTTGTTTTCATATGAAGGTCAGGATTAATTGCATTGCTCCAATTTGATCCAGTTAGGTTATGTGGCTGCAATGCCGAAGATGAGTTGAGATTAGAAGCAGCGTCTGTTCCTAAAGCGCAATGGAAAAAAGGCACTGGTCACATATTTTCGTACATAATCGCCATGAAGAGCAATACCGCATAGCAGAAGACGGTAGTATGACTACGCTCCCCCTTTCTCAGGGGCAGTATACTTATACGATACGCCTTGGGTTCACAACCCAGCTATCTACAACATTGCATTCTGCAGCCGACCCATTGTGATATATCACGTTACGTATTTTTCAATGATGAGTAACGTGTATAGATCAATTTCTGCGGCGAGAATACTTGGGTCCCTTAGAGGGACGGTCGTTCTTTTGGTTTTGCTTCTGATTGATAGCGCACCAGCCAACGGGAACTTCCGCAAACTTCCGCACGACGACCCGATCAGCACAGCTTACCACGTATTTATAGACGTGCAAGATATGCCCGTTATTGTCAATTACTAAAGTCCTATTTGCAACGAGCGGCTTGGAGATGTCTACTAGTACGATATGAACTCACCTCACCTTGTACACACGATATCTGACTCATGTCAGGATCCAGGCTTAAGAAATCAATTATCCAACGACCTGAAAATGTTGAGAAAACGATTCACTATCACGACAATCTTTCATATACCACGTGTAGAATGGGCTCACATAACCGGATAACATCAAATGTTTACTACGCGACGAGCTAATGGCGGCGCTGAAACGTCACATTTATGTCCACTCTAACCTAGAAGGCTCAGTTGACCAGGTAGAATCGGCTCAGTTGTCTGCACCCTCCTTAAATATCTCTTGTAATACATGAACGTCGATGATTTTGTGATACGTCATAGTAGAACGGGACTGTCCACTATTATAGAGGGTGTTAGCAATGATGCCTCAGATGCGATAGAGGCTGAAGCGAAACGCCCGATACAAAGGCAGATCCCATGCCCATGGATCATACGCCAAATGGAGGGTTTTGGACGAGAATGGTAGGCAGAAAGCATGAAATGTTGAACACCAATGACCAACATTAGATGTAACAATTCAGAGCTAGAAACTGTCAAAACAGGGGAAGATGGGGCAGAACAAAGTGATGCTGCGAAAGTTGAAGCGGGCAAACAGGCAAAGTAGAGACTGAGAACTGAGAAATTTCTCTCATATAAGGAAGAGGATTGAATCGCACACCATAGCGGTAAGAAAGAGGCTGCAAAGTCAACCCGCCACTGATTCCAGTCCTCGACAAATGTTATATGTATGTGCAATCTCTTGATTTCTCTACACAAAAAGCCAGATCGACTCTGCATACTATGAACCAATTCATATCGATCAAGATAAGACTGCGGGACGTAAGAATCGCTCTCAATCACACAGCTTACATTCTCGCCATAGCTCTTCTTCTCTCCCCACATAGGACAACAGTTTCGGCCAGGCATACCAGTAACCGACGAGGATTCACGCCAAGAGGGTCCCAAACCTGCGCAGTTCATCGTAACACCTTTTCACTCTTCTCTTGCCACTGCCTCTCCTACACACGGCACAAATGCGAAGAATACCTACAGCAACGGCATGGGTGAACACCAAACATCAACAGAAAGCACAAATATGAGTTTTTTCCACTCCGTATCTCGTTCTAATTCAAGTGAAGTATTACTATTACTACGATTCCACAAGATTATTACACTTTTGACGCGTCGATGGTGTATCCCAAGAGATGATACGTACTGAGTCCTTGGATATGGACTCATAAACCACTTGCATCGCCATCATGAAAGAGCAGCACAACATAGAAAACTACGATGAAGAGGGTCTACGTTCCGCTGCCTTTTACCTCGAGGTTTCCAATGATATCCGGCGTTTGCTTACGACTTTCTCCGTATCTTCCATTAATCTAGACTACCAGTTCTTCAAGAGGTCTTCCCCTCTAAACCCTGGTCTGAGTCAAATTGGCTATACCGGTAATTATAGAATATTGAAACATCTGGTTAAAACTTTTTGGGTCAACAGTGTATTGGTTGGTTAGCCAGTCTAGGGTGACCTTCTCGATTGAAATACCTATCCCACAATTCAAGGTGTTTTGTTCTCGCTTTCATTCGTATCAAGGAAAAACGACCACTTTGATACACCTGGTGAGGGGATACCATACTCTCAGATTTCCTATCGGAAAAATCACACCCCATGGCTAACACAGATGGCATTCATGTAGTGCAAAACTAATACCCAAAATCTTGCCACCACATCTCAGAGGAATCACTTCATGGACGTTGCCATAAGTTAACATCATTGTAAACTTGCGCTCTTCTCGTTTGCTAGGGGCACTCGTTGCTTCTTTGGTCAACCCCCGACTACCGGTAGCCGAGCATTGCGGTTAGCCGAAAGGGGTAACTTGCACGAGGTGATCCTATTCAGGACTAAATACCAAGCTCTAAATAAGCAAGCTGGGGTATTTGGCAGTAGAGGGAGAATCTGATTGGAGTCGAACCCTGGCAAGATGGGGCTAAATTTGCTTAAAATATGTTCGCTGCGTCATGACCTTGCATGACACTCTACCCTTGTATTTTTAACGCAGCTCTTTCTCTTCCTGCGACATTTATTATTGTCGGTTTATAACCAAGCCAAACTCCTCTCTTGCTCTTGCCTACACGCTTAGGTTGCTCTCATCTAATTCCGAGCCAATTGGCGCCTAAGCCAAGCACGCCATCTCAATTATGCCAGGCGTGCCAAAATCCGCAGGGTGCCGGACCTGTAAACAGAGGAGGATCAAGGTATGCTGTGTGCCTCGACCCTCCGCTTCTTCAACCATACTCTGAAACTGACCTGTAGCTCGTATAGTGCGACGAAACATGGCCAACTTGCGCTCATTGTAAACACATGAACGTCAAATGCCCCGGGCCAACATCTCTCATCAAGTTCATCGTCCACAAAACCTCAGACGTGAGCTCGGGCAGGAAGGGATCCCCACAAACTAACCACTCAGGGTCTGCTCTACGTCTGCGGAAAGTTCAGTATGCCAAGGTTGACGATGAAAGTGCTGGGTACGGCCTCCTACAGGTCACCCCCAGAAGCAATCCTACTACTGTCGCTGATCGCGTTGGGTTGCGTCTCGTTGGCAACATGGAGCGTGGCCGGATAGGGGTTGCTGGCATTTATATGACCTACCTGCCGGAGCTGCCGAAGCGGCTCGCCACAGGTGCCTGTCTACGCGACTCGGCAGACCTCTTTTGCTCCGCATGGTCCAGTTTTCGGCGTCGTGATCTCCAGCAGGGCGGGCTCATGGGTATGCCTCAGTATGGGAAGGCTTTGAGAAGCCTTGGGCGAGCTTTGCTTAACGATCATCACCGTGACGTGGAGACGCTGGCTGCTATGGTACTTCTTGAACGAACAAGCAGACTATTCAATCGCGACCCTCATCAGACGGGGATTCACCTGAAGGCGATAAGAGAGGTGTTCCGCCAGAGAGGCCCCCCCGATGTTAAGGATGAACTTGATGTTGCTGCGACAAACGAAATACACGGGCTTCTGGTAGGTACATCCTCCTATTTTCTGAGTGTTCGAGGAAGTTGGCATCTAACACGCAACCCTCATGCTAGTTACGTGATGACTCTAGAAACGAAGAAAATAGTTTTCTTTATAAATCACCATGGAAAGAGGCCTTGTCCTACTGCGCAGATCATATGGTACCACTCAATGATGTCCGCCCATACTTGATCGATGACGTTTGGGTTCTCTATGGGTGTTCGAAGCAGCTGTATGCACTACTTCCCGAGTTCCAACAAGCATGCCGTTATTCCTCGATAACTGAAGCGACCGCTCAAGCCCTTCAAATCCGCGACCAACTGCAGGGCCTGAGAGAAGCCCTCAAAGACAAGCCCATCAAATTATGGGGAAAGGCGCTTGAAGCAGGCGTCATTACGAAAGCTCCCGATGATAAATCCATCACAGGACACAAATATTCCTTCGACTCGGTCTTTCTTGCATCAATGTACCAGAAAATTCTGCTTGTCCGTCTAGTCATCATGCGAATGATACGCAATTTGGAAGACATATGGGGGGCTCCTGATATCACCATTTCAACCGAGTTTAGGGAAGTCAGCGTCTATGTTTGGAAGATGATACCCTACGTACGATCTTTGGAGTCGGTCATTGCGATTGACATGGTAAGGCCGATTTTCTTTAGCTATGAGGCTGCCAATAGCGAAGAGAAAGAATACCTCCTAGATTCTATGTTGGAAATAGACGACAATATAGGGCGCTACCCCAGGGACAGGAAGGAGTTGGAAGCCACCCTGAAAGATGGTGATCAGATATTGAGCTACTTTGCAGACGATAGCATCTAATAAGCTTAACATCCGGAGACATTGCTACATCCATGCGTGCTTGTGCATCATATACCACATAAAACTAACCGAAATACTCGTCTCGGTACTTGATTACCATAGTGGACAACTCTGTATACCAAGATGCATTCTCATCAACGACTCGTCTTTGAAATATCGTTTGGCCCGAGAACTTGAAACCCTTGGAGTACTGGCACTGCATTCGACTGAGTGATGCTGAGTCGAATCCGGCTCGTGCTCACTGTATTTGAGAGCACGTCAATGCGCTTGTAACCAATCGAGGTGCCGTTGACAACCGTCGTGTACTCGCTGCCTACGAAAGCCTCGATTGTGTAGCTCCCAACGCGCTGACCCAGGCCGATATGCTCTTGCACGATGAATCCACTTATAGGACGCACATCCCCGAGGTCAATCTCAACCCACGCGGTTGTTTCATCATCGTTCACAGTCCAGTAACTATCATCTCGTCCATCCAGTAGGTTTTGGGGGCCATACGCGTCGCTATTACCTTCACGGACGCTGCTTGCTGTAATATTCGCCCCCGGTTGAAGGATCCCCTTGTCCAACAATGATTCTCGCAACTCCTTGAATTCTATCAGCGAGGCAATATCTTCATCTTGAATCAGCCCTCTCTTATCCGGTGGCACATCCAAGTTCAATGCGACACTGCGGCCGACTGTCTTCAAGTACATGGCCATCAGAGCGTCACCTGCCTTCGGCTTCTCTTCCTCATGCCAAAACCACCCATCTCGAATACGTGCGTCTGATTCCGCTGGTGTCCAGTATGTCCCATCGCGTGCCCCAACCATTAAGTCCTGTTCACCTAGGCGAGCATCATCCTGGGTTACATTGATGGTATGCCAGTTAGTCTCGAGAGTGTACCCATCCTCATTCCCAACCCAGCGCGCGTCAACTCCTTGGTGACCCCACATGACAGCTTCAGGCTGATGTTCCCGGATGATATCTCGGTATCGGGCCCAGTCAAATGTCTGGACTGTGTCGGAGCCGCTCGCGCCATCTAGCCAGAGCTCGAACACGTCTATCTGGGATCCATCGCTGAGCTCCATAGTGAGCAGTTCTGTCAGCTGCTGGGAATAGAGCTCGTTGTAGTCTCCGGGAGAGGCATCTCCAAAGATTTGCGGTTCGTCAAATATCGTCCCAGCGAGGCCTGGCTTGGGCATTGCCGGGTCACGATGGATGTCCCACGGCGAAAGATAAATGCCGAACCGGATGCCGTACTTCTTGGCCGACTCGGCTGCCATCCGCACAACGTCGGAATCCAGACCCTGCTCTGTTCTATTCTTTGCCCATGCCGAGTTGGCAATCTTGTATGTAGTTGTGCTGCTGTTCCACAGAGTCATCCCATCGTGGTGCTTGGCTGTCAAGATCATCCCTCTCATGCCTGCGTTGGCAAACGATTGAGCCCACTGGTCTGTATCGAGGCTGGCCGGGTTGAAAACATCCGGCGGACTCTGGCTACGGCCCCATTCTTCGCCCGTGAAGGTGTTGTGCCCAAAGTGAACAAAGGCATAATACTCGAGGCCATGCCATGCAAGCTGGCGATCTTCTGGAACATGAAGATACGGCTCTGGGGGTGTTTGAGCATTTGAAACATACCCCGACACGGCAAGAAGCGTTACCGCACAATAGATTCCTCGTCTAACCATCATGTCATTGGGATGTCCGTGGTTGTATGATTATTGCTATCGAGATAATAGCTCAGACCGTCCCTTTTTAATCCATTCAGCAATGCGAGCCCCTCGGGTCATCATCTTCGTATATACTCTTCCAAAAACCCCGCGATAGACAGAGAAGACGTACCATGCACACCGGCCTCCAATTTATCCATGTTCGGCTAATTAAGGCATTTCCACAAATCACCTTTCTCTTCAATCTCCCAGTCAATTCAAAACAGCCCAGTCCGTCTGATTTAGATCTCTACTGTGACTTATCTTTCAGCGGCTATTTCCTCACTCGTAATCTCCCCATCCGTCCCACCAAGCCTGCTCAACCAACTCTTAGCAATTTCACAGGCGGCTCTCTGTTTGCGATATGCCCTAGATCTCATTACCACGAGGCAAGGGCCACTGTTCTCATTAATAAAGAAAACATCATCTAATTCTACAAAAAGGCATGCCGACATAAGGAAAGCATACCCCTCGCGTCCTACATGATGACGCATGTCATAATTGGAAACGCAGCAAGCAACATATAAAAGTCTTTGAATCCCTCTGCGTTATCATGGCACCTCTGTCTCTCTTTCCTCTCATCCTCCGACATAAAGTATTGGTCGACCAACTCTTCTATCGCCTGCCTCTCCTCTGCAGTCATTTTCTTATACTCTTCGTCTTCCACCTTTTCATCTTCTCCCATAAAGTATTTGTTGACCTCCTCTTCTAACTTCTTCTTCTCCTCTGGAGTCATTTTCTCATACTCTTTTTCTTTCTCTTCTTCTTCTTCTTCTTCTTCTTTCTCTTCTTCTTTCTCTTCTTCTTTCTCTTCTTCTTTCTCTTCTTCTTTCTCTTCTTCTTTCTCTTCTTCTTTCTCTTCTTCTTTCTCTTCTTCTTTCTCTTCTTCTTTCTCTTCTTCTTTCTCTTCTTCTTTCTCTTCTTCTTTCTCTTCTTCTTTCTCTTCTTCTTTCTCTTCTTTTTCTTCCTCATCTCCTTGTTCATCTCCTTGTTCGTCTTCCTCTTCCTTCTCTTCTGCCTTGTTCTCCTCCTTCTCTATATCATCGTCCTTGTTCTTTTCTTCCTGCTCCCCCTCTTCCTCCTTCTTCTTCCGCTCTTGTTCAATCTTTGCCTTCTGCTTTTTGTGCTTTTCTTTCTTTTTTCCTTTTCCCTTACTCTTCTCTTCTCCTTTTCCCGTATCCTTCTTTTTCTCGTCCCCATTTTCATGGCCGACCTTTCCATTTCCGAACAATGGCACATCCTTGGTAATCGTCTCACCAAGCTCATTTTCGTCGGGCACGGTTACATTCCACGTGTACAGGTACGGAACCACAGATTCGGTCTGCAGGAGAGTTAGCATCTGGCCAAAAACCAGTTTTCAAAGGGTCTTCTCCTACATCCGGGTGCTTTCTGATCTGTTCCAGAACATCATCGTGATACGAGCCGACGTACCCCTCCTGCCCCAAGTATTTCAGAACTTCTTCGAGCCCGGTGTAGATCCCCTTGTCGGCGGAGCTCTTCCCGTGGATGTCCTCGGCCCACTTGACGTGCCTCCAGACGTCGAGCTCTGCGTCTTCCTTGAGTTTGATGAGAAACTCTCCGGGGTGGAGCGGGACCACCTTCTCGACCGTAGGCGCGGTTGACGGCGCGGGGGCTCCTTGGATTGCACCCGTGGCGGAAGGTAAGTCGGTGGAGTGTTTTAAATACATATTGGAACAAATATGACGATAGCTTTGTTACAATATTATGATGTGTTGACGGAAATTCGGCTTTTGCTGGGTTGTGCGTGTGGAATTGTTCCGGAAGACGTCGGTGTGTTGTTACATGAGGTAGTGCTCAAACTTTGGTTGTGTAGAAAGCCAGTTATTTCCTAAAATACGGGGGGAGGCAGCTCTTAAGTAGCGAGGATTAGAGGGATTAGAGTTCGTGAAAGAGATTATGCGGGTGACAGGGCCAGGGTACGGATATCAAGCTTTTTCGCTGTGAGCCTTAATTGCAGTAAACTCCAGGGTGGCTTCATCGCCGGACGACAATGAGGAAACCTTGATATCAAGCGGTGTTAATGTTTTCACCAAAGGTTTGTGTTATGCTGATTTCCCTACCTTGAGAGACTTCGCGCAGTCGCAAGCAGATAGAGGTTGACTTTTTGATGGAGAGATATCGCTCACAAAACTCCGATGCTTCTCGTTGAATTTTCAAGACGTGTTCGTGAGAGGAATTGAATTGTCTAATATGATATTATCTACTTGGAAAAGATTTCCAGCATAAGAAAACGATATCCGCCAAACCCAGTCATAGGAATCCACCGTACTACTTAGACCTCCAAAGCCTTTTACTCCATTGGAAGAGTAATACACACCTCCCCAAAAAGCGACCAAGGAGGAACGGTAGTCCAAACCTATACCACGTAACAGGCTTCCAAAGCCTCACCTCGGGCACGACCACATCTTTGCCACTTGCTCGCGTCTTGGATCCATCTTCCGCCACCGACTTCCCCGCAAAGGCCTCGACGGCCTCTACCATGATTTCCACGGTCTCCTCGGGTCGGCTCAGGAACGGGGAGTGGCTGGTCGGTAGCTCCCTGTGCTCAACGCTGGCTCCCATCTCTCTCGCCATGGCCACTGTCATCCGCTGTGCCGCCACCGGCAACCCTTGATCCTCGATTGTACCAATGTACCATGACGGCACATCCCTAAAGCCAGAATACGCAAACTCGCCTCCTTCGAACAATGATTTGAGACTGTGGGGCGTCAGCTGTGAGGCCCAATACTCCGCCTCGTCTTCTGGCAAGTCGTGGTAGAAGAACTGCCGCGGTGGGAGGACAATCTCGGCAAATCCAGTCTCTTTATTTACACGCCAGGCAGGGGGCGGATGGCCGAAGAAGGGGTCCATGAAAGCGACGCCAGTGAGGGCATAGCCAGAGGCGATGAGAATCAGGCCAATGACTTGCCCTGTGGTCGGCGTCGATTGGAATGAGATGCCAAGGGAAGGGTCGTGCGATGGTGCGAACCCCTTGATGGCGCTGTTCCCGACCAAGCCTCCGTATGAGTGCGCAACAACCACGACGTTGCGGCCGGCGTGTGTTTCAGTAGATATTGCGTCTTGGGCGGCATCAACATCGTTTTTGAACGTGGCCTCTGGATCTCCAGTTGTAGAGGGAAGTGTGACTTGAATGCATTTCAATTTGTATCTCCCTTGGAGGATTTCGGTGATCTTGTTGTAGCAGGTAGCCCTGTGCCATGAGCCGGGAACCAATACCAACGTCGGTTGGCTGGGATTAACCATGGTTGTGTCGTGGGCTTGTGTCGCCTTATGCACTCGTTCTCGTGCCGCCATTTTCGGTCAAAGAAGTAAACAAGGGCACGTTTAAGATTGATGCGATCAGAGGGGAGAATGGCAACGGGTAGCGAGCTGCCTCGTTATAAAGCCCATCGAGTGTCTGGCAATATCAGAATATGTGTATCCCATGATCCATCAATGAACTATCTTCCCAAACACCAATAGGATGTCTTCCCTTTGGCTAAATACGGGGCAATGCTGGATGTGCTATCCCGTTCCCGGACAAATAGACGAACTCTCCATCCATTTTGTGGGCATGGGTGAGATTCTGGGTATCAAAGATATTCCGAATTCCAGAACGCCGTGGGCAGCCTAGAACCACCGAGCTTCGGGTGATTCAGGCGGGCAGCACCGAACGATTCTTTCGCCAGGGTCGCTGCAGTAATACTGTAATGCGATGGTGAGGAGGCCACATTCACTCTCAGCGCGTCTGCAGGCAAAGATAGAGGGCCTTCTACCAGATGCGCCTATCCTCGACTGGCATTTCATAGCGCAAATACACGCAGCATAATATTGCTAATATTAAAGAGGGGATGAGCTTATTCGCACATACTTTCATTATGTGGTGCAGGATGCATCCAATATCCATGCGCATATCAGCCGGCGGATTTCAGTGTGCAAATTCCGGTGTACGCACTGCCCCAATTCAAAGGCCCAGTGGACGAGAACAGTGAGACTTTCATTGCTAATATGGAGGCGCAGTGCGTAACTTCGAGTTACACCCATGAGGTAAAACACCCACGCCGCAAATGGCACGACATGATGATGCCAAGTTTGCTGGGCTCAGAGGTAGATTGACGAAATTCACGTCGATTATTAATAATGAATCCCCCAGCCAGCCTCCGCCCAAAAGCAAAAAGACCATCAACTACGGTGTCATGATCCGCGGTGGCGCAGACCAGTGATCAGCCCTCACCCCCTGTCGCACTGCTCAGGCCTCACAGGCAGACACGATTCACGGGCTACAGCACACACAATACGAGCTTCCGTCATGCCACTGAATCAAAGAGGAAAGCCATCGTGACCTTTTGCATGACCTTCCTCTTGCCCTTTCAGCCCCAGCCCGACAAAGCCAATGAGTGCACATGCGGGGGGCCCTTTGGTGGGATTTAAGCATAAGCATTTACGTCATGCTGAGGAGCTGCCTTCTTTGTCCATCATGGGTTGTTTCAGAGTGCCGGCCGGCTGCCCAATAGGTGGCCGTGGTGAAGGCGATCACAGCCCGTGAGGTTGGCGATGACGCCTCCAGCACCACCAGCCCCCGCGTCTTGGCTCTCTCTTCCCGCCATGTCGATTGTTCTTTGTCTCTGTACGTACTTCTGTTGTGCCACTGCAGTGTACATCTGCAGGCGGCCACGTAAGATGGTCTATATAATTCGTAGCCTCCAATCCAGCACTCTTTCTCCCCCCCCTTCATCTATCTTATCATCATCATCCCCTGTCTATCCACCCATCATCAGTCTGACTCCATTCAACGTCTATTCATCCAACCTAATTTGAAACCCAGTCAGACGCCAGTCACAATGAAGTCCGCGCCCATCATCCTTGCCACTGCCGCCGCCCTGGCTTCGGCCCAAGACACCACCGGCTTCTACTCCATTCTGCCTATTTCTGTCAGCGACAGCCCATCCGGCGTCCTCAGCAGTCTCTCAAACATTCTGAGCTCGGCCACGGCGACATCAGGCTCAGATACCACCACGAATCTCATCAGCTCCATCACCGCGCCCACCTCGGTCCCAGGAACCACTCTCTCCTCCGTCACCTCCTCCGGCCTCCTTGGAAGCACCACTTCCGCCGAGTCATCGTCCGAGGACTCGTCTGCCAGCGGGACAGACGCATCGCAAACCTCCGGCAGCACCCAGAGCAGCACGGAGAGCGCACAGCCCTCGACTACGAGCGGCGATGGCGGCAGCGGTGCCACCAAGCCCCTCATCGGCGCTGGTTTGGCTGTCGCCGCCGCTATGCTCGCCCTGTAATGCGTCTAAGAAGATGGAGAATAAAATTAACACCATTTGAGATTGTCTTATTGTCAAGCAAAAAAAAAGAAGAAGAAAAAGACCACCAAAAAAAGCAATGGAGTTCTCGATGATCAGAGAACTCTTGAGATTATCATCAGATGCCGATAAGTGCGCCGGTCCCTCTAATTGGGAATATCCCGCGATGAAAGATTTTTAGCCTACTTAATAGTGAGAAAAATGAAAATTAATTTAGGCACAGAAAGCCTACTCCTTGACTGGTATCTTGCAACCCTCAGATTTAAATATGTTGAATAAATAGCACTGCACTCCTATTAAACGTGATTATCGTAAACAAATCAATACTCTCCCCCTTCCAAATAAGATGAAGCTGCTCCTGGCTACCGGATTTGTCTACTTCATGACTGTATCCCATCCCAAGCCAAGTAACCGCCAAAGTACCTTCTCAAATGAAACATTAACAGTTAATTAGTGCAACAAGACGCTTGAAAAAAAGAAGAAGAAAGCAGACATCCATTAATCCATTAATCAACACTACTGAGTGTTAATGGGCCGAAATTGCCTAGTTCGATGCGTACTGTTAAGGTGGTTGATCAACTTAAGCCCTAAAGTCTATTGTGCTATAGTCAATAGGCAGAAGGGATAAAAGTAGATAGATCTACCCCCTATAAGCCTAAGGCCCTTAATCCCTGGGGCTTAATAATTTATATGTATATATATATCTAGGTAGTCTCTTAGTGGTCTATGTAGGAATATGGGCTAGTTCTTCTGGAGGGCTTATTCTGCTTCTGAATTAGCGACTGATTGTGCTGCTGGGTTTATTAGTAGGTTCATGTATATATATAGGAGAGTAGTCTGTTTAGGCGGACCTAGGAGTTCGCGGACGTCCTTGGGGCTTGAGAGGCCACCTATAGCGGGCGTGGTGGGTGAGGTGGAGGATGCTGAGAATGGAGGGCTGATGTAGGGGCCCCCGGGGCTTGCTTGTCCCCCCTTTGTTGGGGTGGAAATAGGTGACTCCGTGCTCCTTATTAGGGATGTTTGGGGTTAGCCTTAGGTCTATCTGGATTTTATAGGCTGAAGCTGGATGATTAGAGTCTGATGGGTATGGGGTCGGATTACTGGATGTGAATTGGATCTGGGGACAGCAGGTGTGGGGGATTGTGTCCTAGCTTGAGATTGGGGCTGGATCTGCGGCTGAGTCTGTATCTGTACACTAGCTCCAGACGAAACATAAAGTCCTTGAAGAGGCTGGGGTGGTCCCTGAGGTTAAGGTAGCACTAGAGAGAAATGCTGTGCTGGACTATAGGAGTGAGTCTAGGACTGCGGTTTCGCTAATAGCTGAGTTTGAATAGGAGACCGAAATAGGTTCTAGGGACCAGGATGGATTTGATTCTGAAAATGTGGTTGTAGCTAAGGTTGAGGTTGTAGCTGAGGTTGAGGTTGAAGTTGAGGTTGAGGTTGAGGTTGAAGTTAAGGTTGAGGTTGAGTATAGTCCTAGGCGAACATATTCAGCTGTGGCTGATTATGAGCCTGGAATTATATCCCAGATTGAGATTAAGAGTTTAGATGAAGCTTATATTGTATCTCAGGGATAGTTACTATATTAAAGTCGGATCTTATCCTAGGCTGAGAGGCTGTAAGAGGTGGGTACTATATCTCTAGTTGGAGAGGTGTATAAGATCTAGCCTATATCTAATGTTGTATCTAGGCCTAATGTAAAGTATGTGAAGTATGTAGAGAATAGTATATTAATATCTTAACCTATACTTAAGATAGATAATAACTCTAGAGTTAGTACTATTGATTGTTACTAGGCCCCTTGGGGGTATTGTTTGCCACTTCTTACGATATGGTTTAATAACCTCGTAGCTCGCTGACCTGGTGGTTTTACGTGTGCTGAGTTTGGTTGCTATTATTGAACGTAGGATATGAGTAAGTCCCGACTGGTGAAGTTGTTAAGTCTATGAACTGTGTCTAAGTTATTATTGCCGAGCTATTCTCGGGGGGGCTGGTCACCTTTGTCGGGTAAATAGATAGCTAAGAACTATTTACAGCCTATTAGGGCCCCTCTAAATTTCCCATTACAGGCCTGGCATATTAGGTTCCAGCAGATAGCAGTCTATAAACTATATAGTCAAGTTCCATTTCTTAATAGTAAGGGACTCCCCTAGCTATAGATACGTTTTGGCCTTTAGGAGTTTAGTCTAGTATTAAGGAATTAGGTATAGGCATTCTTTTCGCGCTAGCTAAAAGTTGCCTTAGGCTAGGTTGATTAGAGGTAGCTTAATTTTCCAGCAGATTGCTAAAGCTATTGTTATTAGCGCCTGTTATTTCCTTTCCTAATGCCTCTAGGTTACTATAAGATACTTCTTTCACTAGCTATTCACTCTTACTACCTAAGTTAGATAAGATAGTCTAGATTAAGGCTACTCTCATAATAATCGGCGGTAGACTCTAGCTCCTTTTTTCCGTTAAGGGCATTACTATCGATTTATCACCAGATTCCGTATAGCTTATATATAATTCACGAGCTATAGCCTCCTTTTAGACTATAGGAGTGCAATTTATAGACGAGTCTTTAATTATCCTATTATCAGAAAGCGCTAGTATACGATTTAACGCTGGTCGTTAACTAAGACTATGCGATTCCTCTAGCCTAAGTGACTAATCCATACTAGCCTCAATTCCCGTTTAAGATTCACCCACTTATTTCCTATCTTGCTAGAGAGTAGGCAAACTCATACCGCTTGATCCTAAAGGGCCACTGTTTTGGTCATTTTCACCATGTGAACTTAGAGAGTCATTCTCTTAATTTTCTCGTTGATCTGGTTAGCTATAGTGGCCATCCTCTAGACTATATGTGTCTTTGGCATCATCCCCTTGCTTAGATATATTATTAGGTTAAATCTTTCCACCATCAGCTTTCAGGCCCCCGCAGCTTTCCCCATTAGTCCCCTCTATAATGTTTTCTGAGCTGCTAGGATGTTAGTTGCCTGGATCTATTGTAATATTCGCCTTACTAGCTTCTATGTTGTTATTTACCTATAGTATAAGGCGTAATAGCGGCTAGTAGTACTACTGCTTCACGATTATAGGATCTATTAGATTAAAATCTCCTAGATTTATGCCTTTTGCCTATAATAGAGGATATATCTCTAGGGTGTTATAAGTTAAATATAAAGTAGGGTGAGCTTAAGACGATTTAAGCTGGCCGCTATCCTTATACCTATCTTTCCACCTGTATTTACCTATGGCTAGGTTATAGGTGTAGTAGTCTAGTATAGACTAGACTAGGTTTAGTGTCTTTAGGTTGCTATTAATTCTAACTTTAAGTATATTCTTAAAAGGAAGGATAAGAATTAGAATATATTCTCTACTAAAATATATAAGGTATATATTACTAGGCTGATGATATATATATGACTTTTTATTATCTTTATTGATATTATTATAGTGTGATATTCTAGGCATTAAGTTATTATAAAAGGGATCTTCTATGTCCTAACTCCTCCTAGATGTTTTAGCTCTACTGCTTATTAAGGCTTCCTTTTAGCTTCCTGAAACCCGCCCTCTACTTTTCCTCTTATTATTACTAGCTATAGTTTAATTTATTAACATTAGTGAGTTCTTCTAAATAGCTTTATTTATAAAGAAGTTATTATTTTACTCTATATAGCTCGCTATATAGTACTTGACTTATATACCTATCTTCTTAATGATATCCTTATAGGCCTTTGAGTATTTATTATACTTAAGACTGCCTAAGTGAAATGTAGTATCTATAAGTAGGTTACTACCTTTAAATTTAATCCTATGTTCCTTATATTAAATTATATACTATTGGCTGTTATTTATAGGGAACTATATAATTATCTCCTTATAGCTAGCTTAAGTGTTTTTATATACCTCTTTAAAGTATATAGTTCTCTCCTTATTTTAGTTCTTAGTGAGCGACTTTTCCCTCTAGTAAGGCTTCTTTCATAGTTAGAAATAGCTTATATAGGGAAACTTTCGTTTGCTTTATTAAAGTATTAGTATATAAAGGACTTTTTTATATAAGCGGCCTATCACTTACCCCTAGGATAAAAGTTTCTTTATTTACCCTCTGACTTAGGGTGGATCTATTATTACCCTCTTCTAAATTATCTTTAATCTTAGGTTTAAACTTAGAATCTAAGTTATAAGAGCCCCTTTCGCTATTGTTAGGCTCCCTTAAAGGTTAATAACTAGTCTCTATATTAATTTCATTTATATAGTTACTAGAGATCGTATTAGGCAGAACCTTATCCAGCTCTGCTAATTCGCTCTTAGCGATTTGGCCCAGCACCTCATCACAAGGTTCTTCATCGTGAATCCTTCTATTACCGCCCTTAAGCGGTATACCTCCGTTAATTAAACTATTATTATCTATTTTAAGCTCGCCTTATGTCTCTTCACTAGTGTGTTGAATTTCTTTAGCGGGCTGCTAGTCCTTGTGATCTATATCTTCCTAGACTTTCTATGCCTTATATAACATCATCCTATCCTAACTACTAATAGGGAAAGAATAGAAAAGCACTATCTATAGCGGCCTTAATAATTATATTTGCTGTTTCTCGCATGCCTCCTCCTCCTCCCCCTGGTTGTGCTTAGCCCGAAAATCTAACCGATGCGATAGTAGAGACTATAACCTCTCTTTAATATTTTTTCTCTCAGCTAGGCTAGAATTCTTATTATATAAATCCATCGCCGTAGAAATCATGCAGCTTATCTTATCGTCCTTCTCTTAGTACTACTCTCGTAGAGTTTTAAACCCACTAAGTGTCTATCTCTTAAACTCATTCAGGTAGGCCCTCATTATGCTAAAGACTTAACAGATAGTAGGTTACAGCAGGACCTTTCCGCTACTCCCCTATTCCGTTGCCATGATTTAGACTAATAAAAGTCTATTCACTGAAATGTTAAATGAGGCGGGTTTGTCCTGGTCAGCTTCAGACACAGAAACGCGGACGCTGAGTCGGCCAGGGAGACTGTGTCGCGGAGGGGAAAATTAAAGGCGTATGTAATATTTTCTTTCCTGCCACTCGACAGAAAACTAGGAGCAGTAGGGAATAGAGCGGCGAGGGCATGGCCAGGTATTCGGAAGCATCTCATTGCGGATGTTGGCTATAGAGTGTTAGTTGTGAATATACTATTAGTTCTGATTTCGAACTATTTAGTACTAGGCCGGTGGAGAACCATCATTATATCTGCATGGGAGGGGCTGGTTCGCAGCATCGATGTGTCCCATGAGTAGAATGGCTAGCTTTAGGTGGAGATTAGGGAGTCGATTCCCTGCAAGATATGCATTCTCCCGGGGAAGCATCCGCTGGGTTGGTCAGGCAACTTAGCTACCTTTGGTCAATGGCTATTCGCGCCACAGGATAGATGGGGGCTACTGCTTGTTGTTGTAGATCCCTAGCTTATTTTCAATTCACAAAGATGGTCCCCTGTATAACTGGCTCAACCAACTCAAAATGCCATTCTAAAGCGGAAGAAGCCCACATAAGCCCAGCATCTAAGCGTTGGCCTGAATAGCATGCCAATATATTCTAGAGCAAAATTGATTAGCCAACAGCTCAAGGTCTTGGCTGCATGATGTTCACGTTGGCGGGGTTGCTTGGGAAAATGATACCTTATCAAGGATAACCGACACGGCACAGCGTAAGCGAGGTTAGGGAAATTACGTGACCAAATCCAAGATTGTTTTCACCTCCGTCGCCTCTTTACACAATTCATAATCTAAATATCTAGTTAAGGGTTACAGCCGTGAATGGTCAAGTAGAAACAACAAGTAAGGGGCAGAGAACAGATATAAACCAAATTAGATTTTGAGCTTAAAGAAAGAAAGAAAGAAAGGCAATTCATCTCGAATCCGCGGCTAACAGAGAATTACTTCGTACCTACAGTCTTTTATGGCTAGTTCTTAAAAGCAATCCGCTCAGCTTCCCATGACCAGACCCTTGAAAATGCCTTGCACTCGGCAATTGAAAAGACGAAAACTAAAGACATTTCTCTGTACGATTCTTTTTCTCTCGCTATAATGACTGCTAATATTTTTCTCTGTGGTCTTTCGAAAAGCAACTTATTCGTCGAAGCCACCAGGCAACCGAGTAAGGGTATAGGGTAGCATCAGAATACGGAGCACCACGCAACACCACACAGACACACTGATTGATCTTCATTTCAACTCCCAGATAGCCCTTGTGTTAGCTATTAGAGATCGAAAATATCAGATATACATTAATTTCCAAGCCCTTACCCATCGAATCCTCGGCAACGTGCCAGAGATGGTCATGACAGCCCCGGATTGGGCTGTGAGCCTCGTTGGATGCTCAGTGGGTCGACGGTCATCCAATGCCCTGTCTGACTTGTCTGACACGCGCTGGCTGGGCTTACTTGAAATCTCTTCACCCCACTGGGCTAATACAGTCTTCTTTCAATCGTGCTCAGACATATGCCCGCGCAAATAAACCCACCACAATGTCGGATACCACATCTTGGGACCTCGCTTATGGTCCGCCCGCTTCCAGCCCGCCTGGAGAAGGGGATGATGGGAGCTGGCTATGTACGGACGAACCGTACTTGAGCCAGATCAAAGCATCCTGTAGTCTTCAGCCCACTCTTCGTCTGCCTGATCCAAGAAACTATGCCGTCCCGCTATGCAATAGATCAGCTCGAGCCACGCTATTTAGCTTTTCTGGAGATGGTGCTCCTCAGCGCAGCGACTTCATTGGCGTCGAGGGCCCAGAGAAACTCGCCCTTCATTTCCAAAACCCCCGACCGGCTCAAAATGTATACTTGTTGGAGGGACTTAATCCGGCGTATATTGCAGTATTTGGCGATGCTCTCCGTATAGATCCAAGGTTTTTCGCCGACCATGACCGCAACTCTGCGGATCTCAGTCTTCCATTCGAACCCAGCATCATCACTCGTTTGCCTTCACTTTTGAACCAAGACCGGTCGATTATGATGGGATACCACGAGCTGCGAAATCCAGATAGAAGATTCGAGTCCTTCAACGTCTCATGTGCTGAGAGTGGGAGAGATATGTGGACAAGCAGGCTTGCCCAGGGATGGGAATATCCTATCATTCTTCATCAGAAGTGCTCGGCCTGGACCACTGTATTCCAGGACGCCAATAGCTGGGCAGGTATGTCAAAAGAGGAAACCTTGGAAATAAAATATTGCGGTGGAGAATATGTGCCTAACTTCCAAACAGTATTAATACTCTGTGATCCACCGATCAGAAAGGCCCATCTCTGGTCTAAACAGGCATCCTCAAAATGGGAATACGACCTGATCAGTATGAAAACGACCCCTTTCCAAGGGGGATATGCTGATTTTGTCCCTCGTTCATTTCCTCAACATCCAGATGACCAATTTGAAGGCCCTCCGAGGGATGGGCTACATGATGACCTTTGCTATTATCTTGCTACAGCACACAGTACTCTACCCGGGGGCGTGAAGCTACCTCAGCATGCGACTGTCTTTATGAAGAAGATTATAGCATCGCACTATTTACAACTTATATCCTATCACCAGGCCAATCTAGCAACAATGGAATACCCGCTCCAGCGAATAGTTGGGCTTGGCCAGTTGAAAATCCCCCAACTTCAACAGCAGTGGAGCGATATTCAACTAATGTGCGCCCGATGTGCTCACTATCTGATGACCGCCTCCTCCATTATGACGCAGTTAGGCATCCCTCTAGAATATCCGAGCAGAGGAAGCATCAGTAACACTACGTGGACAGAGTCCAACCTTGACTTTCAATACATTCATCATGAGCTGAACAGGCTCGTAGAAAGAGCACTTTTCTTCAATGAGTCACTCACAGGTTTGACGGGGATTGTGGGAAACGAACAAGCACTGGCTGAGACAAGGCGGTCAATCCGTGAAGCGAAAGCGGTCAAGGCCTTGACCCTCGTCGGTATGGTATTCATCCCTTTGGCTTTCACAACTGGTCTCTTTAGCATGTCGGATGAGTATCTGCCTGGGATGGAGAAATTCTGGACCTTTTTCGCAGTTTCGGTGCCTTTGGTCTTAATCGTCTTTATTGGCACAAGTCTATTTGATATTGGGTATGATGCCAGTGGGAGCTGGCATATAGACATTTTCAGAAAACGGCTGTACGAGCTACCGTCCTCACTTTGAGGTACTCTTCGACGTGCGAATGAGTTTGTTTATGCCAGGACTCGGCACTTCCATAGCTTGAGAGATAACATGTGCGATTCTGCGCAGCTCAATTATATAATAGCCATACGAAGAACATCCAGTCTGCCGAGATCCCGAAATTGATCCATAATCCCGATATTGATCCATAATCCCGTCTTTAGTAGTTCGGTTCGTCAATACAACGGTAGCATTCGACAGTTCTTTTAAAAAGGGCCGAATTGAAAGCTTTTATCCGGATTTTGATCTCTTGAGAGCTCTCTTAGGGAGTCTCTCATTATACTTCCTAATTTCAAAAATGATATAGCCAAATGCCAGTGCAGCACCTTGTTTAAGATGCTCGAATTGCGCCTAGTGGACTCAAACGTATGGAAATACTGAAACCTTACCAGTATCTCGAAAACCAAATCCTTTTCAAGATCAATACTCCTCTCCGGCTGATCTTCCCCGCATTGATAACTTGCAGGGAAGAATACTACATCGTGACCTCATTAGCGTACCTTGTGCCGAACAGCACGTATATTTATCCATGCTGCTTTTCGTAATAAATACCCATGAGAATGCGAGATATCTGCCGCACATTGTATTCCATACCAAATAACCCAGATGTAAATGAACAGATGTGGTACCAAGTTCTCGCTCAGTTGTTCATACTCCCAAGAGTGGCGTCTGCCCTCTTTATATCCCCCAGGTCGGAGAGTCCTGTTGTTGATTTGACCTATGCGAAATATCAAGGTGTTCGTGATACAACCTATGGCGTTGACAAGTATCTGGGGATGAGATACGCAGAAGCGCCCTTGGGAGATCTCAGATTTCGCGCTCCTCGAGACCCAAATCTTATTGCGGACATTCAGACCGCCCAGGAAGTGAGTTGTGGAGGAATTTCCCTTATATTCACGGACTGACCATTTTACGTTACTTAGTTTGGTGCAATATGTTTAGGGTCAGATCAAACGCCGAGCGACAACATGAGCGAAGACTGTCTATTTGTGAATGTATTCACGCCCTCCAATGCGACCTCTAGCTCAAAGCTTCCAGTGTGGCTTTATATCCAGGGCGGTGGCTACGCGAGCAATGCAGATCATGACTACGATGGATCAATGGTGATTCAAGAATCTGGCTATAACATTCTCTTCGTCAATTTCAATTACCGAGTTGGCGCATTAGGGTTCCTCGCAAGTGAACAAGTCAGAGCAGATGGAGATCTGAATGTAGGATTGTTGGATCAAAGAAAGCTTCTATGGTGGGTTCAGGAGCACATATCCAAGGTAGGTAAAGCCCAGGCTCTGCGAAGAGTAAAATCTAATTTGGTGCTCTAATGTAGTTTGGAGGCGACCCTTCACATGTCGTTATTCACGGGACCTCAGCCGGATCAGGATCGGTAACCCACCATCTCACGGCTTATGGAGGTCGGGATGAGCAACTATTTGTGGCTGCAGCGCCCCAGTCCAACTTTTGGCCTCCTCAGAGAACTGTTGCAGGAGCGGAGTTCCAATTTGACCGTTTTGTCAATGACACTGGCTGCAGTGAAGCTGTGGATATCATGGCTTGTCTGCGATCTGCCGACTTGGAGGCAATCGTCGCGGGAGACACGTCACAACCGTTACCAGGAACCCCGACAAATGAACCCTTTAACCAATTTTACTGGCTTCCTGTGGTAGATGGTGATTTCATCCGCGGTTCACTCTACGACCAATTTGAACGGGGACAGTTCGTCAAAGTCCCACTGCTCGTAGCCAACACCAACGATGAAGCTTCAGTATTTGTCACCGACCCTGCAACAGCCGATGAAATGGCCCTTTTCTTCCGGAACTACTTCCCTAGACTTACAGAGAGCGAAGTACAACAGGTTCTGCAGACGTATCCCCTCCAAGACCCGTTACCTCAGCATGAGGCGTGGTACCCATCCCTATCAGCGGCATACGGCGACTCTATCTTTCTCTGTCCGGGTTACGAAGTCGCCAAGGCCGCGGCCAGGCACTTGCACTCGGATAAAGTGTGGAACTATAGATTCAATATGCAGGATCCTTCGAACATCCAGGCTGGACTGGGTACTATCCATGCCGTCGATACTGACGCGATCCTCGGGCCCGGATTCGCTGGAGGCTACGCTCAATCATACCTCAACGTCAATGCACCCATTATTCCCATTACTATGCACTACTACATCAGCTTTATTCAATCAGCTGACCCAAACAAATACAGACATGAGACGGCTCCAGTGTGGGAATCGTGGGGCAATGGAGGAGCCCAGGGGCGACGGCTCAAGCTAGAGACAAACTCTACATTTATGGAGGACATTCCGTCCCTGCAGATCGATAGGTGCAATTTCTGGCGAGGCCTTGCGAGGCAAATGGAGCTATAGTGATTGCTTGTGGCTTGGGAGTGATTTTGCTATCACCAAGGCAGCCCCTGTTTCCTTATGGAAATGGGACTCTTGTATCTGAATTCCAAAGGTGGACTGGAATTGCTATGTAGAAAGGCATCCCTATGCCGTGCTTGGCCTATACTAACTCTCTGGATGAACAAACTATGACTCGTGTTCATACTCGTTGTCCAAATGGAGAGGGAACTCATCTTCAACCAGTAGTATAGCAATAGATGAGCCATCTGCAAGCAGTTACAAATCACAGATCTGAATGTCTAAGTCTGCCTGAAGGATGAAACTTGCCGATTTTTAAGGTTATCGCCAGGCTAACGAATATTAGCAAGGGAACAGAAGATTGACAAGCCTCGAGTGGCGCTATGCTTGGCAGTTGGCCATGTTTTCGTTCAAAAGAATGTGACTCTCTGGTATGGGAAAGGTAGTCAGGGCCTTGGCGATTGCAGAGTTGTAGAACACTCTTTATTAGCTTTAGATGGTTTGTTTTGTCGATTTAAGAAGTTTCCGGTTGTACCTTATCTGCTCTCAGCTCCACATACACAATTACTTCACATCAATTCTTAGCAAGACAGTAACTGTAAACTTCTCATTGAACTCCCCAAGACGAGAACTAGTATTCTACCCAGCCGATAATCATATGGTAGTCCACTGACAGGAATTGTCCATAAATACTAGTAGGTACATTGTTTATCCCTAAATTGGATAGATGAAGAAGGGGTTCTCCATATCCGTAAGATCTAACATGGCAATATCAACCTTTCGGGTCACCAGGTTGCCACTCTCATCCAGTTGCTCTACCTCTCCATGCTGTTTTTCTATCCTTTCTTCCTCCGTCAGGCTATCAATCCATTGCTGCTTAGCCTTGTTCCTTCGCCTAAGGACGAATTGGATGATGAAGAGGATCAGGGGAGTGCCGAACCAGCTGACGACAATCTGGGTAATCCAAGCGCCATAATACCGCGGCGCATCCTTCGGGACCCAAATCTGAGGCGAGCACAGATTAGCTACACTGTACCCAACCATGAACATGACGTTTCTAGTAAGCTTCTTAGTGTATCCAGCGGCCGAAGACGTGGTCCAGCCAAGGGCGATGATATATGTGTTGCCGTAGGTGTGCCCAGCGAGAAGCAAGCATGCGAGCATACCGAGCTTCTGATCCCAGGCCATCGACACCATGCCGATACCTCCAGCAATAGCAGGCACGCACCAGACCAGACCGTGAAGAGCAAGGTTTGATGGCCACAGTTTCAGAGCGATGGTTCCAGCAATGCAAACCAGAACGCCAAATCCACCACCTGCGGCAGCCACAAGGGTTGAGCCCAGATTGTCCACACCAAGTGCAGTGGTAATGAGATTCTGCTGTCCGTAGGTCAAGTTGTTTGACATCATCAAGGTGAATGCCTGGAGGCAGAACAGCCACGAGACGGGATCACGAATCGTCTCCAAAAACTGAGTTTTCTTGAACTGCTTCTGCTCGATAGAACTCTGGCTCGACTTTTGCACACGCTGGATAGTGTGGACCCTCTGCTCCAAGGTGAGGAATTTGGCGTCTCCGGGGTTGTTGGGATAGTAGAACCAGGTGACGATGGAAAGCAAGATGGACACTGAACCCGTGATGATCATGAAGAGTTTCCACGGAAGGACATGGCTATGGGTCCAGAGCAGGCCGTACGAGATGAAAGCAGCGCAAACGGGGGCCAATTGTGTCGTAACCCAAAAGACAGGTTGCAGGAATGACTGTTCCTTGCGGTTGAAGAACATTCCGATGGTCATCTCCATGGCAGGAACGACGACGGACTCGCAGGCACCGAGCACGATGCGAAGGACGACTAGGCCGGCAAATTTAGTTGCAACGCAGTGCAGTAAGAGCGCGACACCCCACATGAAAACCAGAACCGCGATGAATTTGCCGAAGGGCAGCTTCTGCATCGCGTAATGCCCTGGCCATTGTGCCGCAAGATAACCTAAACGCGGAGAGGTGAGTGTGAGAGTCTAGGCAGCGGCTTCGAGGAAGGGGGAGAACATACCAACATAGAAAAATGTTCCGAGATCGTTGTACTGAGCTTTGGTGATGCCGGTCTCTTCGAATAAGCCAAGAATGGCGGCATATCCGAGGGTCGATTTATCAATCTTGAAGCATGTCAGCACCTCGCCGCCAATCTGGGATATTATTGCAAGGTCTTACAAAAAGCAACAGATTTATGGCTGAAATCAAACCCATCATATATAAGTAGAGCTTAAACCGCAGCTTTGACTCCTTTTCGGGTGTCAGAGGGCCAACCTGATCACCATACTCCTCGACAAGCCGCAATGTTTCATCAGCATATTTCTCGGAGAGGACTGGCTTTGGACGATCAGCCTGAACAACAGACTGAACGGCCCCTTTTGGTTCTTGGGACTGTGTATCCGACATTTTCACCAGTCTCGCCAAAGATAAGCGAAGGATGCAACCAGACCAATGCAGATGGAAGAGATGTGTGATGATTCAACGTGGCAATGATCAGGGGCTTGCGGGAGGCGGGCGATATTTATAAAACAAAAGCTGCAGAATCCATCTTATCTCCACCAAATAACGCTCTTCGAACAGCATCCACTGATTAAAACAGTTCATCATGCTCTCTCTCACCATCTGCAGCGGCGGCCGGTCGATTTGCGCACGTTTTGGAACCGGAAAGTGGGCAGATCAATCATGGCGCCAAGGGGTGGGCCTCTTGCGTGATGGGATGCATGCGAGTGTGACTGGAAGAATCAGCAAAGACGTCCAAGAATGGAAGATCGAGCTTCTGGATGAGCGGAAACCCGGAGGAATAATGTGTGCTTATTGGCGGCTGGGAGGCAGATAGCCGGGGCTGCCCCTGCGATTCAGACTTCAGAATTGCTAGTTCAGTTAATACAGTGACCTTCAAATGCGTCGATGCGTCTAAATCGGCCCCATCCCGGTGGCCTGGTCCGGGTTTGTCAGACTACTACCGACAGATCGGTGGGAGAAAGACTCGAAATACAAGAAGGAAACTGGCACGTTGATCCGGGTACATTCTTTCGTGAATCGTGATGGTCGCACTTGCAGACATTTTGTGTGAAGTATCCATTACCGTAGCTGGTCTACTCGTCCATATGGAAAGGGATTTGGTATTTCTTTGCCCCATCAACACTGACGAGCTGAGTTGATATGGGTGGGCGAAACATCCGTTCATGCAGCTCTTCAGAGGTTGGATCCATCATAAACCCCGGCTCTGGGTTTAGTGTGTCAAATTCTTCTGGCCGAGACAAGGATCTTGAGCACGCCATCGCCTGGGCTGGCGCTGCATTGCCGTCTTCCGAAGGCCTCCCGCTTCTTGGCCTTCTAGCTTGGTTAGCATCAGCAAGTGACTACGCGATAGCCGGTGGCTTGCAGCTACGGCAGAGCCTCAATTCCGTTGAGCACTGAGCACTCCCAGGGTTCCATTTGGTGCCTACAAGATGGGACTGTGCAGACAAAACTAACATCGGGGTCATGAGCACTATCAGATCCATCCAGAGTCTAGATCAGCTCGAATTTTCTAGCGTGCGGAATGCGACTCTTAATCCGCACGAAGCTTGTCGATGTACAATCATCAAGTTTAAATAAATATTCAAAGTGATCATAGCTGACAATATAGCAAAATGGACTTCAGGGGAATTTCTCTCCATGTTCTCCCGGGAGTATTCGCTTCTCGAGGTATTCTAGAATGCGGTAGATACGAAATGCTAACTATGCCAAACACTCTACGAAGCTGCCAGGCATTAGAGGAAGTAAGTATTTCGAAGAAATACTTCGGGATTATAATATCCTACGTCCAAAAGTGGGTTTTCCTTCCCCTTTTCACCGTGAGTCTCCCACTTTGCAAGCATTTTTCTGACAGCAGTTGTCAACGCGCTCATCTCTTTTGCTCGTGTATTCTCAGTCAATCCAATCCAGCCCCCTTACTCAACCTTCCAATCATGACGCGGTTAAGAAATATGATGCTGAAAGCTCAAAGACCATGAGATACCTAAATCAAGTGAAAGGCGTAAGCTTTCGACTTGTTCGTCCCTCTTATATTCCCGGATAAGCAAATGACCAAGGCTTTAAAAGAGGATATGATAAATTACCTTGAAGCCTAACGCTCTCCCATTAGTTTGAGCAACCTACAATTTGGTAGAGTGAATATAGGTCTATGGTTCCTTTCCGGGTTTTCATGTGCTGCTCTCGCCCATTTCCGTGCTCATCAAGAGAATTCTCATTCTTGATGCTCCAGAAACAAGGTAGCTTCTTTCAGGAATACCTTCAATATGTGGAACATGGCTCTAGGAAGATTCCATATCATGTTCAACGCCTCTTCGGAGGGAGTGCGGGCAGCTTAACGGATCGCTTGAATAAACATATCCGGGCCACTATCTCTTGGCTCGAGCCCGGACATGTTTGAACCATTCACTTGATAGGCGCAAAATCAAATCATAGTATGCATCACAGAGAAACTGTAGGTGCCAAACCGGCGACACCAACAAGAACATTTTTACACTTGACCCTGTATCAGCAGCATACAATAAAATATAGTAGGAACTCGCAACATATCACAGGAATGCCGCGAGTGCATGCCACGGGGAGAGCGCCGTGCCTTGGATATTTACGCGGGTAGATTTCATGACACGACTTGTTCCGATCAAACAGACTAATGATTGAGAATAATTAAAGATGAAACTGCACGTGCCAGGATCCGACCCCATGCATAATAAAGATATTGGTAGCACAAGGATGGTGGTTTTAGCCGCACCGCGCGTGAGTACACCCGTAATTGCTGTTAATTGCTGTGGCTGCCTGCAGTAGAAATACAGCCACGTTACAGCTGACGTAGTGCTCAATCAATCATCAATCCACCGCCGCGTTCTGCCATCTCCATCTCCAAAACACGGCCAAACACCTCTCATCAATCAATCAATCAATCAACAGCCGAGCAGTGCAGACTCTCATCCACAGAGACTCTCATCCTCAGATAGCAGGCTCATCCACAGAGAGCAGTGCAGCCAGCATGGACAAGTACGAGGACCAGACCATCATCCTGCCCGATGGCAGAACCCTCGCCTTCGCCATCTACGGCGTCGACGACCTCACAGCCCCCGTCATCTTCCACCTGCACGGCTTCCCAGGCTCGCACCACGAGGCCTACCTGCTGAACGAGGCCGCCACCCAGCACGGCGTGCGCCTCATCGCGCCCTCGCGGCCCGGCAGCAGCAAGTCCACCTTCCACTCCAACCACACCATCATCAACTACCCCGAGGACATCCTCGCCCTGGCCGACCAGCTCTCCATCCGCCGCTTCGCCATCATCGGCGTCTCGGGCGGCGGGCCCTTCGCCATCTCCTGCTACCGCTCCCTGCCGCGCGACCGCCTCGTCGGCATCGGGCTCGTCGCCGCCCTCATGCCCAGCTCGCTCGGCCTCGAGGGCATGATGCTGTCCACCCGCGCCCTGCTGTGGATCGCGCCGCACGCGACGGGGCTGGTGAGCCGCGTCTTCGACGGCATGCTGGGGTCCAAGGCGCGCGACATGGACCACCCCGAGAACCTGGAGAGGACCATGGACGAGGACTTTGAGCGGCGCCCGGCCATTGACAGGGACCTATACAAGTCGAACCCCATCGTGCGCGAGGTCATGGTCCGCTCGGTGAGGGAGGCGATGCACGGTGGCTCGTACTCTGCCGCGTGGGAGGCGAGGCTGCTTGGGAGCAGCTGGGGATTTGATCTGGAGGACGTCAAGGTGGACGAGGGGCGGTTGATTATCTGGCATGGCGATCAGGATGTCAACGTGCCTGTTGCGATGGCGGAGAAGGCGGTTGCAAGGATGCCTGGCGCTGAGCTGAGGAAGCTGGAGGGTGAGAGCCATATGACTATCACGATGAGGGCGGATGAATTCATCAGAGAGGTGAAACGGATGCTGGAGGAGTAAAGATCTAGAGATGACATGAATGATAAATACCCCCAATCACGACCACGGAGATTTGGCAGATGAAAGAGCGAGCAGCGAAGGAAGAAAGCTATAGTAGGACAATTATCCGCGAGATCACGAGATTGCTATCGAATCTACATCTATGATCGATTATCAAGGCTAATGAACAAATATCCCCCGAGCAATTCATAAATCATTATCCCTCAAACATCGCTATCATACACGCTTGCTAATCTGAGATTCTATGGCCAGGAATGACCGACCTATAGAAGATCCTCGGGAAGTTAAACATGTAATTCATAGACTCACAGCAACCCCATTAGCACGGCGTCCTCTCCTGAGTAGGTAAGCGATAGGTATCTAGGTATCTCGATACTGCATGTTATCACGCTCCGTATCAGCCGAAAGAAATTACCCAACAAGGGAATCCAACTCCAGGGATGGGGTAGGGGGGCAGATATCACACAGACCGAGTTCTTCGTAGCATAGAAGGCCCGGCATGGAAGAGGTGTGAGAGCGTAAGACATCCGACTTGTCTGGTCTATCACGTAGGCCCGGAGCCAGACGGCGAGCCACTTCCGCAACGGCATCTTGGCTCGGTTGTTGCCCGCCGTCTTCTTGCCAGCCGGGTTGTTGACCTGGCGTCTCAAAATTCACCTTAGTAACATGGCCCCCTCGTGAGCTTGACCGCCGGCTTGGACAACTCGGGAGCGCCCGAGATGTGCACAAAGGTAAAGCCAGCGCCATTCGGCGATTGGTCCAGACTATTCCTGTCCTGGGCATCGTTATTGGTGAGGATGAAGGCCTTGCTAGCCATGAGATCCGAGAAGGGCGTGTTAATGTTAAGGAGCGCGTCAGATGGCTAGGCTGGGTGGGTCGCAGGTAATAATGTCACCTCTTCATTGGACACGGAACGAGAGGACAAATGACGACGCGCTGAGACTGATGGAAGTGAGGACATCAAACATCCCAGTCGTGGTCCACCAGCTGGATGGGTTTTTCAGCTGCCCTATACCATCCATCTCTCCATTTTGGCGCGGTGAATTGATGGATGTAGAGGAGAGTTGCACGAGATGTGAAGAAAAATAAACGATTATTTACCTAACTATCTCAAATTAAAGAAGAAGGGGAAAAAAGGTCTATATCATTCTGCTTTTGCCATAGGCGCTATCGATAATTGGTTTTCGAACGTCAGAGTATGTCCGTATCAAACAACAACTCCATTCCATGGATAACGGAGGCCAGGCGAATGCAGTCACTTTGATTCATATTCTTTCTCCTTTCCCATCTCTCCTGTTTGACAAGATTCTGAAATTTCTCCGATTCTGCTTTGTCCTCGCAATCCGGTTGAAGGCAAAAAGAAAAGAGAGCAAAAATGTGGTTTCGCCCGGGCTCGAACCGGGGACCGTCTCGGAAGTAACAGAATATGTTAGCGAGAAATCATGACCAACTAGACCACGAAACCTGAGAATGTACAGATGACTGTTCTGGACATCTGCTCTATCTGGGAAAGATCGGCGTCCCGACAACCAATTGCCCACCAAGATGCTGTCTCAGATCCGTGACACGAGGGGATCTTGCTTTTTGAACACCTCGCGGTCAAATTGGTTGGAGAACTGAACCGAGTAGATGTACCATTCTCTTCGCGCCGCTTGTTTACCGTTGTTCAGCACTAGCCAACTTCCCAAAACACACTGGGAGGAGCCCGATCACTTCACCCTAATTGATGGACCTAGTACAAACTGGTGCTATGCTGATCCTCTTCGCGGAGAAATTCGTCACATGCGTCAAGTCGATTCCACTTGTGGAAAGCTGAAAAGGAAAGGTTTGGCCATACCAAAGGCAGGAATGCATTGCAGGCCTGGACCCCGGCTGAGTTCCAACATGTCGACCAATGCCGTTCGCTGCCCGTACCGGCTTGCCAGCCTTGCTCCAGGTGGTGGAGGTGTGGGGATGATCTGGGTTTCTGTAGCTTCAGGCCGGTCTTTGCTAGTTTACCAGCCGCAAGCTGGTAGTGGGCCGCGGCAACTGGCAGGCAAACCGGTATTGCTCCCCAGATGGAACCTGGATCCCGTGGGGAACGTGGATTGGGGGAGTGTCTACGGCAAATGGCTGTCTATCAGGCATTTGATGTCGAGGAGTGGACATACTGGTGGTTGTCTAACAAACCTAATCCAATGTGAACGGATCTCGTATTGGCTTGAGGAGCTAGGTTACTGTTTGTCAGAACATAGCGCTGTTGATTCTTGCATAAACGGGTGCGATCGGCTAAAGCGCTCACGTGGCGCTCCAGTCTGCTTTACACGAGCGGGTGGCGCTCTCCATCTTGCGGATCTGACGGCAACGGATCTCACGGATCGGGTGGGATTGCTGGGTAGCAATGGCAAGCTCCTCGATATCGTGCTTGTCTCAGGAGCAAGAAAACATGTTATGGGACAGCTCATTCTAGTTTGTAAAGATGAACTTGATCAATCTTGATATTAATACACGTGGAATCGACTGTGTGACTATCTTCGCTGCTTCTGGTATAACAATGTGATGCACGACAAATGAAAATACACCACTCTAGAGCTACGCTTCACCATGTCTTCAACACCCTGGGACAGACTACTTATTCGAAGGTGGGGCCTCGAACGGACCAGCTCCAGCAGAGCCAGTATTGCCGCTTAATTCGGCTGGCCCGTCATAGTTTTGCGTAGGCATCTCATGAATGGGTGCGGGTGCTTGCCATTGGTGAGCGTACGGGCCAGGAGGAGGGGAGACACCATGCACTGGAGAAGGACCCTGCCCATATGAGGACATCTGAGAAGGCGAGCCTGGCCCGGGGGGAGGATACCCCGACGGATAGGGAGGCACCGCCGTCCCGGTAGGAGAGGTAGGGCCGTATCCATTGTGAGGAGAGCCGTAGGTTGGTGCGGGAGAAGACCATTGAGATGTGACGGCAGGCGATCCAGTTTTTGGAACCTCGGAGGTCTGGGCAACCTGCGATACGGGCTGCTGAGCTTGAGCTCTTCGCTTCCTCCGCCTCATGAGCCACCATACGAAGAATCCGATGAGGGCAAGGGCCACCACACCGCCGATGACTGGCCCGGCGATCCAAGCCTGGCTTGAGGAGGGGGAGGGGGTTGGCGAAGGAGGTAGAGTGCTCGTGGAAGTTGAAGTCATGGATTCAGAGCTGGAGGAGGTGGTGGTCTCCCCGGATGTGATCGGTGGAGGGTTTCGATATATTGTGGCTGGTAGAGCGCTGCCGCATGCGATCCACGTCTCGGTCGACGCAGCATTAGTGCTGAGCAGGAGTCTCATGCTACCGCACGTAGTCGGATATGTACTGGAGGGAATATTAGCTGATGCCGCTTCCTCTTGAATTTGAAGACCTAGCATACCAGGCGACTGATGTAGTACCAAAGAGGGCGAACGAATCTGAACATGCCGTCACGGGAGTCGATGCGTTAGGGGGATCCAGGCCTGGCGAGGAACACAATACCCGTCCGCTGACATCAATTGGGGTTCGTCCTGGGTTGCAGTACATTGTTTGGTCTTATTATGAATGAGTTAGGGCCAGAATAGGACCAGTAGGGCGTATTGAGACTTACACTGGCCGTTCGTAATGAAAATTCCCACCATCGATTCCACATCACGCTCTTCGAGTAAAGGCACAGAAGTCGCCATGGGCTCGGGGAGCTGAGGAATAATGTAGAAAGCATTGCTGGCTTTGGCGGCCAGTAGCCACAAGCCTGACCTGACTAGGGACGGCATATCGAAAGTGTTGTCGATACAAGAGGCGAGATTGCTGCTCTGTTTCAAGAGGACGGAGAGTTCGTATATTCGAAATGTGCCTGACAGCTCAACCTGAATTGGAGGTGACCAGGGAGCTGGGTCATTAAATCAGCCACGGTATCCGAGCCGAGCTGCTGATGCAAGAACAGCTCTGTTCCAAGAGGGGCCTAGGATCGATTCCATGGCGTTCCCGACAGACCGTGTGGCGTGAAGGTTTATCGAGACCGCCCAGACTATGCTAATTTGGAAGTTGGCTGTTCAGCTGAGATGGAGACCGAGACCCATCCACGGCTGACCCGAACCATTGCTAAAACTGTACTCTGTACTGGCTTTCATCGGCCGGTGATCGTTGACCCCGAGGCCATTACAGTACAGTGTCTTGATCGCGTGATTTGATACGAGCCACTCTACAATCCGGTACATTAGAGTATCGGGTTATTTAATCCGAATTGGAATAAACCTATTACCAAATTGATATGCCAATTCCCAATTCACAATAGGGAACGCTGTGGCCATCTGAATACGACACTAACCCCAGCCATGACGACGCTTGGAGCTGGCCCCATTGTCACTGGCTGATTCCGAGCCATCGACGAGTAAGCCATAGAATAATCATAATTTAATCTTTTAAGGCTGAGCCTAGTGCTTAGAGCCAATGTTTCAATTGGACAATACCGTCTTTTAGGATAAGATGGGTGTGCACCCGTTTTATGGGGTTCGAAAATATATCATTTTGTACCAAGTACTGTCTGGTATTTGTCATTGATGGGTTTCTTCCGTTGGATAAATAATAATCCCGAAGAACGCTAATAAAGACTGCAAGGCTCGCGTGGGTGCGTGAGGGCATCACGGCTGGAATGTTCACGACAATGGGAGCTTTGGGTGATAGAAATCTCCAACCCCATTATTATTCTGGAATATTTGCCATTTTGTGTTGGTATTAATCTATGAGAGAAACTGGGAAATAATTGACCAATTGCCGGCCGGTTAAGACGACCTAGACTGCGCTTCCTCTTGGGTCGGATCACAGTTGGTATGCAGCAATGCTGTTAGTGCTTGGCCTACTCCTACTCTGAGTGAAGATCTACTGCACTACCAGCCTGGATAGATCTACTAACCTCCACAATCCTTCTAGGCCCCGAAGATGTTTAATCCTCTATTTACTTCTATCAGGGCTACGGTCACACCGACGGGTTAGTGCGGAATACTGGAAATCTGGAAATCGAACGGGTTCCATACATGCATGGTAAACAATGAACAGAGTCATGAGATGGAATGACGGCAAACTTCTGCGGTGAAGCCGAATGAGATATGATGTATCTAGAAGAGTCAATTAATCGGGATTGCAACGTCGTCGTTCATTATGTTCCAGGCACTATCACAATAGATCCTATGAAAAGTGGATTTTGAAAAATGTTTTTTTTTTGTTAAACAGAAAATCAGATAAATGGTCATGAAAAAGATAAAAAGCTATGTAAAATCTGTTTCGAGTATTTTCAAGCTTATTGTTTGGCTTTCGTGGAAACATTTAAACGGCATGTTCGAAATTTAGGCCAGGCCAACCCGCCTGCCCATGGCATTGAAACGTAGCTGCGTGAAATTCATACCAAGATATCAAGATGACTTCTTTCCAAAGAGGTCGCCAATAATAGGAATCTTGTCCAAGATACTGCCGTCAGTGCCACCGATCAGGTCAGAAAGGCCAGGGATGTTGTCCAGGACACTCTTGACAGAAACATTCAGGACACCATCAGTACCATCACTAAGGGTGCTGGAGAGGCCAATGTTGCCCAACAGGTTGCTGACAGTTCCTGTTAGAATACTCTTTAGTCCGTCAATAGCGCCAGAGAGAGCTGGGAATTGGGTTGCGAGGCCGTTGACAGTCTGGTTAAAGATACCACCCAGGAGCTCACTGACAGTGCTGTTCAGGATGTCGCTAAGACCAGGAATGCTAGTGATCAGGCCGTTGTTGAGGATGGTATCCAAGCCGGGGATATTGCTGAGCAGATCTTTGACAGTCGAATTGAGAATACCATCAATTCCACCATCAAGTATGCTTGATAGTCCGGGAATATTATCCACCAGACCGCCAATTGTCACGTTTTGAGCACCGTCAAGGTTTCCATTGGACACACCAGACAGCCCGGGAATCAGGCTCAACAGGTCTTTGATAGGCACGTTCAAGACGCCGTTTAATCCGCCGCTGATTCCAATCTTGATGCATAGGTCGTTGATAGTGAGCTTGAGAATATCGCTCAGGCCGGGAATCAGATTGATGAGAGATCCAATGATACCTCCGAAGTAATCGGATAAGCCGGGTATTTGTGCTAGTATGTCTTGAACTGTGCTATTGCCAATGGCAGCCACATCAAGAGTGACTCCAAAGCTTGCCACTAGCTCAGCAATTGTGCTGTTGAGAATGCCATCCAGGCCGCCATCAAGAAGGCCTGTGCTGGTCACAACGTCTCCAACGGTAGTATTGAGAGCGCTGTTGAGATCAAAATCGCCGTTGAGGGTCGTGTTGAGACCAGGAACGTTGTGTGCAATATTACCGAGGGTGCTGTTGAAAAGACCATCGACGCCGCCACCCAAAATGCCATCAAGGCCTGGGATTTGGGCTAATAGATCAATGACACTGCCATTGAGGTAGCTATCAAGGTTTCCATCAAGAACATCTCCGAGGCCAATTTTGTCTAGGAGATCTCCAATGGTACCATTGATGATACCATCAAGACCGGGGATTTGTCCCAGCAAATCCCCAAGACTGCCTGTGGATCGATCCTCGACTAGGACAACACCGATGTCCTTGTGAGAGTCAAGCACGTCCCGCGTGAGAGGAGCAGCCCAGCTGCTGGTGGCTTGCACAGCAAGTGCCACTGAGACGGAAGAGAGGACGCGCATGGTTATGCTAAGCCGCTCGCAGCTTCAAGTGAAAGAATGTGTGTGTGTCTAGAAATGAATGAATGGGCGAATGAAGGGAGAGGATGAGCCTCTGAAAAGGAAGGGAATGATAGGATGGTTGAGGTAGAGGGAAAGAGACGACAATACGACGATTTAGCATTGATTTTATAATTCCGACAATAATTCAAGGAGACGAGCATTATCAACATCATCACACTTGGAGTCGCATCATAATTCACAAAGAGGGGAAATGTCTTGAGCACAAGCCCGCTCCCGGTGACGTCTAACATGATGCCTTCCTCATTCGTGCAATATGCCACCAGAGTTGTTTCGCGGGATTGCCAATCCTGGGTGATTTGCTCCAGGGGTTTGCCTCGATGTTTGGTATTGGGCCCAAAACGAGGCCAGCCCCTTGACTTGAAACAGCACCAGCGGCTTGCATTGATGAGCACAAAACACTTGTTGTAGTGTAAATTTGAAGATCCCTGCGACGACTAGCCATTCAGAACCCACTTTCCTCCGTGGGGAATGACAGCTTCAGACAGCTTCAGACCGAGGGGCTGGTTAAAGGAGTCCAGTTTAATGCGTAGACGCACTTTTGACAGCAGCTAGCCGCCTTGCCCGCCCACACTACGCATCCGGCCCTATCGTTCGCTTGATTCTTGATCCCTGCCATGGCAGATCTTTGATCGATAGAGTATGATATGCGCAAAGGGCCGATGCCGGGGCTGGGCTGGGCTAGTTTTTGCATTGCGATGCTACGGAAAATCGCAATCAAATCAGACCATTGTTTCCATGGGCACCTTCCTAGATCATCCATCGCTCCAAGATCATTAAGACGTCATGCTCTATCATTGATAACCATCATAGCTGGATATGTTTTTTCTGTGGCCATAGCTGGGAGAGTCTACTATTAGTTACCAGATCCGCCAGCATGGTAGGGGCCAATAACTGGTACGACAGACTTCTTTGGCTTGGGAAATCACCAATAGGTTTCATTTTTGAGGAATTCGTCCAAATATTCTTAATGATTGCACCATTTACTTTTCCCCTGGCAATCAATGCGGAAAGGCTCCCACATCCCATGATACACCAAACGCACAGCCAAGACTCTCGCCATCTAGCGTCAAACAGGACCTTGTAACCCTGAGCTATCTCCACAAGTCTGGATTTTGACCTGTTAGGTATCAGTACTGCTCTTCAATCTTTTGAACTAGGGAAAGCGCACGAGTAGTCTTCTAGCATTGATACGTTGATTAGGCTTTGATGGCTCGTGAGAGACCGAAAGCCCTGGCCATTTGGACCTTCGCGTCTCAAGTCTGAGGATGGCTGGCCGATCTTGTCTGCTCCCAGCCAAGTTAGTCTAGGGGATGTATCTCATGTGCGAATTGGCGACGGAACCGTATCGGTCCATAGCGAGTAAATCTTAGCCTCCATTTGCAGTATTGTACAACCCATCAGGCACTTACAAGGCCAAGTGGGGAGACACATGGATCTAAGCCATGTCAAATTTGTCAAATTGAAAGCTGATTACAATAGGCAGATGCATTGATCTAATCAGAATAAAGCCCTTTTTATGAGGAGCTCTGAATCTGCAAGTGCGACATCCACAATGAAATCTATGAAAGATGAGCCTTTGGCCAAGGTTCACGTTCTCGCTAACTGGGTAGATATGGCTCCCGAAAGCTTCTAGACTGCACAGTCTTGCGTTATCGTAATGGATGATGAATATGGAGTTGGGTAAATAAAGCTCCCGAAATATAGTCGGTGATCGCAGAATACCAACAGAACTGCCATTGAAGACTTTGTTTCCAGATGCTCACATATTGCGTTTGGCTTCTCTCTTGGATGCTAGGGAACTGCAACTACAACAAGCGTGTCCCCTCTGGTTGAGGGGACACGACAAGTGGAATGAGTAATATAAGTGATTATATAAGGTACAGGATACAGCTCTTGGATAAAGTAATTCTTAGACCCCCAAGGGGCCCCTGTGATATCGTCGCGTTGTTGGTTCTGCTTGGGAAGTCCGAGCTTGCCAGGCGGGCCAGACTAAGGGATGTCACGGGATACTGGGATACTGGAAAACTTATTTGCTCAGACTCAGTTCATCCTACTGATTGAAATGGAAAGGTCTCCGAACCCCTGTATTTCTCCTGTAAGACATCGTAGTGTTGGTCTCCCCTGCATCCTTAAGACTTGGCTCACCCTGGGCCAGGGGAGGAACCCCTTGCTTTCTCATGAATCTACTCGACTCAGAGTAAAGAGAGCTGGAATGGAGGTTGCGAGTCTACTTGATGAATTTGGTCGGAAGCGATTGTGGTTGTAATTCTGGGTTATTGTGAGTTCTCCAATGTGAAGGTCCTTTTGTTAGCAATATTGACACATTGGATATTATCTACTATATTAATTGTAGCGACTTATCTCTCTTGGCTACGTGCTACGCTTCTCTCGTACCGATAAACTTGTGATTTCGAAGTACACGCTAAACGAGGTCCGCATGAATGCAAATGGCGGTGTCGATTTGAGCGATGGAACGAGGCTTCAGTTCTTGCGGGCGAATCGTGCCGTCTCGGAAGTTTAGGAAACTTAGACAATTGGTGGAGAAGAATGATTGGCTCCCGAGATATTGTTTTAGGAGCGCAAGACAGAATTGCCTGTCAGCTATCAAGAGACAAGCGGAAAGGGCAGCATGGATCAGCCGAGCTGTTACCAAGAACGTGTACCCCACAAACCTTGACGCTCCTGACCCGCAGCTACAGCCGATATACCCGCTCATTTCAACGGTGTTTGATATGCTGGTGTCTCGGTTCCCTTGCGGATATACTGTACTTTGTGATGGAATTTTGAAAAAAGTGAAGAGAGATTTCTTCGCGAATGTAGACATGGATAATCAACCTGCCTGTCCTATACAAGGAGGTAGGAGCCGTCAGTTGTAGCAGACGATATATGACGGTATTGTAAACAACGATAAATAATGCCGCACCGCCGTTACTCTCCCAGGCCGGATGACGCGGCCGCCTAGAAGGACAACGCTCTGGAACATCTGGAGCTGAAAAGGTTGTCATTGTCGAGATCTACAATGCTATAAAGGGAGGGCCGGCCCTCCAAAAGCACACCGCTCCGGTGAAACCTTGAACTTGGAGAAGTGTTATTTTCTATCCAAACCATACTTTGTTTGACGATGGTCCAACTCTATAGTATTTTGGCACTAGGTCTATCCCTAGTATATACTGCCTCGGCGGCTTGCAACTATGGAACTGCAGACTTCCCTCGGGAGCCTAATGTTCCCATTGGCGCTTTCGGATATACAGGTCTTGATGGTCCTCTGAACTGGTACTCTCTCAACAAGTCAGCGAACATACTCTGCGCGGAGGGCCACTTTCAGTCACCTATCAATCTCAACTCTTCCATTCCTGTTGCTCCGGGAAATCGTAGTCTCACTCTCAACATCACGAGCTACGCGGAGGGTGCCGAGTTCGAGAACCTGGGAACGACTCTTGAAGTGCCTGCCAATGGTACTTTCACAACAGCGAACAACACGTACAACCTGGCGCAATTCCACTTCCATACCCCTAGTGAACACCGGATTGACCTAGAATATTACCCCATGGAGCTCCACTTCGTTTTCCAGGCAGCAGGTCAGTATCCCCTTTGCGCATTTCTAGCATAGCTAATTGTATTTCCAGACAAGTCCATCGCTGTTGTCGCGTTTGTAATTGGGCTAGGCCCTGCTGATCCTCTTCTTACGTCTGTGTTCGAGTATGCTGTTGGGGCTGCCACACCAGGGGAAGCAACACTCACAGGCCCCTTGGTGTTCGCAGATCTCGAGGATCACTTCAGCTCTAGCAATGTGTTTGAGTGAGTGAGTCGCTAGCATGAAAGAACGATTGCCTGCTAACATTATCTAGATATTCTGGCTCTTTAACTACACCTCCGTGTTCAGAAAACGTGCTCTGGTACGTCAGCGCCCAGCCTTTGACGGTTGATCAGGGCACATATACAAAAGTGAAAAGGATATTGAAGTTCAACTCGCGATACACGCAAAATACTCCTGGAGGCATGGATCTTCTCCAGAACAGTGCGAATGCCATAAATTCCTAGCTGCAAATCCGAAAAGTACGATTATTCTTTCTCAAGTCGCTCATTGGTATTGGGAAATGGTATTTCCGAGTGAAAATGGTCTGTATTCTATCGAATGAATCAAGTATCTTAGCTGGAGGCTGGCCATTCGGATACCGCTGGCCTCATGAGGCCCTCTGCACGATACTTATTGATCCGACGGACAATCTCCTCACAGTCTTTCCAAATGCGCTTCCTGTTTCTCAATCCCTTGAGATGGTCAAAGTTATGTGATAAGGTGCAATATAAGCCAAACCAGTCCACCTCGTCCGGCCCGCGGGGGAGCTTTTGCGGGGGGATTGGCTTTCGTGACTCTTTGTACTCGGCCTCCTCTTTAGTAATGCAATCTCTGAGGCCGTTTATTTTAGGGAGGTTCAGTTCAGAATCGACGCCTGATATAATAGCATCTTGTAAGCTGCGAATATCTCGCTCAAGTTTCGCTTTACGCTTTTCCCAATTCGTGTCTCTCAATCTGAGCTCCCAACTTTCGAATCTGGCGTAGATTGAGTATGGATAATCACACCATATTTCCCACAGCCATGGACATTTCCTATGAATGAAGTCTCGATAGAAAGATTGGGGAAGATTATGAAAGGTTCGGGAGACTAGTCGTAGATTTGCAAAGTCAGAAGCGTTGAGTAAACTAGCAAGTTGAAGGCGGATTTCCATGGGGAGACGACTCAGAGAGTCGCTACTTTGACCTCCACCGGGAGCGGCTGGGCTGATATGAAAATAATTCGAAAGGACGGTTTGATTAACGGTTACTGAGGCGATTATAGATGGAAGGGCTGGCACAAAGCAAGAGTTTGCTGCTAGGAATTCACTAGCTGAGAGATGAAGCCAGAGTTGGTCCTGCCCATTCTGCCAGTATCGCTGGGCCTTTCTCACTAAAGGATGCCGTGGAAATTCATGGTAGTGCCTTTCGTCTTTTGCCTCAAGCCGATACCAATCCATGAGGCTTTGGTTGTCGATGTCGGCTCGATAGAACGCAGATACCCGTCTGAAAACTTCAAGACAGGTGGGATGAAACGGCATCGCAGCCTTCTCTGCATCTTCTGAGTTGCTGAACCAATTCCTGGCGTAAAGGAGGCCAGGCAATTCTCGACCAAGGGGCCACGTGCTATACACATAGCCTTGACTTGGCATGATGTCTGATATCCCACTGAGATAGAAGTCTTGATCCGGCACGGACTCTCTGGTATTGACCAGCCTCATTAGCAACTGTCGTCGCCTTGGCTTAGGAACAAAGCATTGGAATGTACAAGACCCTCGAATCTCCTCTGTAGTTATGGTGTAGCCACTGTAACCGCCAGGTTTGGAGCATGCGGGCCCAGAAATATGCTGCTCGTCTGAAGTGTAGCGCCGCCATTTCACCTTCGAGATGGGCTCCATAGATTCGACAACGAGTTGACGGATGTCTGAATCGGAGGGGGTCTCTATGAGATTAGCTAGATGACAGCCTTTCCCACATGTCCCTTTTGCCTGAGCACGCAATTCTTGAGTATTCCGTAACCACTGCGTATCAGGAATCTTTGCCGTGGCTTCACCCTTGGTTGGGTAGCGGCCGATGTTGAAGCTAACGCCGCAAATCTGGCAACAGACTTCCAGATGTGTCATGACGGTTTGTGTGGGCTTAACCAACCCCCTCAAATGTATGTGCTCAGTTCTGGGTGCTGCGCGAATATTCACGAGATTTGGGGAGAATAATGAACAGTTGTGGACTTTGTGTCTCTGTCAGCAGTGAGTAATGGGACTTCATTCTAATTTGAGCCACGGCACAAGGGGCGATAAGATAACTAGTTTCAGTGCTGAGGCAGGCCTATTCGGGCTAGTCGCCTGGGAAGAATACCCTGGAAACCTAAGAGGTATCTTGCCGAAAGACCCGGGTTGATAGAGCAAATTCGTCAAGTTAAGGCTGCAGAACAGAAACCCGGGATAGAATAGACATCAAAACTCAAGCGGTTCCCAGAGGATCGTAGCTTGATAATATTTTATTTTTAACGCGTATTCAACTTGCTTGACGTGAGATGGCAATAGAAATTGTTCCGTTGTTTTGTTGTCCTTTTGCAACACCGTCGAGTTCTATTTCTGACATCTCTTTTCTATATTGGCTATGATGCACTCTTCTCTTGCTAGCTGTCTAGGAGAGTAGCCACTGAAATCCGGCAATCATGTCTTCTGAAAACTTTTTACTGGCACTCATTTCAGGCCAGTTCGTCCAAAACATATGCCCATAACCAGGGTATAGCTCGACTCGTGTCTCGACACCATGCTCTTTTCGGAGGATTTTATCGTATATCAGATTATGGTCCCTCAAGGGATCCAAGCCCCCGACCTGTATGAATGCCTTTGCAAGAGATCCTGTGCTTCCTGCCTTGATGGACGGGGGATAGTAAGCGGCCGCCATAGGAGAGAATAGCGGCGAGTGTATATCGGCGCCAAATAATCCGACCACGAGACCAAGTTCTCCTTGCTTACTCAGCCCGGAAAGAACAGGATCATTGGTGTTCTCGGATGGCGAGATGTACTCTTGCCGGTACTTTTCTGGGACTTGGTTGAATGGCACTAAATAAGCTGCAGACAGCCACTGGCCCGTGATGGGAGGCGACAGGCTCTCCTTTTGCGACCGCAGTGCCATGATAGCCGCGATGTGTCCTCCGGCAGACGATCCGCCGACGATGAATCCTTTCTGGAGGTCCGCACCCACCGAAGAGCTATTGCGAGTTATCCAGTTTATGACACTCCAGCTATCTGAAATTGCTGTCGGGAATTTATGCTCTGGCGCTAACCTAATAGTCAATCAGCACATCATACGAACGAGAGGTCTCCGCTTGTAAGGTCACATACCTGTATTCCACATTGAGACACACGAAGCCAAGATCCCTCGTTAGACGTCGTGCGTTGAACTCTTCGTCGGTGGCATCCCCTGCCGACCACCCTCCCTCGTGGAATAATACGGCTACAGGATGTGTTTGGTCTGCAGATTGTGCCGGGCGATACACGTAAACAGGAATGGGGAATCCGTCTTCCGCCTCGACGGATATCACTTGCTCCGCTACAAGGTCCGGGATTGGACTAGGGACTGGCATGAGATGCCTCAGCCTCTTCAGATGATCCGCCCGAGCGTTCCGATGAGCGATGGGGTCGTGGGCTGGGAGCTCGGGCATGGGCTGATGAGCCAGGGACTCTACCATCTCTGGAGCCATCTTGTTCGACTGGCGGAGCTCTTCTAATGTTAGGTCCATGATGGTGGATGGGGGATCTGCTGGAAATAGCAATGTGGAGATAAATGTACGTTGGTGTTCGTTGAAATGTGAGATGTCGGACGCAGTTGTTTAACGTAAATCCCGCGCGGGGTCGATTTGTGTAATGTGTCAGCACATGGCGATAATTATTAAGCCTCCTGTTCTGTTCTTTTATCCCAAGATAAATCCAAGTGTTATAATTGTTATCATAACTAAAGATTGTGCTAGCCACTTGAATTATTTATCCTCTCCCTATAACAATTATTTCTATGGCTGAGAAGCCTCCCGCCACCTTTCTACTGTCCCTTGATGATATCCGCCGCCTTCTCAGCAACAGCATAGACAGCTGACATGTTGTTGCCCCGGGGAACAGTAGGGAAAATACTCGCATCGACGATACGTAGGTTCGTTGTGCCGTAAACCTTGAGCTTCGTGTCAACCACGCCGCCCTTCTCCTTGGGCAACATCGCGGCCGTACCGCAGGAGTGGTAAGTGGTTGTGGCGGTGTCTAGAATGTAGCGCTTGGCACCCTCCAGAGTGCCGATGTGATGAGAGTCTGGGTGATTGCGCTTGCCGTCCGGCTTCAGGTATGCAGAGAGCTCCTTTGTATGACGGAGCTCTTCGATTGCCATGAGGTGGCGGGCAAAGACTTCGAGGTCAGCAGGGTGTGAGAAGAACTTGGGATCAATCTTTGGCATGGCAGCAGCGTCGGCGGAAGTGATGTGTGAGTTTCCCCTTGAGAAGGGATGCGAGAGGAAGCAGCCGAGACTAGCAAAGTTCTGGGGAAGAAGGGTGTCTCCAACGAAGCTCTTGGCGCCCTCGTGGAGGTTCGCCTGAGCCAAGAACATGAACCAGGTCGCCGTGGCCTCATTGGGCTTCTTGTGGATGGCTCTGACAGTGTCAATGAACTCCTTGTCTTCCGGCTTGACGGGTGTATTATCAAGAATCTCGGCTATGTCGTAATCGATGGGCATCAGAGCGTTGGACTGGGTGCCACCGAAACATAGAGGGCCTTTCTGTTCTGCATACAGCTTCTGGGCGGCCTCGAGAGCAGAGGGTTCTTGTCGCATCAAAGGATCACCAGTGACAATACCTTCGTTAACCTCGTAACTAACGCCGGTCATCAGGTGGTCCTGGAGGTTCTCACCGACTCCTGGAATCTCCAGGAGCTGCGTGATGTTGTGTTGTTTGAGAATCTCACTCTGGCCAATTCCTGAGATCTCCAATAGTTTAGGTGTATTAAATACACCAGCAGCGAGAACTACCTCCTTGGAAGCGTGGAAAGTCTGGACCTGACCATCTAAGACAGCTTCGACCCCTGTGGCATTGAGACCGGCATCTGACTGGTCGAACAGAATCTTTTGGGCCAGAATTCCGGTAATCACCCGGACATTGGGTCTCGTCTTTAGAGGAGCACCGTAGGCTGAGGCTGCGTAGCTGCGAGTCTTGGTGTCCTGGTCGACAGTCGCGCCATTGCTGTAGCCACCCACAGCGACGCCGGAGAAGGGATCTATGATTTTGAGTTAGCTTTGCTCTATTGCTGGGACCTTGGACCGTTCACTGGACTCAGACATACCATCGGAAATGGTCTTGTTCATGCCGCGGAAAGCATCAACCCAAGCCTTGATGAGAGGATTTTCCTTGGAACCAGGGAAAGAAATCTTCAAGGGACCGTTGGAGCCGTGTAGATCCTTCTTGAGCCACTCTAAGCCTAGGTGATCCGATGTCTCTTGATCGACTGGAAGCTGGAGACTGAAGGGCTTTCTAACGTAGTGACCCATTGAGTCCCAGCCCCAGTCAGGGTTGCCGAGGGAGGCCCAAGAGTCGAAATCAGCAGCACTGGGGGCGACATATGTCTGGCCGTTGACGGCCGTTGAGCCACCAAGAACTTTTCCCTGGGGCTCTCTGATTGACCGCCCCCCAATACCAGGCTGAGGGGTGGACTGGTAGTGCCAGACGGCATCGGACGACATGAGAGTCGTCCATAAGGCGGGGATATTGACGCGGGGGTCGTCACTCATGTCGGCCCCGGCCTCGAGAATGACGATGCTAGTCTCAGGGTTCTCGGACAGACGATTAGCGACGACTAGGCCGGAGGTGCCACCGCCCACGATGACGTAGTCAAAGGTTTGTTGTTGGGAAGCCATGATGAACGAGAATGAATCAAATTCTGATGTGTTGTTGTGGAGTGGTGGAGATGGACAAGGCAGAGAAGAGAAAGTGGACCGATAAACTTGACTAGTTGACGTTTATATGATCTTGGGACTACTCACTTCACCATCCCACTGTCGGAATAACGGCTCTGGCTTATGGTCGCTGTTGGTTGCAGTGTTGGCTGATGCTCATCAGTTACAGGGGTCGCATGCATAAGTCGTAGTAGTGCCTGGCGAGGCGTACAAGCCCCCCCACGTAGCAAGACCTTTTGCAATAGGATGGAACAACCAACCAACAATACAAGTCCACTGGCGCATGATGCAAGATGCTGACTACATATACAGAGCTGCAGTTGGCACCATCTCTTTATGCAGTCTTCTACTCCACTTCACAGCTCACCGCCGGCATGTCACCGAGCAACCACCGACACAGTAACGTCGTAGTGGGAACCAAAGTCTATTGTGATTTTCTACTCGACAGAGGAGACCCTCCTCATACCATGAGGGAAGCTCTAGATGCTGTTTGTATCAACGGCAACAAGTATATACTGACCATCCATATATTGCATACCCAAAATGTCTTTCTGTCTGCTGGCACACTTCTGAGCAAAATAAGGTTTATAGATATATTTAATTTATTAGCTAAAGCTATAGAAGTATAATTAGTCTTTGATCCTCCAGTGATCTATATTGAATTACTGCCTCCTTGCTTGTGACAATTTGACGTATTGACCTGCTACTTCGTCAACCATCTTCTCAAAATTTGCTAGGTTAATTCCGAGGATGTCTTGTGTCTATCAAAATTTTAATTAGTTCGGCGGCCATGACCCAGAGCTATAAAAAGAGAGCACTTACCTTTCTCGTATCAAATTTCACTGGAATGGTGGGTTGTTCCCCGTCAGCTCGGAACAGCCCCGAGTCAAAAGCCCGTGGATAGCGCTCTTTCGCAATAGAGATTGCATCTTGCCATTCCATCGGAGTGCTAACGATGAATGACTGGTTACCTTGGACAGCAGGATCCAAAGCTTTCACATGAGCTCTGGCGACGTCACTGCAGAGCACGCTGGTCCCGGCAAAACCGTACTCCTTCTTCGCTCCCATAAGGAAATCGGCCAGCAAGGAGTTAGATACTCCGTCACGGAGGCTCTCGGATCGGGCGGCGCGTTCATCAAAGCCGAATATCCAAGAAGGATTGATGGAGATCAAGTCAAAATTGGGCTGCTGTAATCTCATGAACTCTTCCGCATCGTTCAATGCAGCCACCTTCCCGGCACAATACGCCTGGTTTTCATTTGAATAAGGCGGGTTGGGCACGGGAACTCGACTATCTGCGTCATATGTTGGTTCCAGAGCCTCGGCCTTGTTGAGGAATACTTCGAAAGGAACAATGGCGACTGTGGAGCTCGTCATGACAATTCGCCGGATGCTGTCATTGCCTTCTTTGTTCGCAGACTGAAGGATATTAACAGCTGCCTGTCTTGACTGAGCAACGAAGTGGCTGTTGCGCTGCTCTTCTTCGGCAGCTGATAGTACTCTCCCCTCCGCAAAAGATGGGAGAGGGGACGCAACATGAATAATATACGTGACACCTTGAACCGCATCATCGTAGGCACCGGGTGAGGACATATCCGGCACAAGGATGAATGAGATGACCTCCTTGTCTGCAGCCACGGCTGCCTTAATAGACGGAATGGTAAGAGTGTGGTTCATCTTGCCAACTGACCTTGCGGCCAGGCGAACTCGATATCCGCTCTTCAGCAGGTCCACGAGTACTGCGTGACCAACAAAACCAGTGCCACCGGTGAGCAAGACTAACGGCTTTGACATCGTGGTTGAAATAGATATAAGATACGGAAGGGATATGAGAGGAAGAATGAAGTGCACAAAAGTCGACGCTGGACTTCAGATTCTTTGGATCGTGGGACCCTTTTGTACCAAACGCCAAGGAAATCGAAGGAGGTAGGACGAAGGCGATAAATGAAAAGTTACGCTGTTGGGAAGTAAGTCATCAACGTTCAATGAACAAACGGCGTGATTGGCGTGACGTCAACTTTTCACATACGAGAATCACGGGAAATGCCATCTGCAGACTTACTTCCCAAAGGGGTAATTTTGTTATCACGAAGCGTGTGTAATATCGCTACTGGGTCAATAGCTTTGCACTGCCCCACTAAGGGAGAGATCAGTTTCGTTTTTGGTACTTTACTTAGTGGGGACATCGGTTTGGTTACAGTATATATCTAATTACATTCTTTATGATCTCCATCTCCTAGAGAGCTGGTTGAGGTCTGACGGCGACAGGCATGTTGAGTCAAGTGAGGATGTGCCGGTGTACTGTTTCGATACGTGGAATATATGTGACCGAATAGTGGCCTCTTATCTCGATGGCTGCATAGGGACAATCATTGCTTGTGAAAGTGATGAGTCGAAAGATGGAGGTAGTGTTGGGAGAGGGGTAGGCTGGGCATACGACGGAGGAGGTAGTAGTGCAGAGGCTGCTTACGTGTCGAATCCAGAGACGACTGGAAACGGCAAGCTATTCGTGAGAGCTTTTCTAGGCCTTAAGAATTCTGAAACAATTCTGAAGGTCTCTACGGAGGTATCGAATACCTAAGAGATGAAAAGGAGTTTTCAGGGGTAGTACGTTACATTGAATTTGAGGATGATACGTAGTAGACAATACTTAACATTCACCGTTTTTCATCAAAGAGCTTTCACTGATCAATATATTTTAAAGCGAAATACATCTATTGAGAGTTAATGTTGAATAAGATCTCAATCTAATCCCCCTTGAAGGATGTTGTGCCTATCCTAGCTGCCATTTAATGATAGTTCACACAATCTTATACCAGTTAGGGTGTAGGGCTGACGAGTAGGATGCCCTTCATAGTGGCAACCATGTCGTCCATGTTGTCGTGGACGGAGTGACCGCCTAGAATGGTAGCGCCGTTAGACTTGATAGTGAGCGCGCGCGTGTGTCCTTCGATGGAATGAGACTTTCTCTCAAGAGCCATCTCGAAGCGGGGATCTGCCTTCTTGAATGCCCTTTGAATGTCGACCGAGTTGTCGTGGCATGACTTGGGCCCCCAGATCTTTTGGTTCTGGAAGTAAACCGTGCCAGTCATAGTGTGGCCTTCATTGGTCTTCCTAGTCGTTTCGATATCGATACCCATGCCGTGAGTCGCGCTGGCAGACGCGGTCTCAGTCATAGTGGAGGTCATTGTTGCGGTGTTATTTTCTATGTGAAATTAGCATTCGGGGAATGCCTTTGCTTTAGGGAGCCTCTTATACTTGCCTGGACAGCTCGGTGAGGAGAAGTGGGAAAGTCAAGCAGTTTCGTGTTGGTAGGTAAGTAAAGATAGGTGATGATATTTTTGACCCTACTTCTTCGTGCATCGCTCAAGGAAATCAACCGCTTTTTATAATTGATATTCTTTTATGTGTTTCGCTAAAGCAGCTTCAGCACAACCTCGAATTTGCATTCCTTCGATCTCTCTTCCACCCAACATCTGGCGATCGACGACTTCCGCATATCTTTCCCCAATAGCCTGGAGCCTACCAACAACCGCATTTCTAAAGATTTATCCATCACTGATTCGACCAGGCGAAGGTTGATCTACACTTAGGTTCAAGTGCTTCTATAGAATGTAAAAGGAATTGATTTACGTCTTTAACTTTTTTAACACTTTCAGCACCCTGTCACCGGTCACAAATATGAAGAGACCTCGCGGTTTAACTTTGAAAAATCATGTTTATCTTTTCATCAGACCATATATACTAATGATCAATCGTTCATTTATTAGATAGTCCACGGCTTGAACTGGGAAATATAATCGCCGGGCGTATGTTTCCGACATTGCTCTCTGTTTACTTCACTTTAAACCATTCCTTCTATCATATTACGGTGATGGCTCAAGTGCGATTCACGCTTTGAGTAAATTCTTGCATTCCAGAATACTTTTCCGTTTTATGTGACCCATTATATAGATCGCCATGGTTTGAAGACCCCTGCTCGAACCTTGCTATCAAAGGGGGTTGTCCATTAAGCTTTAGGTGCGATCGATCTTCGACTTAGCATTCCAGCATATGTCATGATTCTGACAAAGCTGCAGCCTTTCAGTTCCGTCTACTCGAAGACATGAGGATCTGTTCTGTTCTAAACTTCACAGTTTCCACAAAGTTTTACGAACTCTGGTACGGGTTAACGCTGGGATACCAAAAGCGACATCAAACCCACCGACAATCAAACTGCCTAGACGAGGGAACTAGCATGAGTAACTGGAAGTTGAGGCTGAAGATTTGTATGACATGCTTCCTAATCTTAAGTTTAGGATTTCTTCTTATTTCTTTGTTGAGGTGGATGATGCTCATGGCTACCTCGGTCACGACGGAGGGGTTGTAGAAGTCTTGGCATCTCCTTGTCTATGCCGGCTCGTATCAGTCTGTTACCAGGCCTGAAGTGGCAAGGCAGAGATCGATTGTTGATAGCGTTATCATTCTTAGATCAAAGCAGTAGCTGGGCGATTTGATCTCGTCAACTGCTCGGATCTATCTCATCCCACATTGTCAGGATGAGGTAGTTGATCCGCGCCCCTCGGTGACGTAGTGCTTTCGACAGAGCATTGCTAGTTCCTTCCTAATATCCAAGGGTCTATCGTCATGAGGCCATGCTTGGTCGGTGGGGCAAGCTGACCCGTTCATGCCTCCTCCCATGCCAACGGCTCGTTCCATTCCAAACTTGAGATTTGACATGATCCTTCATGCAAGGGCACATCCTCGCTACCCATTTTGCTCTTCAACCCCACAGGAGCCCCTGTATATGTAGGTAATTTGCGCATCTGGAATCCTTGTCCCCAATGGGAAAGCATTCACGGTATTCAAATCGTGGACCATCATGCTTCGCGGCTGGGCTTGCTTTAGCCTGTCTTAGTCGACTTCCTCATCTACACACTACTAAGGTGCCGTTACATATCATGCAGAAAATATGTCAGCCCGGTTGTTGTCATGTGGAATGCTTTTGTAGAATTGCTGCATAGTAGATACTTTGCTCTAATTGGGATAGGCACACACGTGTACCACAGCTCTTTCGCAGCAAACTTTTCACCGAAGCTACTCAAATCACTAGCGAGATTCCTTCATCTGCTCTTCATTGATCCATTCCCTCGGGTCTTCTGCCTACTGGCCTCATCTGCGCATCAGCCGATTTAGTTTGACCAAACCTTCATTCCAATCCCTTACTTCATAGGCCACTGTACAGAGTTTGTCACTGCAAATCTGCCCTTGATAATGTTGAACCTTATCCCCTAGATGACCCACCGCCCTCGGAGGCGCAGGGATTCTAGACCTTCGGTCTGATCTCTAGTTGCCCGCCAACTACACACAGACATTAATAGAGGTTTTATTGTAGGCAGTGATAGGTCTGACTCTGACCCAAAAAAAAGATGCCTAGATGGGCAAGGAACCCTACAAATCGTCGATACGCAGGTCTTGCTAGATAAGACGCCTCAACGTAAGATATACCCACAAACTCCCCTCACATCACTGAAGTCGCTGCAAACAATGTCTCATAGTTCTCCGTACCAAGCGCTCCACCAATTGAAGCCCTGAGGGACCTCTCGGTGTCCTAGGTCTTCTCTGTTGTGAATCGCCAGATACTAGAGAACTATCCTAAGTACGAGACCGTCTGGTCTACCTAGTCTAGCGAAGTTGGAGAGGGCATGCTTTGCAAATCCATCTATGGGACAATTATGGGATATTTTGCTCTATATCAGCCCTGGGCAGGCTTTCTAAAATGCTGCTAACCTAGCAACACAGTTTTTGACCCTACTTGCTGACATGTTCGTATCTTTCAAGTCAAAACCATCGCGGGGTAATTCTGAAGCACGAACCCCCCTCGAAGTATGTTGCAATTGACTTTGATGGCCATAAGGGCGTTAGAAGGCAAGTTGGGTTCCTCCATACACGATCTTTGATTATGCTTATGGGTGTTCTCGGCTTCAGCCTCAACCTCAGCCTCAGCCAAAGAGTAAAAATGAGGCACAGAAGTTCATAAGTTTTAAAAGTGAAATTCCAGAAGGAGGGCTTTCCAAGAGGTAGAGGGTGGAATACGAAGCCACATTATGGAGTAGAGAAGAACGAGGAAGGGGAAGATATGGCAGTATATTAACTCTAAAAGAACTGAAGACTCTAGGATTTGGCAAAAAGTGCCTTCGTTAGTTCGAGATTCTCTGAGAAGATCTTTGACTTCTGGGGCATCTAGGCCTCAACTTGAGCGCACCACCCTGCAGCAGGCTGTTCATTTACTGCTTAGAAGCGCCACATCTCTTAGCAATTGTTCATGAAGGCGATCAACTTGTATGTAATGATGAAAGTTCTTACTGCTAACGGCGTTATTGGCAGTTCACAGAAATAAAAAAAGTTGATTTACCTTGATTTTTATACCTTCATCGAGACGGCAACTGGAAATTTGAAGCACTGAGCAAGGTCGGGAGGGTTAGATAGCAGCTGGAACCGATTTCTTATAGCTGAGATTAACTTTGTAGCCACGGCTGCCATGGCGTGGAAAAGTGGATTATACCGGAATGTTGGGGCGCAGTTCAATGGCCCCTTTAGACTGTTTTTGGTTGCAATTAGCAGTTTCCAATGTGAGCTTATATGCTATTGAACTTAGAGTTTGAATTTAAATAGTCCATTGAGAGCTGAAAAGCATGTGCAAGTATTAGTGTGTGGGCGAGCCGTGGAGAGCTCATAGATTAACCCGCGGCTCTGTACAAAGCCACACCAGCATGCAATCGACTGGTTGGGTGCGTGAACTTGGATCCATTGCATTCTTACGCTGAGGCTGGGCTGAGGCTGGGCTGTACAGTATTAATATCTTGCAAGTGTCCCTTAAACCAGTAAACCATGTCTTTCCACTGTTTGCCATATTCCATATTCCCAGGCAAGAAACCTCTTGAGCGAAGGAAACCGGAATCTACTCCGTGCATCATCGCCCAAAGTAGATACGAGCCATTACCGCTGTCAAGATGGACCCGATGACACATCCCATTAGCGATGAAAATGAGGGTATCCTGAACCTGCGGCGGGAAACGGCCGCCATCCGGGCCATGAACTTGCCGCGAAACGGATTTCCAATAGTTTTTGGTAAGAGCAGTCCGGCATTAGACGAAGGAGATACACTGAAACCGATTCGATAATATGCAGTTCCTGGATTTAGCGGTTGGGGGCGACCCCTTCTTGGAACGGTGAACTATTTCGGCGGTTTTGAAAACCTGCCCTTGATTTTGTCGCAGTTGGACTATAACGTCATTGTGGTTCGCATTGGCCCTATCTCATCCAACAAGGAGAGGGCTTGCGAAATCTTCGCGCAGCTCACTGCCGGGTACAGGCCTCCAAACTGCTACAAAAGCCCTCAGGCTAACTAAAACAGAACGTTCGACCCTCCAGGCGCACCTCTCAACCTTGTACAAGCTGATTTCGGCATTAACCATCCAACTCCAAACCCGGCATTGCTCGTGAACGCTGAGACTCCTCGGGCAGTACTCTATCAGGCTTCCGTAAACCATGTCCCGTTCAACTGGCAATGGAGTGATGTCAATAAGGTCAACTTTATCTGTCACTCACAAGGCGGCACGACTGTCCGATGTCTTATCGAGCTACTATCTGGAATGAGTGACCCAAACCTAACAGCGTTTCTCGGTGTTAACCGCCAGCCCTGGGTCAATTCCGTTGCCACCATAGGCACACCACACAAAGGCACAACTGTGACAGACGTAGTAAATGTAAGTTTGTCTATTCAGAGAAGTGTTGATAGTAGCCAACGTCTAAACTCGCAATAGGATCTTATTACCCCAGTCGGCTTAGATCCATTAGTGGACTTCATCACCTCGTGCTCGTTTGAAGCCAGAGGGGACAGGGTTTACGACCTCCACCTGGACCATTGGGGATTTTCTCGTGCCGCAGGACAAACCTACCAACAGATGCGTGTGGCTATTGCCCCCGCAGTCAACGCTTGGTGGGTTGGACGATATAACGGATTCTACGACAACAGTGTTCGGGGTATAAACGCACTTGACTTGTTTGCACCGAATCCTTCGACACATACCTATTATTTCACAATGTCTTTCTGTGCTACTACCCCATTCCCGAAAGAAACCCTTACAGCACAGGAAATCAATGACTTCATAACATTAATCCGTTATTCCTTTAATCCGTTCGGGGTGTTGGGGGTTGTTTTAGCTCCATTCCAATTTCTCGGCCCCTCAGCTCGTGCAGCATTAGGTTGGATGGTTGCCGTGGCGAACAACCATCTCGGGCCTCTAGGATATTTCTCTCGGATTCCTCCACCCGGCAATCAGGTCCCCCGACCAGATGTGCTCCCACTCCTGTCGTACCCTGCCTATGCCATGGGAGGGCGCAACATACCACCTACAGTCGCGATGCCAGGCATTACATCAGAGGAGTTTCAGCCCAACGATGGCATCGTCAATACTCTATCGATGGATGGCCCAATGACCGGACCCGTGAACCATGGAAGTTTTGCAGCTCAGGTCGCTGCAGGCGGTCTTGACAGCGCCAAGGCAACCTACTGGCATTTGGGGCTGAACTCGACCATTGATCATGCCGACCAAATCGGGGCGTTTACAAATCGTGCTACCGTAAGACGACAACATCCCCTTCTATCCCGAATATCTCAATAATATATTGTCATCCATTGCTAACACAAGACGTAGAATGACGAGGTCCAGGTGATGTACATGTTGCTTGCAGAGCTTCTGTGATAAGCATATATCTCTGTTTAACGATCACGGCTACAATGGTTTTGCAGGCGGCTAATCTTCAACGGGGGGAGGGTGCAATATGATGGAGTGCGCTCTTAGTTGCTGATTTGAATCGATAACTCCAACTTTGTACAAAGGGACGGTGCTCCGTCGAGGCCTTGGGAGAACGGACAGAATTCGCAAAGTCCCAGCCGTGCTGTCTCGGCATCAAGCGGAATCAGCAAGACGTTTCCGAAGCGCACTAGTAGTTGAGATAATAGCTATCTAGACTTTCTAGCATATCTATACATTTTATGGATGGTTGAGCAGACTGGTCCTTGCTCGGGTCAGCCCCCTTCCATTAAATTGTACCAGCATAAAACATTTTGACACGCAGTTTGAGTACCATTCATTGCAGGATTCGTCTTTGAATTAGAAGTATAGGTCGGGGGTATTATTTCATGCCAACTCAAAGCAACGCCACCAACGAAGAAAAATAATTAAACGAAGCCTGACAAGGCCAGTATTTCGGTTTACGCAATTCGTGAATCGTTCCGTTTTCTATTCCGCACATTTATCCATAGTTTCATGTCCTACCAGTAGTTGCTTCTCCAAATGATGTCGGTGGGGACGACCAACCCTGTGTTCGGTCCTCCCTTATCCCAGTATATTCATGGGAGGAGGTAGACATGAGATGCTATGTGATAGAATTAACAGTCAGCAAAAGTTTATGAATTCTCTTTCCACGGTTTTGAACCGTCTTACCTTTACGGGCTGCTGGGAACTCCGGTCTGGCATGTCGTGAAGTTGGTAAGACTGAGTGGGCTGAGCATACCTTCCATCTGTCGAAGCCCTCGTTGCCCCCTCGTTTCGCATATATTGATCGTCGTGCTCAGTTGGAGAACCTGCGAACATCGTATGCGTCGTCATGTTTGCTGTGGCGAGACCGGGGTCTCTATTGTTGCGTCGAATAAAGGTACGAAGCCCAGTCATAGTTGCGCCCGGCACCTCGGGGAGGCCCTCTTGAGTCTCGTCGTCCGCACTGACCTTTCTCCCTCCCCATTTATATATTCGGTAACGAGAATATGGCCAAGAACGTTTAGGCTCGCTATTCCTCCCAACATGGCCCACGAGTAGGGTTCGGAAAGCGGTCAGTGAGCCCATGAGGACCGCGACACTCGCCTCCGTAAACTGCCAGAAAAAGGTCCAAGGTATATCTACACCTGCGACGCCGGTGATACCGCTTACACGAATGATTGCCATGATGGCCATCATTAAGGAAAGGCAAAGAAACGTCCCGAGAGCGATCTTTTGACTTAACCTCATCTTCACTCGGCGAAGAATGAAAATGGGTATGGTCACGACTAAATCACAAACGGTTAACAGTCTAGTTAGTTGAACAATGGGGGACTCGTACTTACTTAAAACGTCTGTAAGGACATCTAATCCTGTGATCAGTCCAGTCATGGAAACGTAGAGAAGGTTTTGTGATTGATCGAAGCACGTCACTGGCTGAGTTTAGCAACGGCGATAAATCGTTCAATTGTCGATGACATTTCTTACAAGATTTGATTCCAAAATGCGGGCACAATATGAAGGGCTCACAAATGAGGAAGAGCCACGTAAATATCGTGAAAATCACGATACCCCAGTAATACTTCTTGATCCCCGCAACTTGACGAATGAGCATTTTGAAGAAGGCAAGAAAAGAAAATTTGACGAAGAATGTCGCCGTCCAGGCAAGAATGAGCGTCGCGGCATTTTCTTGAACGGCATGATCGATCATATGGGTCAATTCGTCGGCAGGTAGCTGGAATATGAGCGTCGAGTCGGCTCGAACGACCGTGGCTAGGTAGATTTCATCGCATATGTAATACATGAATCCTGCAGTCGCGATCAAGAGTAAGGCAGCGAAGAAAAGCAGATAGTCGTCAAGCCATAAACCCTGCCGCATCCTGAGACGTATTGCTGCTCTTGCGAGAGCTGAGGACAGGGAGATGCCGACCAGTACTCCCACTGACACCTGCTCAAGAATGAACCATCAGTTTCCAGTTGAGCCAGTACGACTCCATGCGATGTACCTTGAATGCCAGTTTTTTTATCCTGGACAGCGAGTCCATTTTGGCCGCTAACTCCTCTGGCGTGAGGAGAACCATTTTTCATTATTTGCGCCCAGATTCACTGGTGACAAGGTATGTTTCCCCCGCAGGGCCACCGAGAGAACTGGGTATTGATTTATTCTTAAAAACATCTCTTTGCGGATGGATGCCTGTTCGGATCCAAAGTACGTACACTCAGCCCCCACCCCTCATTCTTTTCTTACTCATCCCGCCCACCTCTACTGCCAGCACATGTAATAGCCCAGGACACATGTCAGCACGAATCATGGCGCGACGGTATTTTTGCGAGGTGGGAATGCCTTTGGTCATTAGACCTTAGGAACCAGATTCGTTGAACCAACATCGGCTTGACTCGAGAGGTGGGTTCCAAATAGACAGGCTTCGAACGATGAGAATGAAAGATATGAAGTGGAAAAAGAATTATTAGTGACAGTGGATTATCTTTCCTACCTTCAACCGGAGTAGTCACTAATCCGTCTGGTTTCGTTTACTCTGATCCATCGCTATCGGATATTGGCCCCAACACTGCAAGATCGCCGTATCTCCTTTGGAGTGGCAACAGGACCCTAAGCACCTAGCTAATGTCAGTATCGGGAAGCTAACTGTCAACTAAACTTGTCAATCCTGCCGATCCCGGCAGTGGTCGAGCGATGAGGAACGTTCCGAAAATCTCTACAAGGGTATGGTGTCCAATTGCAGTACAAGGAACCCCCATTTCTATCAACTGATTAAGATGAGCGTAGATACCACAGGAGATGAACCTTGTAAGTTCTAGATGGCATTTCGATAAAGGTATGATCATTCATTCTCTGACGTCTATGCTTACTTTATTATCCTACTCAAATTATCACCGAGAAGCCTCACATAGGCAAGGCCACCTTTGCTTGGGCACGAACGTTGGAGCCCAAGTAAAAGATTCGGTTTTAAATCCGAAAACGAGGTTGGAAAAACGCTCCTAACTGCCGTTCCAGGGGAAAATGTACATTGCCCATCAATCATCAGTTGCTTCTAGATCAAGTCAGGCTTTTCAATTGTAGCAGAAACCTTTTTAATCGTCTTCGGGATCACTCGCAGCTTTAGCAAAACCAGCAATCACGGTCAACATGCTGAAATTTATTACCGTGGAGTTGAGAGAGGCTTGGCCACTGATCATTTCCTCATTGAGAGAGCTCACATGCAAAGTTCAAAAACCCAACGTAACCCACACCCAACCTTGCCAGCAAAGTACACCTGTGACGGAGAATACTGTTGGCGCCAGTGTGCCAACTGCATACAAACTATAGGCTGACTGCATGCCCCTCCCGCCGCACGAGACTCAATATCTGCTGATTACTGCATGGGCCCCTGCTGCACAAGGCTCAATAGATGCTGCGGTATTAACGCTCATTGCACAATGCAAAGGTACTAGCCTCAAAGCCAAGACGAATTCCTTGAATTGGGTCCCAACCATTCCAGTCAGCGGTCTGGGTACTTCGTTGACTCCCACCGCACCCGCTGGGACTCAAGTGTTCGGCTTGAGACCAATTGAACCGGTTCTAGAACGCGATGGCGAATTTTACATATAATCCCTTCAATTTCTTCACTAATTAATCATGGCGTTTTACTCGGGAAATATATATGCACCTACGCGACCTGCTCCCCAAAACCAAAGATGTTAAAGTTCAGATTTGATTGCGGTGCCCCCTTGGATGACTTTTTGTGAAGCCAACGCCAGACTAAGACGGGGAAAGGCGGAGCTGGTATAGGAATCGCCCATGTCAGCTGTCGGACACTGCTTTTCAACTCTGATGCCGCGGGGAGCGACGTTATGCGTGCCTTCGACCTCATCGACTGTGGTGGTCTCGTCAGGCCCGCTGTCGAAGCACCCAGAGATGGTTCTACAGTGATTTAATGCGGTGCTGTCTATGGTACGAGAGCCTCACGCTTGGACCTCGGTGCTTTTCCATCGGCTAGGCCTTGCAAAAGAATCAAACTTGAGTAAAAGTAGCATGAGTGCACGTTCTTCAAATAGATAAATCCATCAACACTTTTGTAGTTTCTCAAGGCATTATTGAAGAATTTCTTGCCTAGCCATTAATAATAATGAAACCTAGAAATTGGCTTGTAGGCGAAACGACGAGCCTGGGCGGCCCCTGCAGAGAACACATTGCTAGGGTGCTATCAAATCAAGGGTTCAAGCTCATTGAGCAATAACTATGATAATAGAGTGTGTTTCCTGGCGTTGAGATTCTTGACGTAAGCCTGAACTTACTGCAGGTAATATAAAAACAAGATGAAGCATCCCTTATCAACATAACTCTAAAGAACCGCACCTCAGAATGAGTCTACTATGTTGTATGGGATAGTGCTGTCCGTCAAACCCGCTGTCTGGGTACCGCCGTCCCAGTAGGCAAATATGTCACATTGGGAGGTAAAGTACCAAGCAATTTCCTAAAGTGAGGAAATTGAGATCAGAAAGAAGTCATGACACTAATGCCCTGGAAAGGAAGGAAAACTTACAGCGCCCAGATCTCCCCATTTGAAACAGGCCTTCTCTGTCTCCGTATCATATAGCACAATATCCTCCACATACCGATATTGATGAAGGATATCTCTAAATACAACACCTTCCTTTTCTAAAGGCTCAGAGAGGATGAATACAATTGTGTTGAGCGGTCCCTGCTCTTCGCTGTAGAGGAGGGATATTGTATCCAACTGACTAGGGTCCCACTGCCCCAGAGTCAGTGCGGATTCATCTTCAAAGGTAGCTAAGAGACCAGTATATCGGGATCCATGCTTCTGTGCTTGCAGGCTTCTGGCCCCGGCGAAAGCAGCTTTGCTCAGAAAGGCACCGTAAGGATTCCCAGACAAAAAGTATCTCGGTTCGAGTGTTCTAAACGCCGGAATGGATAGAGTTGTTGGAATATTCTTGGCCCTCTGAGGGGTTGGCTCAAGTGTGACGCCTATGGTCTTGGCCCAACCGGGAGAAGAAGTCATAGCGTCAAAGAAGATGCCAGAAACGTGATGGGACGTTTCGTATCCGAAAGTTGAGAAGTGAGCTTGGGTGGCAGCGACTTTGGGTAGAACATAGGGGCCGTAGTACAGGCAACGACCCATTATTGTTCTTACCTGGGAAGAAGAGATATGGTTAGTCGAACCGTTTCTCAGATAAAACGTTGTTTTGGGAGGGAATTACCAATAGAAACGGGCCCTGTGCTAAAAATACATCAGCTGTACGGCGAGTAATAACATGTAGTGACTGAATGGACTCGAAAGGGTGGAGGTAAAAGGTAATGGGGCAGCATAAATTCGAGGGCCTTCCAATCTTCAAATGCTGCGAACCGTCGATTTGAATGCAAGAAACCGAGTGAGTGCTGCAAAATATCGTTAAGCTGTGTTGGGCGCCGTCATTCAGATTCAGAGGCAAATATTTGGCAAAACGAGCATTCGGGTGGCCTGGAAGCGTCATGCCGGTAGAAGAGCCAAGGTTGATGAATGAGCATCGGGATTGGGGATGAAAGTTGACGTCCTGATTCCAGAAAATGGTGCTCTGGGACTCGGGCTTGGTATCTGCCTGAAAAGCCAGAGAAAGTATTTTGGCCTGCTTGTGGTCTTTATCAGTGATCATCACAAAATGCGAGAGAGATGGAGATGGGTGAGCTGACGTACATCGGATTGAACTTGAAGTCGTTTTAGATCATGTCCACGGATAAAATATCCCCATTTCGACACGCTTTGTCCAAGCCAGGGAGACACCGAGCCATCCTGGTATCGAACTCTTGTTCCAACTACGCCGTACCTTCCTAGCAAGACATGCAGTCCAAGAACATCCTGTCTGGAGAGCTGAATTTGATAATTTTGAGCACCTTGTAACGGGCTGGCCTGAAGCCCCGCTAAGTAGCTTTCGCCCAGGACGTCGCGCACACTTGCCGCCAATGCTTCAACGTCATGAACAGAAGTAAGGGGACTTTTAGGGGCTAAACAGGGTCCCAACGCTGTAAAGTCTGCAAATTCTTGCTCAACGAGCCATCTCACAGTCTCGGAACAAGTTGCAAGCGATGAAAAAAGGCCCTCGGGTAGGAATTCACACACCATCATTTGTATCTCGATCGATAGTCGCTGTTGTATCTGCTGAATCACAGCTCCCAACTCCGTTGGGCGCAAAGAACACTGAGAGAGGAATGATGACATTGGCTGTCGGCCGAAAAGTCGGACCGAGTCCCTCCAACCGACAACAGGTCGTAGTATCTGGCCGATTCGACATAAGGTTCTGATACAAAGCCGAGGTAACCTGATATGAGCGAGCTGCAAGCAGGGAATATGCACCAGGTGAGCATTGGATCCAAGATACCGCCGCCGATGACAATCAAGGCATAGCTGTTTGTTTGAAGCCTCCAAACACTTTTTTATGGCCTCTGGCATTCGGGAATGAGGATCAGGATCTAACGGTGACTCCAATCGCAACATGAAACGTTGGAGGCGGAAGTCACCATCTACGCAGGGTACACGAAAGACTCGGGTAAACTTTTAGTAGCTCTACCTTTTTTGCATTAGGACTGATCGACTTGTAACTTACAACAGAGAACATCCTCTGGCTGGTCTGTTGCAAATTCAGGGGCCACATTTTTTCGGACTGGGACCTCGCCACGACAAAAAATGCAGTAGGGTTCCAGTAGAATATCCTCTGGGGGCATGGATGGGCTCATGATGGAAAGAGTCCAAGGATTGCGCGGCGATATTGAAACGGTGCGAGTTTTGACGAATGAATAATGCAGCTAAATTCACAATTGCCAGACGACATCGGGAGAGGGAGGTCCCTGATAAAAACAAATGTCACGTGCAACTACACTTGTACCTCAGCGGCTCAGCCAGGGAGGGGCTTAATAGAAGATAGCCTTAATAATAATACTTCTTAACTCTTAAAATATATTGAAAGCGAACTAAGTACAAGATAATATTGTGAAGAGGAGATTAGGGACCATCTGCAGTGATATTTATCTCGAGTGTGTTGTAAATAAAAACAATTCATCTGCCGCTTCTGTGAAGTAACAGGTGTGTCCTCTTAAATATCCCTTGCTAAGTCGTGAAATGGAAGGCTTCAATTTAAGTATTGGCCAGCCAATACACGACTGCAGGGTCATTGTTATGTTAAATATATAATTGAGGCAGTCCCGGTCTTTCGGGATGAGGAATGCCATGAACAAAACAGACAGAGCCTCTTCTACTATTGGTTTCACACAACGGAACGAATAGTTATAATCAAAGTGTGTAGCAACATAATCACTTTCTGTTATTGCGCACGTTCTGATGTGATTTACGAGATAGCTGACGGATCTTGAGCCCAGCAGAGGCAAGGAAACAGGCAGCAGCATCGTACAGCATTCGAAGTCAGCAACTCCACAGATGTTGCACTGCCAAGTCAAAGTCACGTGCTAATTTACCTCACGAGATCTCTCTGTCAAACCGTCAGCATGAGGAGGCTGGTCATATCCTGTGCCTGAGCCTTGTCTGGTTTGGTCGACGCATCTTCAGCGCTATCTCATTACTCTTGGCGTCACTGACCTATCAAAGTACGACTGTTGTTCTATCTGCGATGCTTTGTGCCTTGTGCCTCTCGATCTTTCAGGATCCTCAACATGAGGGGTACCATCACAAAAACAGACAGAACCTCGTTCTCGCGTCAGAGAATGGCTGCAAGATTTGTAGGGCACTCGCCCGTGACCTTCCCAAGTGTGGGGAGGTAACGGACCCTTTTTGGCCATTGCAATACAAATTTAGCCTGGGAAATACTTGGAGAGTACATTTGGAACTCTCGATTTTCCTGAAGAGGGCAGACGCCAAAAGTGATGAACCCGGCTTCAAAGAAAGAATTTTTATCCATGTTTCTCATGCACAGAGTTTCCCTACTCACTATTCTGAGTTCATCAAGTTGGCCACTGCTGATCTAGAAACGGCCCCATTTCTGGTGAGACGGGACGTGACAATGGGGCGAGATATTCCGGATCATACGGGGCATGAAGCAGTGGCTCAACTGGCCAAAGGGTGGCATCAAGAGTGCAAAAGAAATCACTCATGCGGGGGCTTTTATCAGCACAGGCAGACTGGATGGTACCCCAAGCGCCTCGTCGATGTCGGCCAAGGCGATCGGCGACCCCGTCTAGTCCTCCGGGACGAAAATGACCTATGTGGTCCCTATGCAACCTTGAGCCACTGCTGGGGTGAAAATCCCGAGTTCTTCATGCTGAATGCAGACAATATGGAAGATCTTCGCAAGGAAATCCCTCTCGACCGACTGGCCGCAAGCTTCCGGGACGCCATCCTGACCTGTCAACGTCTACAGATCCCGTATATATGGATCGACTCTCTTTGTATCCTCCAAGCTGGGCCAGCCTCTCAATCTGACTGGTTTTTTCATGCCAATGAGATGCATAAGGTCTATCTAAACTGCGAACTCAACATTGCGATCGATGTCTCGGCGAATCCGCATGAGGGTGCCTTTCGCCCGAGAAATCCAGACCTATTACAAGATTGCTACGCATGGACACCATTCCATTCGTATTCAGATTTTCCTCAGGAAGGTCTAGAACACAAACCAGACACAGAATCAGAAAGCAAGTCTTTGTTTGATTCAAAGCATCGCGGACCACCATCTCTCTCAAAGGCAGATCACATTAATCTCTGCGCGATATTCACCGAGGAGGACTTCTCTTATTCGCGTTTGAGCCTTCCTCTCAGTCAACGCGCATGGGTGTTCCAGGAAGCTCTCCTATCACCAAGGACCCTGCATTTTGGGAGTGATCGTATTTGGTGGGAGTGTGCTGAAAAAACGACACTCTCCGAATGCATGCCTAACAGCGTAGCCAATCGCACACAGAAAGGCTTTGACTGCCTCTTCCAGTTCAATTTCAATGTTGAGAATCGTCACGCCGAAAGTCTCATATCATACTTTGACTATTTAGCGACCTATACAGAGCGAGAACTCTCTCACCCCAATGAAGACAAACTTGTTGCCTTTGCTGCAATTGCTCGCCTATGTGCCTCATGGTTTGGGGGAGACTACTGCGCAGGAATTTTCCGCCATAGCATGCCTTGGGGACTTCTCTGGCTTACAGAAAACATCACCTCCACACCACGGCCAGACAGCTATCGGGCTCCGTCTTGGAGCTGGGCGAGCTTGGACGTTCGTGTCTTGTTCGACTACTACGATCATCAACCAGACATCCTGGCTCGTGTTATAGATGTTTCAGTACAACTAGTGGACACAACTGATCCATTTGGTCAAGTCAAATCCGCCGCTCTGACTTTACAGGGACCGTTGATCTCTTCCCAAGCCCTGGTTGGCGAAGGGTCAACTGAGCGATCCACAAAATTCCTGGCAGTGTCTACTCTACTAGATGAAGAAATATCGCTGCAGCCAGATGATTACGGGTGTTGGTTTCGCTTCTCGCAGGCAGAGCGGCATCCCGACTACTATCCTCGCCTGGGGGAGAATCTGCACTTTGTTTGTATTGGAGAGGTGGAGTGCAGCCCAGATTGGAAACAGAGTTCTGGTACATACGGTCTTATGTTACGGAAGGTTGACAACAAAAGTTTTCTACGAGTGGGTAGATGGGTGGCAAGAGTTGGGTTTATTCAGCGTCATGCCGGAACGAAGTGTGAGTTACGACCAGAAACCATTACTCTACTTTAATTTGAACATATCTAGTTTCCTCAGTTCTTTTCCTTTACTCTAATTTAACTTAGAAAGACTGAAGTTTTAAAAACAGATTATTGGAGTTAACCTTTTCCATGATGGGTTGTTCCTGTTACTCACTTGTCCCTCCATGAATCCATTCCTCAATGATGCCTCGGAAATGCAGGCTACAGCGTTCTGCGTCCCATAGGAGAGAAGATAACTTATCATCAGACATCCATGGCAAATCTCTCGAGTCCTTTAGTCCAAGGCTATCAAGAACAGTCAGAAAGTTTGCCCGAGCAGAGCTTATCCCCGAAACCGCTCCCCATGTGCCAAGAAGTCCGACACATGCTGCCCATGCCACCACCTCGGGGCAGTCTGTACATATCTCAGTTTGCGTGATAACTTCTTCCATGGCATCGCACAATCTGTCTCTCATCGTGCAGATGAGGCTGGCCCTGATAGGAATTTGCCTGATAGAAATGTAAAGAAATAGATGGGCAGCACGCGTAACAAGATTAACAATGCTGGAGGACATGGCCGAGGGTGGATCTGCCACTTCACCATGCAATATCTCCAGAAGCTTGATATCCGCGACATTGATCAACATGCGTATAGTTTCCGGTGGTATTGACTCGGCCCGAATGGCACATACCGCAAGCCTAAGGTAGTTGAATGCCTGGGCTACAGATCCACCGCACCGCGTGGCGACGACGGGATGCGGTTGTGGTTTTATTGCCTCATTGTATATTCTTTGAGGAAGGGAGATATCGTATGAGTGGAATAATGGGAACTTTGGAAGACTTCCAAGGGCAGATGCGAGAAACAGATCCGCACTATAGATACCAGGGCATTCGCGATTAGAGGAGAAATCATAGGATAGGGCTCCAAACTTACAAACCTACTGACTTGCGTAAAACGGGTTCATTGGAAAATTCTTGCTCGTAGTTCAGTACTTCATACAGTTTATATATACCAAACAGATGAGCTTCCGCTGCTTCGAAATTTCCATACAGAATCTATTTGCTTGTCAGTCTATGAAATGGATATCCTGCTTTCAATAACAAGAACTGACCTCAACAGTTGACATAGTGGATATAGATATCATCATGGAAGCACGGTTCGAACCATAGTAGGCTTTGTTTGATTGTGAACACCACTCTCTTATTTGCCTCATTGCTTGGCCTTTCTGGTATAGCCCTTCTTGTTGCAAGGCTGGATCGCAGTGGCCGGCTTGTGGAGATGTAGCGATCAGAAGCGCGGCAGACAAGGCTATCGTGCTATGCATGACTGTAGCATTTTGCATTGCATAAGGGAACCATGTTGACTTCGTGCGGGCATTTGACTCATTCAATTTGAATTCTGTCAAAACTGCGAAGCGAGGGTCAATCACACAGGCATGGTTAAGCAACGCGATGTACAGCACGTACAATGGTAGAAGAGTTTATCAACTTGTTTGTTTTGAGAGATGGGGAAACTTTGAAAGGGATCTAGAGACTTTCCGATTTGGCTTATTGGTGGGCTCCGAATCTGCCCAAAGAATCAGGAGTAGAACTTGACAAGAAAAGTGAATCAAAGACCGACGTACCGTTCTACCTGCTCGTAAAGATTTTCGGTCCTGACCGACTGTCTTTGCCTCTTTTGAAAGATGACATCGTTTTGAGGATGCTCGTTTGCTTTTCGTCGGTATCCGGAAACGGCCTTGTAATTCCTTTCCCTGCGTTATTATTTCCCGAGACCGACTATTCGCAAGTTCAGCTGTTGTCCAGCCTCGCCGTATTCCGGAACGGATCGCGTGGCCTTTGGCTGCAGCATCCGCAAAACCGACTGCGGAGTCCAATTTATTCGTGTGAACAAATCTGTATTCGCCCATGTTAAACGTCGTGATATGGCTCAGTTAGCCGTGGGCCACAACGAAATGGCATATTTGATCTGGCGCGACTCGGACTTAACCACAAACTCCGCTCCCACGCCAGATCTTACCAATCAAACAAGTCCCAAAATTTGCATTGAACTATGTGTATAATCATAAACTTGACCAATCCACAAGTTCGGAGATAATAAGGCCGCATAGCGTTGTCGAGGGCGCCACGCTACCCATTGAGAGGGACAGCACTAGCATATCCTACATGCTTAATTAAGTAATAGATATCGTAGTGTAGTCAATCAAATCAATCTCCATAAGCTAAAGCGAAGAATGGAGTTGCTAAATAGGATAAATAAGATTCAAATGTGTTCTTTTATTGTATTTGTTGTTTGTTCAGCACCAACTTCATGGATCCAACACAAATCTAATTTATATATTCCGGAATTGGCCGGTGTGTTCGAGCTCCTCCTAATTTGCAATAACCAAATAGCGAGATCTACTCCTCAGTTTTGTCGCCACCTTTTGAAGACACTTACACGCGATTAGTGGCTGTTCTTCAACGCGGCCATCTATTTCTGAAGGCTGGAAGTGTCGATAGCGACAACCTTGGCAGGCTCTTGTTGCCCATTGACTGGTTGGACAGTTCCACCGGATGTAGTGACGTAAAGGATGTGTCTATCATTCTTTCCTGAGCCGAAGGTGACTGCCGTAGGGCCTGGGAGCTCCAGTGAGTCGAGGGCTCCTGCGACGGACTGATAGGTGGTGTATAAGCTTGAAGGGCTGGTGCCGTGGTACAAGACATAGATATTGTTAGTGAGACTGTTGACGCCCCAAATATTGTCCTTTTCATCAAAGACAAAGTCGTCGAGGGCACCTCCCCAGGATGAGATGTCAAATACCTGCACCGTCGCATTCCGCACGGGATAACCATCACTATCAATGACAATGCGGTTCACCGTGAGCTTTACGGTGTTGGTCCAGTAAACATACTCTCTGTGGACCTTGAGGCCATTTACGCCCGTGGGAAATTGCGAGTCGTCAGGGGCGTGCAGCTCTGGGACGTCAAGAACAACTTTATATGCTCCCGTTGCGGGATCGAGGCGAATAAGCTGACCATTGAGGCAGTCTGCAATCAGGACGGAGGCGAGTCTCTGGGACCGACCACCGGAGCACTTGGGCGGAATTACGGCCATTCCGTTGAGCATGTTCACATCCGGGAGGTCGGCAACCTTTCTAACGCGAAAGTCTTTGGGACCACCACCATGGAACTTGACTTCCCACACAGCACCGGTGTGAGGGTATGGGACAAGAAACGACTTGAAGTCGTGCATAGCGATCAAGAACGTGTCTTTGCTGACTTCTCCTATGCCCAACATACCGCTTGCATTGGGAAATGTATAGATGGGGGCCAGTTCCGCATGGCCAGATGTTGGATCCTTTATGTAGTGCAAGGTCGCGTTCTTTTGAAGCATAGAAACGACAAGATCCCCATTTTGTCGCGGTGCAAGATTCTCCAAGAAGGTGTTTATTTCACTGAGACTGGCGACAGTCTTGGCAGGTAACTGGATATTGCCGATTGATGTATTCGCCCTCGGGACTACTGATGCAGTGGCTACACTGGCTAGCGCGGCTGCGATTGATATGATGGAAACGAGCATGTTAACAAGAGTCAACAAGTTAACTTAACGGTAGAATTGGTGGATAAGGTCGAAAGATCAAATGAACATAGAATCACACTCCCTTTTTGAGTTACTGAGTCAATTCAAACCTGTTTTAAAACTGCAACATCTCGGGCTTTTAAGAGTGAGTCCTGGTCTTTGGCATTGCAGTTTGGGCTACTCCCAAGTGTCGGATACAATTTGCATCCGAGAGATTGGTAACTCAGCAATCCATATCCATCCAGTCATTTATAAGCCAGTCCCCACACTAAATTGGACTCGTTGAACTCCACTCCCAAGCAGGCATCAGCACACTCTCTCCAGGAATACCAAGATCGATATACCTCTGTTTTTTTTTTCATGTTATTAATTTCACGATCGGCGTCAACTGATCGTTGTCTTTAGATACAACACTGACATGTGGCAGGGGGGATAGAAAAATTAACCTCTGGTTCGGTCAGCATCTTGATCCTCCAACTAAGGCGACAGTTTTTTGTTGAGAAATAAGCAGGCTGACAAACATTTTTTTTAACTCCCTCCAAAGTGGAAGTTTGCAGATAATATACTGGCTAATTTTAAAAGATGATTGGTTCTTCTCATTGTAAGGATTTAATGCCATTTGCTCCCATGATTTGCCTGATAGAAGTGAGAATCTGCTCCAGTGACGCGCGACTATAGGGTAGCCCAGGAGGTCGGCGTTATCATTTGTCCGTCCGTTTAGCTGTGATTGGCTGTAGGTATGGTTGTGCACGTGATTCTCAATCTGCTCTCAGCTCAATTATGGGGACGAACGAGCAATGATGTCACAGGAGCGGTGGAATGCTGCTGTGAAGGCTGGTGAGGGAGCAGCTTAGCACAGCCACGCCGAGACTCCCGTGTTCTGCACCAGCCCCTTTGGGCGGCGCAACACTGTGGCGGAGGCAGATTTTCGCCGGATTCGGCCAAAATACTCCGCCTCGATATCTGCTAGAAGCAGGGATGGGATGCTTATATGAGGGAGCGGGAAGCCGCACAACCGATTAGCTCCCATAGCTTAATCGACTCTCGAGCATCTTATCATCACACATACACAAAACTTAATCGTCACCCTTCTCAGCGATGTACTCTAGTTATCTTACGTCGGCATCGAGACCCGTGTCCCTCACAACAGGCTGGGTACCGCAACGACGATTTCCTCGACTTCCAGGCCAGAGCCAAATTGCCAAAGATGCAGAATTAGCAGCAAGGCTGCAAGCGGAAGAGGATGCTCGCCCTCCACGCTATGAAAACATCAGTTCCAACCCTAACCACAACCACAACCACAACTACAACCACAATCACAACTACATTCCAAGTCAAAAACCAAGCCGCAAACCCCATCCCTCAATAGAGAGCGACGCAGCTCTCGCTGCCAGGCTTCAAGCCGAAGAAGATGCCCGGGCGACGCAGAGACCACACCGTCCCCAGCAGCAAGGCCAAAGCAGTGTCGGGTTTGGAAGGATCACGAACGGCGCCAATACCTACTCCTCCCCCCTGCATACCGCAATGTCAACCGGGCGCAGGCCGAAGAACAGGCGGCCGAAGAAGGTGCGATGGGATTATCCTCTTGCAGTAGAGGTGCAATAGGAATATTCAAGAACAGATACGAGACCATGAATCAGCATAATGTCACTGTATAGCACGAATATCTAATGTCTAGCGTTACTTTTATTTATATATAATGATACATTCAAGTACCTTTGGTCCCATTGATTGCATGTATCTGCTGCCCCATCTCACTCGTTGAGGTCTGTTGTGAAAATAAGTACGGAAGTACGAAGTAACGAGGCGGCAGCTTTCAGAATGTAAAGACATCTAGATGAATGCTTCAACTAGTGAATCCCTGAAACCCTCTACAGGACTCTCAGTGTCATTAAGAGGTCAATATTGCCTAGTGCCCTTTCAAAAAACTCCAGACTGAGCATTTGAGGCGGTCGGTTTTTAGAGGATGAAGCGATACCTACTAGATTTACATCAGTCATGAATTTAGTATAAGTCACTTCACGGAGACGACCGCCTCTAAATGTGGGATTATCACGCTCATTGATAAAGTACATTTTTATTTCTTGAATTATGGAGGTAACTTGAACAATCCCAGAGCCGGCTGGTGACCTGTTAAGTCTTGATATGCCTTGCCCGCGTAGCGTGGAGTCTCAAACAGAGTGTCAAACGTACCCTCAGGGAAGATCCAAAAACCTGCTGCCGATAAGAGGCTCTTCTTGCTCTCCACGGGCTCCATTTCTCTTATTTCCTTCAAATACTCGCACCCGTCAGCCATTTCGTCGATTCTTTCCTGTTCGATTCTGAGAGCCAAGTCCATAGTTTGAGAACACTTTACATCGCAATATGCGTCGCTGATGACTCCTTTTCTTCCAGACATGGCGAGAATGTGTGAAATAGTACTGATGGGTCCCGTAAATGATACGGACGCGCTTCCTCCCACCTTGTGCCGGTCAAGCCCCAGCACCCTTTCCATCCTCAGCCATGCCTCAACTGGCTTCTTCGGATCATTCCACACTGTCTGGCCCCCAAGACTGGCTTGGATTGGTCGCGGGTCAGAAGTGAGTAAATCAAATTCAACCGCGTGTGGGAAGATGGGAATACTTCGGTTGAGGCCCATTGCTCTGTTCCTCGTCCCAGACAGTGCCCCTGTCATTATCCTCGAGTCACTGCCGAGCAGGTGAATGAACCAGACAGACTTGAGCCCAAAAATTGCTTTTCGGAAGGTCTTCAACGTGTTTTGGGCAAGAGTAGCTTCTCGGGACAACGCCTCAAGCCCGCGTAGGCTGTCCCTGCATCGACTATCAAATGCGATGTGCAATATCCCTGCCCCACAGGGATCAGAGAGTCTCATATGATTAATGAAGGAGATAAGGGTCAGGGCCGGCACATCGAATTGTGCTATGAATATGTGGTCGTTCTCCGGGTCCAGCCACAGTGTAGGTTGGGGCATATCTGATACGGGGTTCGGACGTAGGGGAAGTCGGAGTTGATGCTTTGCAAGTTGTCTGCACTCGCGAGATACCTGCATTAGAGGGTTACGGCGGGGTTTTTGGTCAATAGAGACCTTCCAGATTCCCTGATCGCATGGATTTGGCTTGTCATGCCAGAGATTAAAATCGACAAAGTCGGTAGAGCCAACCACCTCCTCGTAGTTCCCGTATGGATCACCTTGCTCTTCTGTAGCTCTAGGATCGGTGAGGCGAATCGTGATAAGTCGACGGCACGAAACGTAGGCCATTTTCCATATTTGTAATTTGATTTCTGTCGGTAGCTTAGGAAACAAATGAAAGGAGTCATTGTTCCGTGTGGCCTGTGATCCTGGAAAGTGGAGCGAATTAAGCGTTTTGTACCGTGGCCGGAAGGTCGCCATATTGAGCGAGAATATGATAATGAAATGACGAGGGAAATAAGTCTCAATGAAGAATGAAACATGATAAAAAGGATGCCCGGACGGATCCACGCGATCCGAATGGTGTTATATAGTGGCGCAGCCAAATCCTTGAACAGTAAAGAATGACGCTTCTCACTGATTTCGCTGATTTCGCTTGGCTCTTCCTCTTACGGTCATTTCTCACAACTGGACCCCTGTTGATGAACCATCATCAAAACTGGACCGGCACATCTTTCTGGTGAATCCAGCGCTGGATTGTCCAAGATCAGTCAAACTTATATTCACAGAGGCTGTGATCGTTGTGAAGGAAATGAATTAGCAACATGATTAAAGGAAATACGGCGACTCCGACTGGTTGTGTTTGGACACAGGAGCCTCACTGAACTGGATTACAGCGTGTTTTTGAGTGCGGGTAGATTCATCACGGGTACTAGACATGGTGATCTATGAACCGAAATACTACTAATCGATTTATTCCTGGGCATGTGAAAAGAGAATCGCTAGGCCTGAGTCTGAAGATGTATTGGAAGGAATTTCCTCTGTCAACCCTCTAATTCTTGATTAACCAAGGCACGACAGTCTCTGAAAATTGTTCAAGTCCATCAATGAAGCACACGTGTCCGGCATTCTTTATGACCTCGAGACGGATGATGTTGTCGTTTCCTGACGCCCTGAACCCCGACTCAATCTCTTTCCTCATCTCATCCATAGTCTGAGGTAGGTTCGCATCCCTTTCTCCAACCACACAGAGAGCATCTTCGACTGAGGAACCAACATTTTTCAAGATTGGCCGCAAGTCAAAGCTCGAGCTTCTCAAAGCGTGACAGCAAGCCTCGAAACCATCAAGAGTGGTCCCTCTCATGATGTCTCTCACCCGAGCGGCCTCCTTGGGATTTTCCTCGAGCCAAGTCTTGCCAAACCAGCGATCCAAGGTTGACTGAATGGCGTCTTCTAGACTACCAGCTTCTCTAGCGGCGGCAACTCTTGGGCCAAAAACATCGGCACCGCCAAGGTTGACAGGTGAAGCTGAAATGGTATCACAAATGACGAGTTTGCGAACTATTTTGGGATATTTAGAAACGAAGCATACCCCCTTTGCTGCGCCCATTGATACACCGACCCAGCCATGTAAACTTGAAATATTCAAGGCTTGGAGAAGAGAATGGACATCGGCGGCCATGGAGTCAAATGTCGTGTTTAATTCTGCGGGGTATGAAGACTGGCCATGCCCTACTTGATCATACCGCAGTGTTCGGAACCCATTGCTATTGAGAATCTTAACGAAGTGATCCCAGGCGCCGAAAGGAGCGCATAGCGAGTTCGACAGCAAGACAATGGGCCCGTCCTTTGGAGTTTCATCGAGAACGTATGATAACGTTCTTGAGTCTGGGAGTGAGATCTTGCTGGCCATGGTGAATGTACTAAGGATTGCTGTAAACAGAAGGATATCTAAACTCTGAGGCTCTGGCACATGCAAATTGACCCCTCAACCATGATATACCGCAGAAGCTTTTGACTAATCTGCCACTAACACCAGAAGCATCATCGGATGCATGCTTCCTAGCTCCTCTTGACCCCGCGCCAGCTGTGGGTTAGAAAGTCTGTTTCTCCACAACAGCAACCGGGGCCCCGACCCCAGATGAATCTCCATCTCCATCTCAATCTCGCTCTGTCGGTGACATCGATTCGCTGACTCCTCTGTTCGCTCCTCCACAGCCGAAACACTGCTCAGCACCCTTCCTCCAGCTGGGTCGATTGGATTTCTTAGCGCTGCTATGCCTGACTCACTCTCTGCTGCCCGGCGCCGGGGACGTCGCATTCCCGAAGAGTTCCGAAAGCGGAATGCTCAGAGTTGTGATCGCTGTCGTAAGGTGTGCTAAGTCCTGAACAACCCCTTGAGCCCTGGCTGTATTGGCTGACTTGATACCGCGGCATAGAGACGTTGTAGGTGTGTGCCATCCGCTAACGGCGATGGATGCGTCATGTGCCAGGAGCACAATGCGACCTGTTCATACACTGCCCCGAGAAAAACTCGCTTCTACGGTAGCGTAGAGGAATTGAGTGACAGGTATGTTCTAACATTGACAATACCTTACAAGTACAGGAGGCTTACCGCCTGCAGATATCGTTGTTTAGAGGCCATCGTCAAAGGCGCATTCCCCGATGCTGCTGTTGAGTCGGCAGCCGATTTGGTCAGTCTCGGATCTCGAATGGGTTATGCGATGCCTGATATAACCTCTCCAAACAGACCAGAGGTGGACATGAACGAGCTATCACAAGGAGGCCGACAGCTCACTCCTCCTGCATCATCGATTGGCGGCCATTCTTCTACTGCCGAGCCCCTAAACCACTCGTCGCGCCTCAGAGCCATCTCTCACAGTGACGAGGCAGAAGCCTCGATGATCAAAGACACTTCGGGTCACGAACACTACATCGGACCTTCAGGGACCCTGAACTTTCTGAATCAACTCCGGCATCTCGTCGATTCAAATGATGCGCCTGGTAGCCCCGCGACGAAACCGGAGGGAGCCGCCAAGTTCACGGGCGATGACATTGCTCAGGCCCTCGAAGCGGACGATGCCGAAGAACAACAGCCAGAGCAGACGGATCCCGCCACGGCCGACTCAATACAAACAGACGGCGTCTCCCCTGACTCCATCACCTCCGCCATTGCACGAGATTTTGCGCGTTTCCCAATGGCCGATATGGAGGAGATTGTGCGACAGCTGCCTCCAAACGACATCTTGGAGTTACTCATCCACTCTTACTTCAAAAATGTGCATGACGATTTTCCCTTGTTCCATCGCGCCACTTTCGAAGACGAATATGAGCTCTTCGTTGTCCGAACGCGAAGAAATCCTCACCTCGCCCGGACACGGCCTCGCCCAGACTGGGGCTGGGTTGGCTGTTTATACATGGTGATCGTCTTTGGATCCATCACGAACCGAAATATCCCAAACCTCGACCATGCTCAGCTCCGACGGACGTCCGTATCAATGGCGCGAAGCCTCCTGCCGCAATTCATATCGAAATGCTCCCTGACAAATGTCCGCGTGCTGCTTTTGCTGGCACTGTTTCTGCATAATAACAATGAGCGCAATGCGGCCTGGAACCTCGTTGGGACGGCCACCAGGATCTCGTTTGCTCTCGGCCTTCATCGATCGGATATGGCGTCTTCCTTTCGCCCTCTTGAGCGAGAGATCCGCCGGCTCGTGTTTTGTACTCTGTATTCGTTTGACCAATTCCTCGAACTGAGCCTGGGTCGTCCGAGCGGGATCCACGAGACAGATGCCGAGATCGTCGCTCCCCGCGAAGGATTTCTGGATGGCAGCGGCGGCACGGATGCCAAGCTCTTGTCTTGGTCGCTCAAGCTTCAGGCCATCCTTGGCCGAACGCGGCTGATGTATATTGGTCGGAGCCAGCGAGCGTCCTCCTCAATACCCACTGCCGAGGAAGTCCTCACCACCCTGAGAAATTGGAAGCTTGAGATAAGCCAGGTGCCTGGGTTTGACGTACCTTTGGTTAGACTTCCTGGGGCAGAGGAGGCTGCTCACGGGACAGGGGCACTGGACTTGGAGGATCTGAAGGCATCGCTGGCGTGGAAGACGAGATCGCAACTGCGAGCCGTCCTGCTGCTGCACATTCAGTTCCACTATATTGCCATAGTGGCTACAAGATCCATCTTGCTCCGCAATGTGTCCATGATGCGCAAAGCGTCTGGCCAGGCTGCGTCATCTAATACAGAACGTCTATCGCCACACGCAGCTGTCTGCGTTAACCATGCGTCCCAACTCTGCTACCTCATATTGCTGCTGGACCATTTTGATGTCCTTAATGGACTTACGGGGCTGGACATATTTTACTGTTATTGTGCCGCCATGATTCTCATCCTCCGCCTTCTCCTGCCGCCCAGACAAGACTTGCAAGAGCCGGGAGCAGGGGCCGACGAGCTACACACTCATTTATATGGCCTCGTATCTACGGTTCGCGATGTTATTAATGGCACCGACAAGTCTGGATCTATGAAACGCTTCGCCCGGGTGGTCGATACGTTTGCGGGATGTGTCAATCTCGAAAAGCGACAGGAGTTTCCTGGGAATTATATCACTGCCCTACAGGCCGGGCCACAGCAATACGGAACGCCCAGCTCCAATGTCAATCCTGGCATGGTGGGGTCCATGGACGAAGTCTCCCTTCAAAACTTGGGATCAGGCATTGGAATCAACCCATCGGGAATGCTGGATCTCTTCCCCTTTATGACATTTGGAGAGGACGCGATGGGGATGAACATGCCACTCGCGGGAGATGAGGAAATGCCCATCTCCGAGTGGTCGAATATGCAGTTATTTCTGGCTGGATATGGTGATCCCGCATCGAGTTGAAGGTGAGGGACGCAATGTATATATTATTTGTAGGCAGAATATGCTAGCTACTATTGTAATCGAGATACCATGCAAATTCCGAGTGAGATGAGAGATTTGAGAAGCAGATTAGATGAAGTTCTGATTGAGACTAGGTCAATGTGAAGAGTATCTCCTTTGATATTTGCAAGAATTTTGCAGCCAAGTCAAAATGCCCACAAGATGACAGACGTCTCAAAGCAACATGTACACTTTGATACCCCCCGACCCGTACGCGTTTATCAAGCTAACTATGGATTAAAGGGTATACCGGAAGTCGGGGTGCTTCTCTCCGAGATCATTGATTTCCGCCTCTGGCAGGTTTCGCAAATGCTCACGCTTCCCTTCCTCTCGCTTGCGATTCTCCAAGGCGCAGCACACCCACATGTTGACGGCCGCGATAATGCCCGTTACCTGGAAGGCAATGCAGACGGACACACCAGGGAT